TTTATATTATTAGCCAAATAATCCGAATTAAATTCGTGAATTCAGGTACCACATGGACCAAAGAAAGCTAATTGAAAAAGGACAGAAGAGGAAGGAAGTTCTTCAGCCAGAAAGACAATCTAGGGTTGCCAACAAATTACCATATTTTAAAACCAAATGACCTTGGCCTTGAACTTAAATTTGAATAAATGAAAGTGAATGTAGATTTTAGCAAAGAAGTAATTTGGAATTTGAACAATTGCAATTAGATTCATAAAAGAGAAGAAGGAAGGTCAAGGTCGACAATTGATGTCAAACTGTTTGTTTACATTCAGGTACAGGTTATAGAAAATTAATATAAATAATTTGAACAATCTTGTGTTTTCTTTTATCGACAGGTAAGCTTATTATTAAATTATTTAAATTTTATATAAATATTGCAAGGATGAAACGCGAACCATAACAAGTGTCTAAGACCATCCAAAGACTACTTCAAAATGGCACTTAACAAGTCATATCCCACATATGTACATGATCTGGCTAATAAATCCTATCAGTACACATCAAAACATTAAAAAACTATCTAAAATTAAACAATAATTTGAAAATACAGATGAAGCCGATTTACCTATCAATATGAACTTTTTAGTAAAAATGAAGCTTTATAAGAAGATAAAGCCTATTGATACTGATAAAAATATGAATATATTGGGGAGTTAAGGGGGGTTAAAATATAAAAAAAACCTAACTGAAAAACTTGAAATTTTTAGCAAACGTCAATCTTAAAGGAGAAGCCCTTTCATTATAAAAAAAAATCTGATTAAATATGGGGGATTTAAGGGGGGTTGAAATAAAAAAAAAAAATCAAAAATGAAAAGCGATATAAACATGAAATTTTTAGTAAAAATCAAGGTCTATAAGGAGATGAGGCCTATTGATTGTGAAAACAATCTGCTTAAAAATGGGGGTTAAGGGGGTCTGTTAAACTGCGAAGAGTATCATTTAAAATATTATATATCTTTATTCTAGTTTGTGTCTGTGTAATATTATGTACTGTGATGGGACTGATCTTATAAAATAAACATTTAAAACATTTTAGTTCTTATTTTATTTGCCAATAAAAGGTATTTAAAAAACATATTTTTTATTTGACATCTGTACAAATTGTGAAAATGATTAAACTTACAATAAAAACTAAAAAATGGTAGGTAAAGTTTCATATAAAATTTTTTACACAAAAATCAATGTCAAGCTTTCTACATAACCTGATATATATTAAAAATAATCTCAAATTATGAAGAAAAATCAGTTTACAAACTAATAATGTTTATAGATGGTTTGCAACGTATTAAAAAAACAAAAAAAATATCAGACTAATTAAAATATTCATTTATTAATAGAAATAATAAAAACAGCGATATTGACTCTTGTACAAAGTTTTGATCCGAACTTACATATAATAAAATTATTGGAAAAAGTGAACACCCATTTTCAATTACCGCGAGCCGCCACACTGGTTTTTACCCTTCCATGATTTCAGTTGGTGTAATTTTTGCTTTGAACAATTGCTCTTCAATTAAAATAGCTACATACCAAATTTTATAACAATCGAACGAAGCGTTTTTGAAAATGTTCTTTCAACTTTGAAGCTTCCTCGCAGGCAAACGAAGCACTTTGTGATATAGGTAATTTTGACTCAATCGACTTATTTTGATCTCACCAACATACAGTAGCTCTATGTACACGGAATTTTGGGATACCCTGTATGTGCATACATGCGAACATTTTTTTAGAACATGCATTCAAATTATTATATCAATAATAACTAAAAATTAACCCTTTTCTACTTTGCTGTTCTCTTTGACACGTTCACATTGACCGAATAGACACGAACCGTCACGTCAAACTTAAGTTTTTGATCAATATTGACAGTCTGTGACGTTACCTATGTTATTTTACCATCACCACAGGTATTCTTATGTGCGATCTCGACACGTTACGTGTTGAATATAGAGAGACATGGCATAAGAATCGCAGCCTGTCGAATGAAGATAGGCATCTCGACATATGCTGTATTGAAAGATTAGAATCCCACTGAGAGAAACGAGAAACCAAAAGCGGCGTTAGGCGTAGGCGACGTAGGCCACCGCCTACGGCCTCGCAACGCAACCCGAAGGGCCTCGCATCTCATAGGTTTAATGCAGTTTTCTTTGACTCATGAAAAATATTTATTTAGTTTGCTTCACACTTCTGACCTTCTTATTATGCAAAAAAAAGGGAAACATTCAAACACTCTGTATTTTAACTTTAATATCAAAATACAACGAATAACGAATTATTATAAATAAGAAAGAAACGCCACATTCGTCATAAAATAACAAATAATATCATTTTTCACCGAGTATGCAAAATTGGTAGAATCTTGTAAATGCCTACATGTACCCTTATTTTGTTTTTTGTTTCTCTAAACAGTATTTGACAGTAGAATAAGTGTGGTTCAAGTTTGAAAACGATAAATATTAAATGAATAGGTTAATCGGTTCATTAAACTAAAATAAGTAAAAAAAAACCGTTTTATGTTTAGAACTTTTAAAAGTTTTGTTTGTTAAAGTGAAGAAAACAAACTACTAATTTAATAAAAATAAGGTAAGAAGTAATTACACACATATCTATACAGGGTGCAATTTTAAAAACTTCCCATTGGCAATATTTTATATGAAAGAATATCGAAAATAATCTACTTTATTTTATAAAATCATTGTATTAAAAACTAAGGTAAATGTCTAGTTTGAGCTCTTTTCGATGTACATTGCTATTGTAAACAAAAAACCTAAGTTCCATGTCTTGTGCAAATTTATAATAAGGACACAAATCATTTTTTTAAATAAAAATAGGCAATTTTTTCCGTTAATTTTATCAATTTTACGGGAAAGGGAGGGAATACGGGTGCTGGGTGGGAAATAACCACGCCAATAGTTATAATATTATACAATATTGTTAGGGCAAGGAACATTATTAGAAATGAATTGCTGTACTTTTGATACTAAATAATTGAATGGTAAACTTTTTGTGCTACTTGGCAAAAGTGAAAGAGGTAAAACTAGCATCTTTGAGCTTTGATTTGAGACAATTTGTGAAATATTTTTATTTAAAAAAATTATGTCGTTATTATTAGTTTGCATAAGAAATGGAACTAAGATCTTTTTGTTTACAATAGTTGCCGCGTTTGAGAATCCACATCGGATGCATCTGAGATGTAATAAATCTTTGATCACGTGATTCAGTATACGTAAATGTAATGGGGCAGATGTGTCCGATGTGGATAAAAAAACGCTCGAGATGTAAAAAATGCATCCGATGTGGATTCTCAAACGCGGCAAATGATACCTAGAATTACGTATGCTTAGTTTTTCATAGAGCTCAAACTAGACAATGACCAAAATGGTTCAAGAAGAACAATGGGATATCAAAGACTTTCAGCTTTGGCAATTTTATCTATTGAAGCAGATATAGCCTTTAAGCTGGATTATGATACAGATATTAAGGAATTCAGTAAAGCTAAAAGCAAAAAATTTATGTTTCTTTAATTCTTTAATAATAATTACTTAATAATGTATGCATTTTTATGAAAAAAATGTAAGTTTCAGTTTTTTTGCTCTATATAAAATCCGTCTTCATGCGCCACCAGAGGGCCTCGCAAAAATGTATTTTGCCCACATCAAATTTAGGTTTTGCCCCGCCACTGAGAGAAACCTATTCAATAATATTTTTACCAGAGATCTTAGATAATATCCAGAGATAGGGGAACGTAACGTTACCGTTCCGTGACGATGATGTTCCGTAGAGTGCGAATTAACCTTTAAATAGTATTTAAATAGTAACGGGCAACTTGGCGCAACGATAAGAAACAGTACTGACTCCTTAACGTTTCAGTACACTATGTCAACAAATGGATTTTCTATGGATTCCTTTATAATAAAGCATAATAAGCTTATTTTGCAGTATTTTTAAATCTATCTGTCTTTTAAATGATGACAAAATTAATTAAGTATATCCGAAAAGAAATCTGGCAATTCCGACCGTACAAATATGTCACTTCTGTTCATTTTATTTACAATTGTGCAACTTTTAAGACACTACGAACAATGCATGTGTTAGACAGAGAGAAACCTTGACAAATGAGATACCTTGCTTTGAAGTGAATTGTCAGATTGTAACTACTTTTCTTTAACACGCTGATGGGCGTATTTATTTTGAATAAATTTTATAAAACTTCACGAAACACTATAAAAAAAATTATTCAATTCTAAACTACAATTTTTTGTTAGTAAACTATATAATTTTTTTGACATAGCTGGGTGGGTAACAAATAAAGGAGTACTGCGGATGAAGAGAAGGAAAACAAAATGGCGGAAATTTAACCCAAAAGCTAAATACCTACTATGAGTGTATTTTACAGCTTGAGATAAATTTAATCCAAATAATTAACAAATTTGATTCTTCTGGTATATAAAGGACTAAAAGATGCACATTTTTAAATACAGCTAACTATTTAAAAACTGTCGGCATTCGACGCCTTTGCCAAATAATTTGTTACATTAAAAGTACCATGTATTGTTTTATCTATCCAGTTGCAGTCCTAATTGGATACATTCTAATCTAAATGAATTTACTTACCTTTAGTTGTGTAATTTTAACGGATATAGGTAATACAGTCACATACACATATACTGGACAAAATTATCTATAATCTTTCAAGTATCTACAAATTACTTAATTGATTTAAAATCCCAAAAACTAACACGAAATAGAAAGAACAAATTTATATAATATATTTCCTTAACCTCCTCAAAAAAAATGCAGACATATTATTATTTTTTTACCTGTAAATAAATACGGAAAGATGTTATAAAATAATTATTAATCTCGAGTTGTAAAATACACTCTAAAAGGCACTACGAAAATTCGATTTTTACTTAAAACTGACTAAAGGAAAGTTACAAATAATAATGAATTCAAACCTATCAGGACATCATTGACTGCCAATCCAGGATTCCCCGCAGAGACCATGGAACAAAAAGGGACAATTTGAACGCCAAGGTCGGGTTGCAGTTAGGGAATTTAAGAGGCCCCAGCACATGACGTAATATGTATGAATTTATAAAACAATGCTGGAACAACTCTGCTGAATGATGATCATTACAATTTTTCATATTTCAATGCAATACTTAATATTTAATTGAATATAAACATTGTAAGAATGCCACAATAATAATAATAATTAATCGCTTTAAAATTACAACAGTTACTTTCTTTCCCAAGGGAATATATCACTTTGTGCTCTTAAAACACAAAGAGCTCATTTGTGGCAAACCTATTCAAACAAATACAACAAAGCGCTGCAAATTGCTTAAGAATTGTTTAAATTAAATCATTTAGATAGAAGAAGTTTCGGTGTTCCAATAATGATTCATTAGAAAACTTCAACAGATATTGTTCCAAATGTCATTAGATGCGGCAAGTAATGCATTGAAATATGAGCCAGACTCTTCAGTTTTCTTTCCATGAATACAGGGTGCGCCACGCTCAAATGAACGGAGCCTGGTAGTAAACTACAAACGACATTAAAAATTCCTTTGACGCAAATATAGAACTCAACGGCGGTTACAAATTAAAATTAATTTCATATATACAGGGTGTTCCAAACCAGAATACCAATATAAAGTTAAATAAAGATTCCATATACCTAGCTTTGATAATTGTCGATTTATTTAACATTTTTTAAAAAACTCCTGATAAAAAAATTAATATTTAACCAATTTTTGACAGTTCCTTATAAAATGTGTTGTAACTTTTTATCAGAATCATTAGAATAATCAAAAATGTACAATGTAATTTGAAGTTTTATTACAGTAAAATGTTATATTTTATTTACTGCGTTAATTTTGATGGCACACCCTGTATTTTATAGTACCATTACGAAGAAAATTCCACACCTGTAATTTTGAACCAATCAAAATACGTGTTTTTGACAGATCACCATGGCAACGGAGGTATTTTAGTGGACATTTTTTTCTCGTGGGGTACCCAACAGCGAATTATACTGGAAATTTTTTGACGTTTACAATAACAGACCATTTTTGACAGACTGGTTTTTATTTGTTCACATAATAGGTTTAGTTTTGATACATTTTAGTTACAATGCTAAGGTGTTTTCTATATTCTTCGGCCACTTCTTTTCTTCTTAATGGCGAAAATGCAGGACTTTGGATGCTTTGTCTATGTCTAATAAAATATATATAATATTTAGACACTAATTTATTCACCTTTTTCCCATTCAGCACTTTGAATTTTGCGTAGTTTAGGTGCAAATATTCGTGGACAATTCGGAACAAATTTTCGTTTTTCAAATTGGAGCCACAATCCTCTATTAATCCGAGTAAGTAAGTCATGGTGCAATGATTGATCATTACATCAGACAATTTCACGCATATTTTGCACAGCGTATGATTTTCAAATCGATTCATTTTTAAACAAATAGGTAATTTTGTTGGTTTTACTTGCTGTGCAATATTCTTTATCGCAACAAAACGCGAGTTATTTAATGTTTTGAACTGTCAAAATACAATGATCACAGCCTCCTACGATTGATGCTTGCTGACGCTGGTTATGAATTTCATACCATTTTAAAGCGCTCATAACGCATGTTAATAAAAACGCAGAAAAACAATTTTCTACCACTTGTAGTTATTCAAAACTTACGTAAAATTAAAGAATATACTATTTTCTATTTTCAAATGGTATTCCCATGCAACTACAAAGCAATTTGAAGGCCTAAATAATTGCAGCGAAACATTTTTTTACGTCGGGCCGCTTGACAACTTCAAAACTGAAATTATATTCGAGGTTAGGGTCTCACTTAGTTACCATGACAACTCAACAATCAAGGCGACAACACCTTTTATGTTTCACTGGTGACTTGGAGAAAATAATTTGCATTGTTGAGAAACGAAAAATAAATTTTAAAAATATTTAATTTTCAACCATAATTCGGCGTGGAATTTTCTTACCGAATACCACGCGAGGTCAAATTAATATCAGGAAATTTTTTGACCTCTAGTGGTATTACTAGTGAAAATTTTTAATTACATTAAAAGTTCTATGAGGTTCCCTATAACCCATATATACTATTTTTATTTGGACCTATTATCAATAGTTTACTAATAATTTTATATTAAAACATACATTTATTTATAAAGAAATTTTCTAATAAATTAAAAATTTTAGAACATGAAAATTTCAGGTAAAATGAAGATCTATAAGGGGACGAAGCCTATTGATTTTGAAAAAATCTGAATAAAAATGAGCGAGTTGAAATAATGAAAAAAAAAAAACCCAACTCAGAAATGAAAAATCTTAATAAAATAAAATTCTGTTGACTAACCTATTGTATGGTTGAGTGACTTGATCGAAATCCAAACTGGTGATCTGGGATCAGATTTTCTAGAGGTATTGTTGTTTCTATTCTGTTGAGAATAAGCCTTTCAAAGACTTTTGATAAAGTCGGAAGGAGACTTATTGGTCGGTACGAACTAACTTCAGTTGGTGATTTACCAGGTTTAGGTATCATTATAATTTGTGCGTACTTTCATTGCACTGGAAAATAGCATAGCCTAAGGAGGCTATTGAAAATGATAGTTATTAGAACGATACCTTTGCTTGGGAGATTTTTTTAGATTTCGCCAGTTATAAGGTCAAATCCGGGAGCTTTGTATGGGTTGAGAAGTCTGATTTCATTGCGGACTTCACTCGGCGAGATGTATTTCAGTGGTAGTGACAACTGACAGGGGGCATTAAGGAAGGCTCTAATTTCTTCGTCATTGATATCGTTAGGTTGTGGGGCGGAGAAAACAGTTGATAAATGTTCTGCGAATCTATTGGATTTTTCTGGATCAGACCGAGCCCAAGTTCCGTCGATTTTTTTTAATTGGAGATTTGGCTACTGTTGGTTTCTTGAATTTTTTGTGGCATTCCAAAGGGAGTGGTCGTCAAGAGATATGTTGGTAACATATGTTTCAAACGATTCGTTTTTGGCAGTTTGGATAGCAAAGCGAAGTCTGTGTGTGAGTCTCTTTAGATTTGTTTTATATAATGGATTTCTTGTTGTTTGCAATTTACGACGGGCTCTTCTTCTATCTTCCATTAGTGTTCTAATTTGGTAAGGCATACTGTACCTTTCTTAAATTATTTTTTCATTTACAGGAGTAGCTTCCCAAGCGGCGCTTTGAATTTGTTCTGTTAGGTATTTTACAGCTTTTTCAATGTCATTTTTGTCTTTGAGTCGTATGTCTAGAGATATTTGGATTTAAAAAATAGACATCTTAAAAATATTTTTGGATATACAGGGCGTTGCGTTATTGCCTGGCAAATAAAAATGTATATATAATGATAGGAAGACAGTTGGTGGGGCCCTACTTTTTTGATGGCCATTTAAATGGAAGAAAATTTTTAAAATCTTTGAAGAAAAATTTGTGGAACCTTGTACAGGATATTTCCTTTGGATATTAGACGAAAAATGTAGCTGCAGCTAGATGATGCGCCCGCCTATTTTTCGCATAACGTCAGGATATATTTAAACCAAAAATATTCTGAAAAATGGATAGAAAGAAGAGGTCCTACTAATTGGCCTCCTAGATCACCCGATCTAACCCTTTTAGATTTTTTATTATGAGGATATGTTAAAAAAGAAGTTTATCAAACTCAACCGACCACCGCCGAAGATATGAAAACGCGCATTCGTGATGAGCTTACTATTATTCATTTAGAGATTTTAAGTAAAGTAAAAAAAAAATTGTAAAAGCGAATCACAATGTGCAATAACAATAATAGACATCATTTTGAACAAATTTTTGGACTAGATAAGTTTATTCAATGGCTTTATTAAAATAAAACTATTAGAGTAGATGTTTAAAATTTTTTGATTCATTGAAACTATTAATAGGTTTAAAAATAGTAGATATAGGAAACCTTATAGAACGTTTAAAGTAAATAAAATTTCTTTCATATTGCTACCATAAAATATAGAGTTCTCCATTTAAATTAACGCAGTTATTAAATTTAACATTTTGTAGTTTACCCACCAGGCTCCGTCCCATTAGGCGTGGCGCACCTTGTATATTATTTGATAAAAGAAAAATAAATTATGTATTTAAAAAATAAAGAACATAAATAAAACTGAAGAGTATAATAATTATTATGGCATGCAAATGAAAAATGCGATCTTAATTCGGTCACTAATTTTAAAAGTTGAAGAAAAGAAACTTTTAACATTGATGCACAATTGGTTCTTATAAAAAGTTCTTTTTCAAACGAGAATATTTGTGATTCCTATACTGTACTGTTAAAACTTGTTACCACAGTTTAAAAAATGATTCAAATGCAAGTAAAGAAAATTTTGACAAAAAATTACATTCATAACTTCCTTAAAGGATTGATATTCTAAAAATTACTATAAATTTCGAAAATATATTTTTAATCTCATTTTTTTAATTTTAAAACGTTACGTTTCTAATTTGATATGTGGCAACGTTGCCAGTGATGACAGCTGTCCAAAGGCCTAACTCCAACAACTGGAATGTCGTAATTTCTAGGAACATCATTAGCTTACCTGATTAACTACTACTAATATTCTAAAAAGTTATAAAACGAAAATTTACGTAAATAATTTTAAACATGTCGCAGAATGATTTTTTTTTAAACAATCATGAATAGTTTTTAATTTATAATATTTATGGGGTCTATTCTTTTGAAACTTATAGTAAGTAATGTCCTTTAATCAAGCTCAACTTAAGTATATGGAATTTCAAATATTCTTTTCTTTTAATAATATAGCATTTAAAATAAAACATTGCAAGCTCAACCTAAGTATGTAGAATTTCAAATATTCTTCTCTTTTAATAATATAGCATTTAAAAAAATAAAACATTGCAATTCAAAGGAAAGTCACGAGACATATTGGAGATAGAAAATCGACATGTCAATGAAAAATAATGTTCTGTTCTGCTACGTCATGACTTTTCTTTTAAACAAACACAATAAGAATAATTTTCAATTTTGCCCAATTCAATGAATTTCTAATATTTTATAATAAAAAAAATACATCTATCCAATAAACTTATTTACATGCCTATATATATTGTCAAACTGTGTGAAAACGGATAAAGCGAAGCCATACAAAAATTATGGTAAAAAGAAAATGTATCTATATTTAGTACTTTTTTTTATTTAAATTAATTTAAAATGAACAATTTACCTAAAAAAAGCTGAAAATTATTTCAATGTACAAATATATCACCTCTTAGGTTGACGCTTTATCGTAGAAAGAAATTATTTATATAAATCATGAAATATAAAGTGGTTTCTTAATGTAACATTATAAAATTAAATATTCTTATTTTATAAACAATTTTAGTCGTAAACGCTCTGATTAAAAATTATTAATTAACAAAATAAATTTTTAATCTGCAATGTTTATATTTATTGTCATCTATTCTCAATTTTTATTTGTCAAATAATTTCAGAAAATAATATAACCTTTAAATAAAATAGTCAAATTCGGAAAGAGAATCGTAGGAATAAAAAAGCAGTATTACAAAATGAAATATATAATAGAAAACTAGGAATAGCCACAAAATCAGAAACATTTCAGGTCCGTATTTAAAATAATCTACCTGAGAATTGTTTTAATAAAAACGAAACGTTGTGTGACTTGTTGTTAATAACTGTTTTTTAAGCACTAATGAAACAATAAAAAAAAACTTAATATTTGTGGGTATGTCGCTGGAACAAAAAAAATTAGTTTCAAATGAAGTGTCACACTTTAAAATATGTAACAGTTTTTTATTCCGCTAAAATCAAAAGTAATCCAATGAACACTCATTGCTGAATTTCCTATAAAACTACCTTTTCAATAATGATGATGTGTCATACTTGATACTTTCTCTATCTAAATTGTATTGGTTAGAGTGAGGCAAGGTAGGTGAATCATGTACGACGTCTTACCCATTAAAGAGTTAATACAACAATTGTTACAAATGTTTACCTATCTAGATGCAATAGTTTATATAAACAATTTTTCTTCAACTGCAAAAAAATATGTGCACTTAAAAAACACTCTCGCTATAGTTGGCAACACTGGAATATTCCTACTCACAAACTTTTTGAAATATCCAACAGCGGGCGTATTTCTTAGCTAGAAATTATTGTCATAATTTAGTACTTCTGAAATAAGACACAGTTTGAGATTAAATAGTTTCAAATCGATCATAGATGACATATTTTCTAAGTATAGTCTCCAACAAACTTTATTAAATTTACGATGTTACACCATGTAAAGAAACGTTCTCAATAAAATAAGCACGATGAAGGAAAATCAAATACCTGTGGTTAAAGCTGGTGTCCATTCTTGTTCGCCTGTAGCTCCCCATAGTAGAGTGGAACTTTTCGAAGAATATTTATGCGAACCATTTTGGCTGATGTGATGAGGATGTGGACGTTTCTTGCAATCTAAGAAAAACCAACGATTAACAAAACCAATAAAGTGGCTTATTAAGTACAATGTACAAAGAAAATTGATTTTCGAAATGGTAGTCGCAAGCAGTGCTGTTAGAATATTTTTTTGTTAGGTACTAGATTTGTATAAGAAATGTAATAGATTTCATTAAAAATTAATAAACTTTTTCGACAGTGATTTCATACAAACCAACATGCCTATCAATCAGGAAAATCTTGTGAGTCTGCTCTGCATCATCTTGTAACCAAGATAGAGGGATGACTCAGTGGCCAAGAAATAGTCCTAGGAGCATTTTTTGACATAGAAGAAGCTTTTGATAACTCCTTTAAATCAATGGTAGCTGCCGCTCGCAAACATGGAATAGAAGATACCATCTGCTGGTAGATAGAAGACATGTTAAGCGGACGGCAAGTACAGGCACAAATGTTCAGTGAAACCATGCAGGTGAATATCCACAGGGGATGCACACAGGGTGGAGTCCTTTCTCCTCTAGTGTGGAACCTAGTGGCAGACGAACTGCTGAAAACACTAAACAATCAAGGGCTGTATGCCCAAGGATATGCTGATGACATAGTCATCCTTATCCGAGGGAAACACCAAACCACAGTCTTTGAACTTATGCAAAGAGCTCTTAGGCTGACAGAAATATGGTGCTTTAGGGAAAACCTCTTGGTAAACCCTGACAAGGCACAACTCATAACCTTTACTCGAAAAACAAAATTGGAGGTTTTAGAAACTCCGACTCTGTTTGGAAGAAGGCTAAACAAAACGAACCAAGTAAATTATCTGGGTCTAATCCTAGATAGCAAATGTCTCTCATTGTAGGGAGACGGGCATTTGAAAAAACAAGGGGATTAAAACCAAAAATGGTCCACTGGCTATATTTAACAATAACAAGACCCATGATAACTTATGAAGCAGTTGTTTGGTGGCCAAAAATAAACCAGAAAACAGCCCTTAATACCCTCTCAGGAGTACAGAGGCTGGCATGCCTTTGTATTACAGGAGCACTGAGAAGTATACCGACAGCCTCTATGGAAATCATTCTAAACCTCCCACCCCTTGACCTAGTCATAAAGGGGGAGGCCAGAATGAGTGCATACAGACTGGAAATCTCCAACAACTGGAACCCACTGGGACATATAAAACATACCAGAATAACACATGAAGTAAATGATTCTATATTAAATATGGGATCAGATCACATGACACCCCTCCTAACCTTTAACAGACTCTTCCAGGTCAACTGTAACTGGAACGAGGTAAATAAGGAGATAGATAAATACTTGCTTAGCGGTCTCGTATGGTATACGGATGGATCTAAAACTAACAAGGGAACAGGCTCTGGCGTACATGGAGTTAAACCCAAATGCGATATCATCGTCTCACTGGGAAAACATGCCACTGTATTTCAGGGAAAGCAGGGGAATACAATAGACCCAAGCGGCCGCAGTGTTCTGGGCCAAACCTAACCCTACCTGCTTACAACCGATAAAGATAAAAAAAGACAGTGATAAAAGAGAAATAAATCAAAATTCTGTGCAGTAATAGTGAGACTGCTCAATAGACGAGTACTGTATAGGGTCAGTGATGTCAACTTTATTACGTTTTATTTTCAGGCATCCTACAGCTTCCCCAATCAGGCTTGGATCCAGCCACTGGCTCGTTTCAATCAGGCTTGGGTTCCAGCTTCCCTTTTCCTCCTCTGGGGTTCCTATGATGACACTGAAGATTCAATGGCCTACTGTACTACCATGTGGGTGCCCTACTCCTTCCCATTAATTAAACTCATGCATTCTACCCATATATTCCATCATCTAGATGGTCTCCGAGTCATGCGAGCACGATCACCCATTCAGACCATGGCCGGATCATTCAAACTGCATCTGCGATCGATGTTTTGAATACCATTCGCAGCGGCCTTTTCCAATTGGAAAAGAAGAAATCCTGATATTAATTGGCATTGTCTGTCATGGAACGTAAATGTCACGATGCATTTAACATCTTCAATTAATATTTTAGACTTCAACGTAAACGTTATTTTTCTGCATTTACATCTACGTTAACGCAGTGAAAACACTTCAACTATTTAACTAATCAACAAAACATGAGAAACAGTTGAAATTTTGATATTTATTTATCGAGGTCATATCAACATATTTTGTAGATTAGTAGATTATATTTATAGAACACATCATTTAAAAAAATTATAGTTTTAAATGATGGAGTTTATCTGTCATTCCTGTCAGTAAAACGTGTTAAAATTGGCATCACTGACACTCTGCAATATTTCTTTTTTTTATTAGCAGACATTTCAAACAAAATAGTTAACAGCGAGCATTGATAAGGTAATCCTGTGGTCCTGGTGATTTGACAGGGTCAATGATATAGATAGTTATATAGATTGATCCTTCATGTTTTTCAAAATAAACAAGCCTTGAAGTAATTATTTTTTACTATATTCAAAGGCTGAAAATTTGGTTTTAAAACACATTTTTTGCTAAACCGATTCTGATTAGTGAGTATTTGCAAGGCAATATGGCTATTTGCCATGCTTTGAGAAATCTATAGAACTATAATACCATTGACTCTGTCAAAGCCCAGATGCAGCAATTTTCAGTTCGTTGGAATGCCTAATATTAGTGTGACGTAATTTGTGTTCAACTAAGTTGAATTGGTCATTTGAGAAATAGCACATATCAGTTGTAGATCATTTTTCAAAAAATAAGAAAAAGTAAAAATCTCAAAACATGGTTAAAAAATAATTTTGTACACTTGGCGTTTAAAACTTGCTCTATTTTGGGTAATATACAATAATTATAATTATAATTTACCTTTAAATATTGTATTTTTGTAATAAAAACAAAATGGCCAAAAATGTGACATGTGTCGTTTCTCAAATGACCGATTCAGTTACTTTTAATAGCAACAAACCATTCTGCCATTGATTTTGACATCCGTTTTTAGTTTTTTTTTTTAATTGTTTGTAGATCTTAAAAAAGTAGTTTAAAAGTATACATTCAATTTATTTTTCTTTTAAACGAAAAAAATATTGACAATAATAGAAATAATGTATTAATATACCTTTAACTTCGATTTTTATACACTGATTCTACTGTCACTGTCGTTGTATCACAAATACGTCATTACTAAAATAGCATAAATTCTATACTGAGCATAATCCCGACTTCTGTGACATTTCTGATCGCTGTGGGAACAAACCTTTTGTATAGACTGGAGGACAGGAATGGAAGTACAAGCGGAGGCTCATTCACTGCACACTCGGGGATACGGTACCTAATTTCGATTAAAGGGTACTAACGTATCAAATTTACTAGATCTAGTACAATTGCCTCAAGATAAAAAACAAACTTACACTCTTGTAAAGCTGCCAAGGCGCTGAAAGAAGAGGCGAGCTGACAGTCGTTCTCCTTGTCATGATTGTCTTTGGTCGGTACGGCTTGATAGTGATGTTGCTGGATCAAAACCCCGGTGGGACCTTTCGGAAATATGTGAGTCCATCGTCGCCTGTTAGACGTTAGCTTGATGGTGACGTGAGATGGATCAAAAGGGTTGATTAACGCTCTAGATTCGAATGGAGGAGAACCCTCCGAACCGACAACCATTCTCACTGGAGGCGATAATTCTTTTTCTGGAATTACGGTTTTATTTATTAAAACTATAGAGATTCATTAATGGATATCCAATATATTACAGAAAAATGTAGAGTCAGTTGTTCAACATTGTACCAGCCTATTTTTTGATCATTGTTGCATCTTTACAATTAAAGTTAAATTTATGAAATTATATCGAATGTAAAGTATGTTACATATTCTTTAATTTGTGATGATTATATAGTTGTAAAAAATATCAACCTTCAATGCAGTTTTTTAAAAAACTATAAAAACTAGAAAATAGTTTTCAAAAACAATTATCAAAGTTAAAAGGAAACAAATGTTTGGGTTCAGTGTTAACCACTCTATACTAATGAAAAAAAAAAAAAAAAAGTATACTAAAAACCTAAACAAGAACAGTTTTTTTATTTAGAAATATAAGGCATATACCAACTAACAGAGAAACAGAGAAATAAAAAATAATAGCAACTAGAAAAAAAAATAGAAGTCATGAAGCAAAACTCACTACTGAATTATTGGTTTTAGAGACACAAATGCGTTTAACTTCTATGACTCAACTATAAACTATGCCAGTCAGTTGAGAACTGAGAAACTACTAGGGTTTGGTACTGTCTTTTACAAGATGTCAAACTGTACTATTTAAAATTTGGTTAATGTTTAAATGAACTTAAATTAAAAAAAAAAAATACTGACCGTCTGGATGTATAGATATAGCCGGGCTGCAAGCTCCCGGCGGAATGGCTATTGGTTCGGAACGAGCGTTTGTACTGGACCTCTGCATTATATCAGGATCAGACAGTTTGCGTCTCTGTCCCTTAGACAGTTCATGAGAATCCAACAAACTTCCTGAACTTCTTTTATACCGAGAAGGGATCCTGCATTGAAAATAAAAATCGTTTGAGATAATATAGAGAAGATAAAACATTTCTTGTTAGTCACTATAACAAGAACATGTCGGCTTTCTGATCCTGTCAAATGTATTGGATTATTTTTAACTAATAGATTATTGATTATGTGATATAGGGTTTTTATCCCATAAATCGTTCAAATTGAAATTAAAAATGAAAAACCTCGGAGTGCTATTAAATTAGAGGGTGAAAATTGGAGATAGGGATGAAGATGCAACCATACAGTTTGTAAATTATATCTCGAAAACGAAGCAAAATTCAGGTATAGTTAATAGGATATTTGTTGGAGAGAATTCGATTTCATATCGAAATAGTTCATTAATTTATTTTTTATTTTAAAAAAATATAAAAATATAAAAAAGAGTAGAACAAATTTGCTTTAAAATGGTGGGTTAAAAAAGTTTTTTTAGATAAAAAGGACTGAGGTATAGCCACTCAAACTTACTATTTTTTTCGATTTTATCGCGTTTACCTTGATATCGTTTTAGTTCTTATTTTTTACAACACAATTTGTTTTATTAAAAAAAAAAATGCATTTTAAGTTAATTTAATATTTTTACGAATATGTAAAACTGTGATCCATCTATATTACCAATTCTTTTTTTTTAAATGTTCGTTGAAGTCCAAGGATGGTTTTTACGGCGAGAAAAATTCGAATAATTTCCGGGAAAACCCTAAAAACAGCCCTTTTCTTCTATATCTGTCTATCTTTCTATCTATATAAAAATGAATCCCTATTTCCCTTGGTCACGGCATCACGCGTGAACAGCTGGACCGATTTCGCTAATTCTTTTTTTGTTGTGTTTGTTATTGTCAGGAGAAAGTTCTTATGAAAGAAAAAATTAAGAAAATTGCGCGGAAAATTAGAAAAATTAAGAATATATATAAAAATGAATCCCTATTTCCCTTAGTCACGGCATCACGCGTAAACGGCTGGACCGATTTCGCTAATTCTTTTTTTGTTGTGTTTGTTATTGTCAGGAGAAAGTTCTTATGAAAGAAAAAATTAAGAAAATTGCGCGGAAAATTAGAAAATTTAAGAATACTTAACCACCATATTAAATTATTTCTAATGTAACCATAGCGCTTTTACAATTCAAACTTTTTTGATGTAACCTTATGGCGTTTGACATAACATTGACAGAATGCGTGCTGCAAATATCGTCAAAGATGAATATCGTTTAAAACAAATGCCTCGATCCGAGTTATTATATTGATAAAATACATATAAAATAATTAATTTATTATTTCTAACAAAAACTGAATTTCTTAGTGCACATCTCCGTTAGTTCAGAGCTATCACGCCTAATATATATTAGAATAATAAAGACTTTGTTTCTGAAATATTTTTTTAGTTAATTATACCAATTCGAAATCAATATTCATAATTCAGACTCTGTCGGGTCCGCTAGTTTATAAATAAATTAGAACTAATTATTCTTAAAAATTGTTTTTTTTATGATCTAAAAAAAAAATTACTGATTTTTTTTATTTTTTCCAACCACAGTCAACAGGGTTTAAATGATTACCGTTCCACTGCTGCATTTGGAAATATATGTTCTTAAACATGGAGCTTGGTGACCTCGCGTGTTATCTGTTATTGGACAAGAGAACATTTTGCACTGATAATTTTTGATAATTTATTTAACCATTTATAAAAATGTTTGCAACGGAAAAAAATTAAAGAAAATACATGAAACTTTAAATTAACACATTTAAAGTTGTCAATGACTGTCACTTGAAAGTGATTGAAATTTTGCATGCAAGCTTTTCTTATGCCGTAATAGTCGGTGTTGGTATAAAATCACCATGGTCAAAATCACGATAAGTTATAATAATTTGCAAATAGAAAACATGATACATTTTGAAATACATTGTCTAATTATACGAAATACATTTTTTTTTAATTTTATTTTTTAGATGACACCTAAGCGTGAACACGTGTTGTGTCAAAATTATATAATATAAAAGAATATGTTTTTGGAGTTTTGAGCTAACTTAAACCCTAGAAGAAGAAAAAAATGAAAAAACAAAAAAAAAAAACAAAAAAAAGCAAATGAAATAATTATTATGATTAAATATAGCTACGCAAAAACAAAATATACAATTAATATAAAATAAAAATATTTAAAACAATAACACTGTGGAAACACTAAGAAACATTATTAAAGTATTAATCATTACAATAATAGTACTAATTTACTGTGATTTTCAGAGATGTAGTTTTTTATTTTCCTCTTAAATAATTTAAAGGGTAATGTTTTAAATGAGTCAGGAATGGTGTTGTATATTTTTATCCCGTTGTATAATATACTTTTTTGACATACTGATTTATTTACGCGTTTATAAGAATAGAGGCGTGATTTATTTTGTCTAGTTTCATGAGTATGACGCACTTTATCTAAATTATTATCTTGATGAATAATTTTGAGCAGTGTGTTTATATATATATACCTTTAAGACGGAATTTGCACGCCAGGAAATTCATAACAAAAACTACAAATTAACTAAGTTGTCAATAGATGGCGATTAGATGCACTTCTGCGAAATAATTCAAATGTTGAATTATACCTGCCTGTTTGCCAAGTTGTGTAAACTACTTTCCGGCGACCCGACAAGCGTCCCCTCCCTCCCAAATCTAAAGTGCTCGTAACATTTTATTGTACCGCCGGACGAGACGAACACTACATTACATTAGAATATCGAACCTATAGGGACCGTATTTAAATAATTTTGTCCACGACCACTTAATAATAAATCAATATTCTACCTCCTAACTAAAAGCATATAGTACCCATATATCACGGAGTGAATTATGATAATTCACGCTTTTGTAATTCTGGCACATTCCGGTAGATAACTAAAGATAGGCGATACTTTTCATAACGATATTTTCTAGATCGAAAAATCAAAAAATCGATAAATCAAAAAATCGAAAAATCGAAAATTGTAGAAAATATTATTTGAATTAACTTTTATTCAAAGAATTTTCTTCTACAACCGTAAATAACAAATATATTCCATAAAATATAAAAATGACCCCCTATAAAGTACCCCCAAGTGCCAACTGTGCTCAAAATCTAATCAGTTCACCGCAGGCCGGAATAAGACTTAATTTTAAAATTTGGTATTTTTCTGTTTATCCGTTCATGAGTTATCGAGCATACAGACACACACACAGACAGCATCGCGAAAATAGTCAAAACGGATTCAAATAATCAGTGTGATAAATTTATTGTATTTTCAATAAATATTTTAAGTACTTTTTCAGTTGATTTTAAGAATATAAATTGGCTTAAAAGTTTGCTCTTACTTTTAACTCTTCTCAACTAATTTGTGAACCCACAAATGCATTTGAAAGGCCAGGATCGATGTTTTCACATGCATCTTGTTCCAATTTTCACGTAAATCCAGCCAGAAAAAACAAAACTCAACATTATATTTAATATCTGACAAATTACGTTCTTATATTTTGTAATATAAAAATGAAACATTTTACAAAATCTCTACACGTTTTAAATGTTTCTCCAAAACCAGACTTAACACAATTTACCTAATTTTTGTAATAAAATAACGAACTTCCTTGCTTCCGATACTTCATAACAATATGACAACGTTGCTCGATATAAATTTGATATTTTCAGGTGGCGTCATCTATATAACCTAAAATTACAGGGATTACACCTGTTTTATGTAATGTTGGTTGCGTTTTTTGGGTTAAAATTAAAAATTTTTGTGCATATAAGACTGGAAAATGAAAGCAAAAAATGAAATATTTCTTATGCGGAGCCTCTAATGGGAATATATTCTAGTTCCTGAAATAGTTTTTATAGCGATTTATGATGACTTTTTTACATGTAAAATTTTCACAAATTCGTTATTTTCTTCATTCTCTCAATTTTTTTCCACTTTAAAATATATTCAGGAACTAGTTCAATACTATTAGAATATTATAAAAGCAAATCCGCATAAATTCATTGTCTAGAAAGCCCGTCTTATATGTTGAAAAATTCTCCTATGCTAATACATTTGCTAACGCCGCCTTAATATCTAGAAAAGATTCGGAAATAAAAATGGGTTTGACACTATGGATGTTTAATAACATAAAATATTATTCGGATAACATAGTTTTGCTTGACTTATAATTTTCCTAGCGTGGTAATATAAGCTGTTGTAAACAATTAATATCTTTTTTGCTTAGTAGAGTTCGTAATAAATAAAATTTATAAGTTAGTTTTTTTAGACGTTTAGTTGTGTACTCAATGTGTGTTGACCTGCTTGTCGATATAGATACCCAGGTATTTGATTGAATCAGTTTGTTTTATTTCTTCATGAACTCCATTGATTTTAATTGAAGGTAGATTTTTATTGAGTCCTGCAACTGTTGGTGAAAAATAAACTTTGTTTTTGAGATGTTTAAACTTAGACAATTTACATCCAACCATTGTTTGACATCATTTAGTACTTGTAAATTTTCCCAAGCTCGTCCCATGTATTCCCTGTACAATTTAAGACCGTATCATCAGCATAAGATATGAGGCCACATTCTTTATAAGAGAGTTTATTAAAATTAAAAATAAAGTAGGTCCAAGGATAGTGCCTTGTGGAACACCTGTTATAACGGTTTTTTTTTTTTCACTTAATTCACAACCAACACGTACTTGTTGTGGTCTATCTGTCAAGTAATTACAAAAATGTTTTAAGAAATTACCGCGAAAACCTGTTATCTAATTTTCCAAGTAATTTTTGGTGTGAAACTGTATCAAATGCTTTCTGAAGATCAGGAAAAACCGCAATATTCTTTTTATTTTCATTAAAGTTGGCTAGTATATCTGATACAAGTATTTGTAAAGGTAGTTCAGTTCCAATCCCTTTTTGGAACCCGTATTGTTTTTCTGAGATTATTTTATGTTTATTTAGAAATGACCATACTCTTTTATTTAAACATTTTTTGAATATCTTTGAGAAATTGTTTATTAGTGAAATTGGCCGATAATTTGTCATTTCGTCTCTCCGATTAGATTTATAAACTGTTTGATAGTTTGCAGAAAAGCTGGAAGCGATAGTTGCTTAAGGTCTTATTTAGTTTTGTCCCGTAAAGAGTAGATAAAATGTATTCTGATGCAGATTCTATTTATTTTTCAGTTATATTATCGTGTAAAAACGTGTCCATGTAATATTTTATTTTATAAATTTCGCATTTTTTTTTCCATTGTTATGACTGTTTATAAATTGATCATAGTTTTACACATTCATAAAAATATTGAGTTTTTAATAACACATTAACGAAAAATACTTTTTTTATTGAAAAGAAATCAATTTTGATGTAGAAATATAAGAATTAAAACGGTATCAAGTAAACGCCATAAAAGTCGAACAAAAAAAAAATTGCTAAGTTTGAGCTGCCATATCTCAGCGAGTTTTATCCAAAAAACTTTTTTAACCCACCATTTTAAAGAAAATTTAGTCTATTTTTTTTGTGAAGCAATGCCTATACCAAAGAGTATTAGGCATTCCAACGACCTGTCCAAATGGCTACCAGTGGGTAATGACAGTTTAGATATGGCAACCCTGTTGTCATGTTGTCATTAACAGGGTCAATGATACATATATAGTTATATAGATTGCTCAAAGCTGGTCGTTTACAAGCGGCCATATTGCCTAGCAAATATTTATTAATTTGAATCGGTTTAGCAAAAATGTGTTTTAAAACCAATTTTTAGCCTTTAGATATTTAAAAAAAAAATAATTGCTTACATTTTTACTTCAAGGCATAAGCTTATGTTTATTTTGAAAAATATGGATGATCAATCTATGTAACTATCTATTTCATTGACCTTGTCAAATCACCAGGCCTACAGGGTTGCCATAATTTTGCCATATCATAACCCGTCAGAACCCACTGGTAGCCATTCAGTTTGGAATGTCTAATAGTTAACACAAGAGATCGCACTGAAATGTCAATCGATCTGAAAGTCTGTGACCTCGAAAATTTAAAATATTTTACGCGGGTAAATGTATCTAATCTAATAACCTAGCTTTCTGATCATTTCTCTTTTTGGTTCAAACATTTATTTATGATCTAATTTTGTTATAGATCTGTATTTTTTTAATACAAATTACATCATGAAGGTTTGTGCAGTAAAAAACTGCAAAAATACTAATCAATTTTCTAGATGTCATTTTTCTCATGCGACAGCAACCAACGCTCCGATTGGTGACGCCGGACTTGTCAAAAATACTCCAGACCAATAGGGAGGAGGCATCGACGTCAACGTTATTTTAAAAACCAAAAAAACATAAATTTTGTGATAACCACATTAATTTTGTCTTCAGGTGGCTTAAAATCTGAATATTTTTTTACTTTTCGATGTCATTTTTCTCCATGTGACAGCAACCAACGTGTTGATTGGTGACCCCAGACTTGTCAAAAATACCCCAGACCAATAAGGAAGAGGTGCCAAGGTCATTGAGATTTGAGTCAGAATTTAACATGGGAGGTATAGGGAGTGACAGGCCTGTGCCTATACCTATCTCTACTCAGTAAACGCAAAAAAGCAAAATAAAAAAAAAATTGTATTTTTTTGCATTTTTTTAAATAAATCTCTATTATAATATTCTCTACATATATTTTTTAATATTTTAAATAAACTATTAGGAGGGGAAATCACATTTTCTACAAAAAAAAAACTAATTTTGCTTCTTTTTCAAGATATAATTGAATCGCTTATTGTTAAAAGGAACTAAGTCACATTTTTACGTTTTTGACTTTAAAACATGAAACGAAACTTTGAATATGTTCCTTTCGTTTGGTGTAAGAGGGAATCGTCTAACTATATTGCTTGTGTACTATTTTAGCGGTAGTTATCGGTACCTTCTTACACCAAACGAAAGGAATATCTTCAAAGTTTCGTTTCATGTTTTAAAGTCAAAAACGTAAAAATGTGACTTAGTTCCTTTTAACAATAAGCGATTCAATTAAAAAACTGTAATTGTTGCATTTTTACCCCTATTTCCAATTTCCAGCTTCTAATTTAATAGCAATCCGCGATTTTTTCATCTATGACCATTTGAATGATTCATGTGATAAAAACCCGCGAAGGTGATAGTTTCTTATTGTCCCCTTTTTAGGACAATCAATAGCATATAAGTTAAATAAATGTTCTCAAGTAAACCCATTCCTAAACGATTATTTTTTACTAACCTACTCTCAGGTGCGTGATGGACAGAAGGTAGTTGAAATATTTTCGCATCATAAGCGTCATAATCGAAAAATGTATTGTGAATGTACTCGTCTTCAGGTAAAAGTTTACTTTTTGGTGAAATTTTCTTCGCATCGCCTTCGGTCAGAGCGGGAGGCAATTTTATTCTCGGAACAAAATTCGAGTAAGCAATTTTCTTATTTGTGGAATAAAACGACAAATTTATCCAATGAGGCATGGAGTAGTCGTCAGGTATGTTGAGGTTGGTGTCTTTGTTGTGAAACTAAAAAAAATATAACAAAAAAGCTATCACAGTGAAGCATGAAGTTGACCGGAACAAATAATATTTGCAAGATGAAATCAAAAAACCTTAAAGGTAATATTTTTTAAGGTTTTTAATTGAACACAGCATTCCATTATTCTTGAACTGGATTCATTCATATTTGAGTGGCAGACTGGAGTTTGTTAAAATAAAAATATATAAATTTGATCCTATAACTTCTATACTATATAATATGGTATCCCTCAAGGCACACACTTGCGTCCCTTATTTTTTAACCTGTTCTACCTATAAAAACTAATCAATTATTGAATATAAAGTGAATATAAAAACGCCAAGCACAAGGAAAACATTAAAAACTTACTTTCAAAAGCGGAACAGCATGTAGAGGTTGTTCACCTACGCAAACCAAATCGCTCCCCACGCCGTTATCGATTATTCTTTGTTTGGTAATATTCGTTAATTCTCTATCAACTTCAAATACCCCAACTCCAGGTGTTACAACTACGCTGAGCTGACCAGTTCGGTCATAACTGCGATCCAGGTAGTGCTTTTCAAATACTGAAAAATCATTAAATCTAAAGTATCGTTTGAAATTTATTGTTAAGGTAGTTCACTCGTAAAAGGACTTTTCTTAAGAATTCAATAAAATTTAAATATAAGGGCCATGAAAGTGTCTTTTACGCAACTAAAAAAAAATGTAATTTTTTGACCGTTTGTGAAACGAGATATTAACAATCAAAATGTGCATATTTAAAACTCTTGAAGCCTGTCATGTACACAAACAATGCATTTATTTCAAGATATCTCGAAAACGGTTCTTACTATATTTTTTAAAAACTAATGTAATGTAAATCAAGAAGTTATAACATTTTCTAAAAAAACGTTGAATTTTTTGACCGTTTTGGTAAAAAGATGTAGATTTTTAAAATAAAAATATTTTTAAAATAAAAATATTTTTAAAACAGTCGACCGTAATGGGGTACAATTATTACAACTTAGCAACATTATAATCGCTACGCTTAACGCGCAGTAACTCAAATATCTTTAGGCTTGTTTTGGTTCTTTCGGAAACTAGTTCAGAATCACCGAATTACACTCGATCAGCTAAGAGGTTGTTATATAACCTCGCGTCGTGTTCTTGAAAAATTAATTCGTCCTCTCTATTTGAGAACTGGAATCGACGGTTCCGTTTGAACCAAAACACACTCTTAAATTAGTAAGAGAAAGTCACAAATTTTTATTTCATATATTTGCGACGTTGTCGGATGAATTTTTCTTGAAATAATAACGTATCCGTATATATAAGCTTACATGTGTTGTGTACAGTCTCTTACAAAAATAACATTTTTTAGCATTGAGAATCTCGAACTTTTGATATTCACCATTAGGCGATATTTTTGTGTACGACTGTCGCGAGTGAACTACCTAAAAGTCTGTTAAACGGTCAATTATTTCGAAAAATAGATAAACAAAATATTTTTAATGTTGTTTAAAGAATCAATGTTGGGTAAATAAAGAACATGAATGTAGTTCATTGTTTTTTGATTTATTTCTTGGTAATTATTTTATTGCTGAAACAGATTTGTTAGAGCCACTGTAATAGTTCGCAATTTTCTTCTTGCACGTAAAATTATGGCAATTTGTATTGGACTGTCTGCGCTCTAACGTTCTTTGAATCAATAATTTTTCTTACAATTATAGGAAAGAGTGACGGACTGAAAATGTATTGTTGCAAGTCGTATTGCAGCTGCCTATATACACACATAGTCAGATGCACGAATTGAGTTTGTAAGAAAAACTGTTATCAGTAACTTATTTAGTTGGCGACCTTTCTGCAAGGAATTGCAAAGTGTATAAATAGTAATTTTTCTTGCGATTTGATTATGTAAGATGTTGAAAAGCTAAGATATAAAATTTGGGACAAATATATATTGTACTTATACAAGACATAAGTCGAATTGACACACTTAAACAACATGATCTACTTGTGATTGTACTGGAAACACAATTAGGTTTAATTTTTTAATGAGTCTCCCTGTATTATGTTTTTGGGATCTATTGTTCACATTACACACGACAGTATTGATATATTTTTCCAAACATTTGTTTTAAAAAAAAATTTAGATAAAGCTGGAAGATAGTGTTCTAGTTGGGTATTATCAGATTGGTAATCTTTCCATCTAATTGGCCCTTAGTAGGTGTCATTTAAAAAAGAAATTATGGTAAAAACTCATTTTATAAATAAATTGTTTATAGTCTTTTACAATTTTTTTTTTTTAGGGAAAATTAAAATTTGGCAACTCTTGTCATATCTACTTTGAGCCGTATATTCAAAAACTACAGAGTGAACTAATAAAAAATCTAACTTAATGGCATTTCAGGTAAAACCGGAAGTCAGCCATTTTATTCGAATATAAAAAGAATAATTTCAATTGCCTAGTATACTCTTTATAAATAAAGGAGATATTGACAATGGCCCTAACCCCTATACCTCATTGTCACAAATTATAATACTCAATTTAAAGGCTAAAATATGAAACAGCTGTATTTATCAACTTTTTAAATATTTAAAATAGGTTTTAGAAAGCATTTTTCTTCAAACGCAAACTATTTTTTAATGGATACTTAGGAAGGTAGAAATATAAATATAAGGAAAACATTATTTTCTGGAATGGACCTAACACTTTTTGTAGCTATAGCTTAGCGTTTGGCATATAAAATATATCAAATACTTTCTTTTGTGGATTGACAAAAGAGCAGACAATTAAAATATCGACAAAAATCTTTAATTACCATTTAATGACATATTGAGAACTTCCAAAAAATTTCCTTGCGCTGAAGTACTATTATTTGCTGCAGGTATGGTTAAACCAGGTCTCGAATGATACTCCAACACTATTTTTAAATAATCCTGAAATATCCTTCTAAGCTGTACAAGAACTGATCCCCAATCTTCGTATCTTTCGTTTTGTACTGCAACTCTAAAATGTTTTAGTTTTTTAATAGTTTCAATAAAACATTTAAAGCTGTATCTAATACATAATATGTCAAAATAATCACAATTTTAATAGTTTTCATTTGAAAATTTAAACACAGGAAAATATGTACTTCTGCCCACAAAATTTAAAAATATAAACAATTAATTATGTTACTCTAAACTACCTATAAAAATCTTCATAATATCTCCCTTTATAATCTTTCTGTAAGCATTCTCGCATATGTTGAGGAAATTCTTCGAGAGCATTGGCTTTATAAAACGTCCTTGAAAATAGAACAATTGTCACTTCGTGGTTGCTGCCATTCTTTTTCCACTTCATAAACAAATCCGCAAGAAAACCGTTCACGGCTTTTTCGAAGTATAGATCGCCGTGTATATCGAAATCCCACATTTCCGAAGACATCTGCAAGAACAGGTAGACCATCGACGTTGAGGATCTGAAAACGATTTTCGTATCGTCAGTAATGACTCCACAAGCCACTCTATCTCCTTGCGCCCACATCTCGTATACCTGACATCTCACAGTACCACCACAAAATTCTAATTTTTTGTTCATGTAAACGCAAGCACTGACCTGAAAAATAGAATCAAATCTACAGAACCATTGTTAACCGTTGCATTACAAAAGTTTTAAGGTCCCAAAAATAATTAGCAAAACCAAACTAGTTTAATCGAAAGAGTGGAATATGTTGTTCTAATTTGTAGTATTAAAATACGTTGTAAATGTGGTTTTTATTTAATACTCATGAGCGAATAGTGTATTTAACCATTGTAGTAACAATAAGAGTTTCTGCAAATCCATACTGGAGGTGACAGTGATCTATAGGGATCTGTCACCAAATAGGGCTTATTAAAATAGCGCTATTGTTTGAGCCCCTTTTTAAAATATGGCATTATCAAAATAGCACTGAACGAAATAACGCTTATCAAAAGAGCGCCTGAACAAAATAGCAGCGTTTATCAAAAGATCGTCTGTCAAAACAGCGCCCGAACGAAAGAGCGCCTTAATAAAATGGCTCTCTTTGAAATAGTAAGTATTGATACAGCATTAGTCCGAAGTGGCTCTGTCACGAAATTCCGAGTTTCAAAATGGCACTATTTTTTTACATAAATTGATTAAAAAAAAAAACAAATCGAACCTGTAGCTATCGCGGGTTGCTTGGCAAAAAAATATATACATAAAATGAAAAAAATAAAAAAAAAACTAAACTAATTTACTTAACCTGTGCGGCCTGGAGCCATTTAAAACGATCGCTCACGCATAGGTTAGGTAATTTTGTTGAGTTTTTAAAATGTTCTCATTTTTTTTACTTATTTATTTACGGGATTTCCCCATTACAAAAATTTATAGTATAACAATTTAAATATTAATGGTTTGGTATTGTCACGTTGTTCCTCAATCACTGATCACTTTCGACTCAAGACTTTTTGTAGAGCACATTATTATGAAGGTTTCTGACGCAAAAAAATGTATGGTTTTGTTATACGAAGGTTCAAAGACATTGGAGCATTAAAGACTTTATATTATTTCATACATCCGCACTAAGCTTGAGTACTGTTCACCTATCTGGTATCCTTATTATAATGTTCATATAACTAGTGTTGAATCTGTTCAAAGGAAGTTTTTGAAACACTTATCATTCACAGTAAATGGTGTCTACCCGCAAAGAGGAATTGATTATCAGCTACTTTTGGACAGTTTTAACATGGAAAGTCTTGCGTTTCTGAGAATTCTAGCTTCATTGACTTGTTTACATAAAATCATGAATGGGTCAATTGACTATCCTGCTATCTTGGCTAAAATTCATTTAAACGTTCCACATTATAATACAGACATCATTTAACTTTTTTTACTATAATAGATCTAGAACAAATATACTATTAAGCTCACCTCTCAATGTCATGTGTAATAACTTTAACCTGTACTGTAATTCTTCGGATATCTTCAATGATAGTTTGATAAGTATTAAAGCAATTGCTTGTAACTATTATGACAATGCTTGAGTTTTTTATTTTTTTTTTATTTTTATTGATTTTTTATATGATACTTTTTATTTTATAATTCTTTATTTATAATGCCACCTTTAATACTTATATTGTTAATAATTTGTTACGTTGCTCTGTAAAGGGATTTATATCTGTTGGGCAATAAAGGCTATTATTAAAGAAAAAACAAAAAATAGATCTTATTGAGTACATAAAACCACATTAAAATATATTGCAACATAAATAAAAGTGTAATAATTACAGAAAAAAATGTTAATCGAAAGTATTAAGGTACACCAAATATTTCTATTTCATTATTATTTATATTTCTTAAAGTACGATCTATAGGAGAATGTGTGCCATAGTTTGTATAATGAAAATTATTATAAAAAAGTTCTGAATGTCCAAAATTCCTGACAGAGGTACATTTAACCTTATCAATTCAAGAAGCTCAGGACAATTTATTAGACCATTTAGTAGAGTCCGAATCTTCTCGTTTTTTAATTAACTTATCCATGATAAGAGATCTTAATATCACTGTATAATATTTATTCTGAAAGCACAGTATCTTAAAAACATATTCTGAACTCTTTCTAGTATAATGCAGTGATTTTGATATTGTGGAGACCATACGATAGCTGCGTATTGTAGTTTCGAAACAATTAAGGAAAAATACACTCTTATAAGAGTGTATTTATATAGCCCAGATAGATAAATCACGACAGTTTCGTAAAACACAGCCTAAAATTTTAGGAATCCACTGCAAGTCAGTTTATAAGCTTCACAAAATGCAATTGCTCCTCAAACACCACTCCCCCTTTATCGATGTCACATAACACAGTTGATCTCTGTATATTTATAAAAACTTACAAAACAACATCCACAATCAAATGCAATTTTTTTTAACACCAATTATTTAGATCCTCCTGAATTAAAGTCATATCTTCAAATGATTGTACCTGTCAATAAAATTTAAAATCATCAGCATATATTAAACCCTCGTATATTATAAGCAATCTATATCATTGACAAATATGTTAAACAGCAAAGGTGAACAATGAGCTCCCTGCGGTACTCCAGAAGGTACTTTAATAGAATTTGATTTAAAACTGCCTATTCTCACTTGTTGTGTGGGACTGGTCAAAAAACTTTTGAACCATTTTAAAGACTGAAAAAGAAAGCCAAAATTATCTTAGTTTTTCTATCATAATGTTGTGCTGTACTTTATCAAATGCCTGGGAGAAATCAGTATAGATTAAGGTGTCATTTTTAAGCAACTTTTTTTTCAACTAAAAAAACAGGCTAAAAACTTTCAGGAAGGTGAAAAAAGAAGCCTCTAAAAATTTGAGCTCTTAATATTAACATTAAGTGGTGCCTATTCCTAACTTTCCATTTAAATAACATGAAAAAAATAGTTTTCTTTTTTCTTATTTTTGTAGCTTGACATTTTAGCATTGTAAATATGAACTGAAAAATTATTTTGGTAGCAAATTGCACTCTCTACAAAAAAGTTCTTATTTTCTTATTTATTTTTTCACAGAGTGAGCCGTTCTGAAGATATTCAAACTTAAAGTTGCAAATGTATGAATTTGTGACTTTTATTTTATTAAACTAATACTGATGACTTTTTTTATGTCTTATAAATTATTTTCAAGTAAAAATAATTATTTTCGTATAGAAAGAAAATAACACATCTCAATTATTTTTTTTTTTTCATTTTATTTTATTTACTATCAAAAAAAGTTATTTGTGTTCAATAAATTTGTTCAATTATAGATTAAATAAAACGACTAATTTGTTATTGTGTTTTTAATCTTTCTTTATTTTTTATAATTTTACCTGAACTATATTATTTTTCATTTTTACAATGCTCAAATATCGAGTTACAAAAATAAGAAAAAAAAAATTTTTCCATGTTATTTAAATGGAAAATGGAAAGTTAGGAACAGGCACCACTAAATGTTAATATTATGAGCTCAAATTTTTAGAGCCTTCTTTTTTCATCTTCCTGATGGTTTTTAGCCTGTTTTTTTTTTGTGGAAAAAAAAGTTGCTCAAAAATGACACACCCTAGTATAGATCGCATCCTATTGACCTTTTTTCTCTAATACAGTTAGTATATGTTGCTCAAAAATTAATAAATTAGTAACAGTTGATTTGTTCCAAGAAAAGCCATGTTGATTACTTATCAATCTCTCTTTGCAATGAAATTTTAACTGGTCGCTCACAATACTGTCCAAAAGTTTAGGGAGAGTCGATCGATTAATAATAATAATACTCTCCCTAATTCACCCCCTTACGAGTGAATTTTAACCCCAAAAGCTGAGCTTGTCCGGGGAAAGGGACGGCTATTATTATTATTTGCCGTGGCGCTCCGGGGCGACTTAAAGATGATTGATGGTGCCATTTGACTTACAGGTGAGGAAAACCCGGAAAACCTCACCCACCATCATCGAGACGGTAATGTATGGCGAATTTTTTTAATTTGCATGTCATATCAACAGAAATTGAATTTCTATTAATACGCCACACATCAAATCCTAAACCGAACCATGCAATTTAATTAAAAATCCACATGGTCTGGTCTGGGATTCGAAACCCAGCAGTCTCAGACTCATAAACTTGCCTATAAATGAATATAAGCGCGATAGACCGCTACACCACCGTGCCCGATACAAACACTACAATATTTTGTTGTCTTGTTTGTAACATGATTTAAATACTGGACTTATGTAAGTATGCTTCCATAAAAAAGGTATGAGTTTCCAGAGATGATTAGATGAAAATGATGTGTTAATGAAATACTTTTTTTTTAAATAATCAGGAGAGTCATCTGATCCACTGCTAAGCCTATGAGGTAAAGTTAAGATTTTATTAAAAATGCTTTCAATTGACACTGAAAATTTTGATATATTATGATAAATATTACTGTTACTAGAATTAGATTCATAATCAGTTGAAGTTTTGTGTGAGTAAACTGTAGAAAAGAAATCAGCAAAACTGTTAGCAATTTGATTTCTTCCCTTTGCCGAAGTATCTCCATAAATCATAGAGTTTGGTAAATCATTTTATGTATAATTTTTTTGCGAATCCACCCACGATGACTCCAGGCCGCACAGGTTAGGTAAACTAGTAAAGTATTTTTAATAATTTTTTTGCCTATTTTGACACGCTATTTCATTCAGGTGCTCATGTGATATGCACTATTTTATTAAGGCGCTCCTATGATATACGTTATTTCGTTCAGCACACTTTTTTAGTGACAGAACCAGTCTAAAGTGGTGCTAAACCTCACATATTACAAACTCACAGTAACAGATACCTAGATCAATAGAAAATAAAACTAAAAATTAAAAATATACACTACTTTTGCTAATTATTCAACAAACCGATAACAAAATATACAATTAGCCTAATTCACAAAGCTAAGTGACCCAAAAGAAGTAAAAATTAGGTGTCCTCAAAGAACAGTTCTTGGAACAATCCTCAGTGAATATAAGCTGTATTGGAACAGTAAATAAATAAAGAAATCTTTATTAAATAGGCAAGCCTAATATACAAATATATATAAATGTAAAAATAAAAAACTGATTTTTTAAATAATTTGATAATTCGGAAACAAATCTCAAAAATCCACTTACAAAGACCATCCCCAAATGTGAAAAAAAAAATACTTGTAGTTTGAAAAAAAAAACTGTCATTGCCAAGAGTTGAACCCATACCTCCAATTTACTGGACATGTACCCTTACTGTGAGGCTATCAATGACATTGACTGTCGAAATTCCTAAACGAAAATTTGAAGTGCTAGTTCTAGCCAGACAATGTTCAGGTTTCTTCTCAAATCTACAAAATACCTCCAATGCAGCATATGTGTAATGAAAAGTTCATTTTAATGAGATTTTGAGATTTGATTTCAAATTTTTAAATTGTTTAAAAAACATATTTCAGAGATAATTCTGACCTTTTGGATTTTGATTTGCAATCTACTATACATTAAATTCACAATTTCAAAACTGATGTTGCCTGTATAACACTAAATATTTTTCAAATTTGATTCTTGATTAATATGTAATGCAGAACTTTTTATATTTTAGTTTTGTAAAATTAATATTAATTTCCCATTTGTTGCCACTTTTTCAGACATTACTGTTAGTAATTATTTAAAAGTTCAACAATAAACTCTGGTCCTATTTTAAGTAAACTGACAGAACATATTATTATTCAGAGCAGAGCCAACCAAAATTTTCTCTTAAATAGCATGCATATATTTTTTATGATGTAAATTAGTGTAATATTTTCCTCTACAGCATATTCAAATTATTCCCTTTCATTTATTAATCCAGCTAAAATATTTAATGAAATATAGGGTAAGTATAGAATATTATAAGGACAATTACAAGAAGTTAAATAAAAATATATTTAAAATTTATTTTTCAAGGAAAAACTTAATGTCAATCATACCAAACTATTTTTAAGCCTCCACATTTCAGATCTTCCCATGTACTGGTCTTTAAAAGTAAGTTCTATTGAATCCAAAGCTACATCAGCTGGATTTAAGATGCGAATCGTTACATTTTTATAAGTCTGTAAACCAAATGCAGTGACAATAGTTTGCTCAATGCTTATGGTTTCTCTAGTTTGCAATAAATCATCTGAAAAGTTCTTTATTTGTAATAACAGTCTAGGAAATTCTTCTTCAGATTCATTTTTCTTATTTTTTTGACTATCATCATCTGGTGCTGGGTGATATATTTCAACAATATCATTCTTTTTTGCTTCTGGGTAATCCTTCTGATTTATTATTAGGTCTTCCTCTAAAATTAAAACAATAACTTAGTTTCCTTTACAATAGTAAGTTAGGTAATAATTGTTTATTATTACATATTATCTTACCACTAAAATGTTTTTGGTGTGCTTTTAACTTAAATGACTTCATTTCAGTAAATGGTGTCATTTTGCATTTCTGTTTACATATTTAAGACAATATATTGTTTTGATATCTATAAATGGAATGCCAGATATGTTTGTGGTAAATAACCAATGAGATCGTTTAATGTTATCTTCGTAGCAAATTTAATAAACATTTTATCTAAAAAAATTATTTGCTTCCATGTTGAGGTTAATAACTTCCACAGAAATCACAGACAGAAATTAGGCATTCCAAACAAATGAATTGCCAGTGGGAAGGTTTGGTAGATGTGACGGTTGCGACATACGATGTATTATATGTACAATACGTAAAATCATGAATAATGGATTACATTTAAATATTTTATATCGAACACTATAAAAATATTAATTAAAAAAACTGCTTGTACATTTTTGGCAGGATTGGCGACTGATATTTCGAATAAAAATAGCGTCCAAGATGCAAGACTATGTCGCTACCCCCCTTAGATATACGAGACCTTCCCACTGGTAGGTATTGTTTGACAGGTCGTTGGAATGCCTAATAACTTCCATGACGGAACGTAACATTAAACGTCAGTCAAAGTCAATTCATATTCTTCTTTTTCTAAAATGTGTAATTCACACAAATTTCATTTTCGTTTTTGAAAATCTTCTGTTTTGTTATTCAATAAAATTGTTCAATCTTTACTCAAGTCCGACTCAGCTGAGTTCTGTTTATAAATACGGACTAGGTAAACCGCTGGTAGCTATCTTCACCTGTACTTTAAAGACACGTAAGTGAATGCAATTCCACATTAGTTGATGCATCAATGAAAAATAGAAAGAAGAAGAAGACCCACACTTCAGAAAATTTTTAGAGGTTATGTTATGTCCATTTCCTCAAATGTTCATAAAGTAAAGATGAAAATAAAGAAACATTATCGTCCAAATAATGAGTCAAAAACTAATTATATAGACGATGAACTAGAAAATTATGAAGAACCAAAAAAATGGTACGAGGAAGTAAGTAAAATACATTTCTGTCTTGTGCGAAGATTAAATTAACTTTGTTTTCAGGAACAAGAAGACCCAAAAAATGTGCCCCAACATACAGAACAGGTTCTTATTGACCTGAAAGATGAAGCTAAAAAGTGCCACGATTCAGAAGTGTTAAATTACAATACAAGTAATATCATATATTTTTTCATAGATTATTAAAAATATCCTATTAATTATAACATTTTAGAAGCATCAAAAACGAATTCAAACCTTCAATGGATGAAAACGGTAATGTCTAAGGGTACGCTTTCTGATAAAATAGCGGCACATACTGTAATGATACAAGATAATCCTATTGCGAATTTAGATACTATCAGAAACCTAGTGAATATGGTAAAAGTAGGCAAGAAAAAGGAATGTACCTCTGTAATGGGTAAGAAGTATTAATAAATTGGTAATGCAAATTTTAATAAAATGTATCTTTTATTTTAGAAACTTTAACCGAGTTGTTTGTATCAAATCTCTTGATAAGTCACAGAAAGTTAAAATCCTTCCACCAAAGACCTTTGTCAGCATTAAATGAGCTGTCATCTGGTAATGCAGTGAGCAGAAGGAAAATTTTAAGTTTGTGGTATTTTGAAGATCAATTAAAAGAAATATATGCTACATTTGTACTTGCTTTGAATACAGTTGCTCATGATACTGTGGATAGTAATAAAGATAAGGCTGTTACAGCCTTGTACAAATTATTAATAGACAATCCAGAACAAGAAAAAGTAAGTGTATTATTTCACTCAAATATTGTGCTTTATTTTAAAATAAATCTTATTTTTAGAATCTCTTAACATATTTAGTGAACAAATTGGGTGATCCATCTCAGAAAATTGCTTCAAAAGTCATATATTGCTTGACACAATTGCTGTTTAAACATGTAAATATGCAAATGGTTGTTTTGAATGAAATTGAAAAATTGCTGTTCAGACCTAATATAGCTACTCGTGCCCAATACTACAGTTTGTGCTTTTTGTCTCAATACCATTTGAGCCATGAAACAAGTCATGTAGCCAGGAAACTTATTGAAGTCTATTTTGCCTTTTTCAAAGGCTGTGTTAAAACTGTAAGAATAAATTTATTCTTTTGTACAAATAATTATATTTGTTAAAATTAGAGTTTTGTTTTATGTTAAAAATTTATTGTATGCCCAAATTTCAGGGGGATGTTGATAGCAGAATGATGTCTGCTCTTTTAATGGGTTTAAACAGGGCTTATCCTTATGCCAAAATGGAATTTGAGAAGGTACAAGAACATGTTGATACTATGTATAGGATTGTACATATGGCTAATTTTAATATTAGCTTACATACACTTAGTCTTTTGTATCAAGTTTCTGATAATGGAGAGGGCATAACTGATAGGTAAGTATATTTTGGTTCAACAGAATATTTTTTTTTAAATACTGCCTGTGTTTGTAAATCCTAATAATTTCATTGACTTTTCATAAATATGTGTTGACTAAACATCTATAATTAAGAGGAACTTCTTTTTGTAGGTTTTATGGTGCATTATATAGAAAATTATTTGATCCAAACTTATTAAGTACCACTCATAGAGCAATGCTCCTAAGTTTAGTTTATAAGGCATTATTAAAGGATAAAGAAGTGAACAGAACAAAACTTTTTATCAAGCGACTTTTACAGGTAAGATATTATTTATTTTTCAAACTTTGTTTTACACTTAATCCAGGCAACAAAAAGGTATAGAGAGAAATGTTTGGAACACAATTTTTGACTTCGTAACTTTGTTTGGAATAATTAGGAGGTGTACATATCAAAAGTCCCCGCCTGTATCATTTGAGCCGGGGGGGAGAGGGAGTCTAAAGATCCCATTTTTCGGTTTTTCGCTTATATCTCGGAAACTATGCGTCCTAGCGACACGACCACTTATTATTTAGTTATTTATTTATATATATTAATGGGACATTCTCCTTTTAGTTAAATACAATGTTATGTATAGCATTACACAGTATAATTTCGATTAATAAAATAAAGTTACAAATTAAATAATACAAACAATAGTTAAAATAGATAAAATACAAATAATACTACAGTACAGTTAATTAAGTACATTTATTAAAAATATGTAAAAATACACCTTCATTAAATACCATATTACAATATATTACACTAAACTGCACCCCTAAGAGTCTCCATAAATGAGCTGACGGAGCTAAAGACATTGAGGTCAGCACGGTAGATATTTGCGAACCTAGCAGAACGAACAATGAAGGTATTACGTCCATAATTCGTCCTGTGGAAGGGTATTTGAAAAATGTTCGCTGAGCGGGTTGTCCTGGGTGGGACGTGAATTCCTATCTCTTGCAACAATTGAGGACACGGTACTCGAGAATTATATGTCATATAACATTATGAGATCTTTTTTGTTTCGACGGCTGTTAATAGATTGGATATTCAATTTAGATATCCAATTTAGAGTAGTTGATATCTTCGACTCCAATACACCCTGCTTAAAGGCCACATAACGTAAGAACTTATGCTGGACTCTTTCTAATTTAACAATATGTGAGACATAGTTTGGATACCAAACACATGAAGCGTATTCTAAATGGGCTCTGACTAAAAAACAATATAAGATTTTAAGTGTGTTGATGTTTGTGAAATCCTGAGTAGTTATTTTTAGAAATCCTAACATCTGTGGAACAAAAGATAGTTGTGAGTCAAAATTGACCCCTAGGATCTCTAATAATGTTGCAGTTCTCCAGGATATTGGCACTGATTGTATATTGAAAATTAATTATATCATGAGTTCGATGGAATATGATAACATTACATTTATCCAAATTTAGGCTCATGTCATTTAAGTCACCAATTGACTAAGTTTTCTTCTTTCTTTCTTTTACTTAGTCAAGTTTTTCAATATCTTGTATAGTTTTCAATATATATCGGCTCTTGAAAGTCTAATTTTGAAAAAAACATTTTTGCCTCTAGTCTTGGCATTGTGTGTGAAGATGTCAACCTCGTAGTCCTCTTGATGGCTAAAGTTGATGTGCATAAGGACATTATTTTGCATCAAACCTGGAAGATAAGGCATTCCTTATTCTCGTTTCAAGAGCTTCAGCAACAATGTTTCAAGAACGTGCCGTTTTTTGCACGCCTTTACTGAATGCGACACAACATCTTCGGCATTTCCAAAAAGCAAGGTCGCATTTGCGAAGTTGTATCTGAAGTCGCCAAAGGTCCAGAAAGCAGCAGTGGTCTTTTCAGACTCTTCCTCCACCACCGCTCAAGTACAGAAGGCAGATGAAACCTGCATCTTGAGGTGGTATGGAATTCCAGCGAAAGAGGTCTCACTCAATTCCTACAGGTACAAGTCATTCTTGAAATCGGTGGCCACCATCAAGCCTGATATCTCTCGTCTTCCTTCCACCAAGAGAGCAGTAAAACAGCATTCCCTTCGAATATTCCACCAAGTTCAACTGTGGCTGGGAAATGACCTGCCTCCTCAGATGTATGGGTGGAAGATTGAGAACAACTGCGTGGTCCCAGTGCACAGTGAGTTAGCAGCTGCACCGGAGGACATCCTGAAAATGATTTTCTGCCAATGCATGAAAGATTGCCAGCACGAAGTTTGGCTGCAAAAAAGCAAATCTCAAATGTTCCACAGCATGCCAAAATTGCCAGGGGAACTGCCTGAATGGGTTCCTTCAAGTTAACTCCGAAGATAAAGAAGAACAGGAGGATTCTATGACCGTTTCCCAACAGGGGTCTGATGGAGAAGATATTGCAGATAAAGTAGATGAAAACAAAGACGAGGATGAAGGTCCTTCCCACCCTAAAAGAGCAAGAAATTGACTCAATTTTACATACTGTTGTAATGTTTTATGTTAATTCACTTTTCTATGTCAATAAACGTTGCTTTCTGTTAATTGTTGTGATTTATAAAATCATCCCACTCTCTTAAAGACACTCATGCATGCAGAAACATGGTCATAGCAACATGCTTTTCCATTAAAATGGTCTAGATATTCTTTAATTAAGTATGAGGAACCTGGTTAGAGGACCCACAACTATATATTCTAAAATGAGTATCTGTGCTATTTAGACGTCCAGTACTCACTATATAAGTACATAATGGTGCATATTTCGGCCAATACCTTACCGTGCAAATTTTTGAGAATTTTTTTTTAAAATGTGAATATTTATCAGTGTCTTACGAGAAAGTAAGATCTCAACAACAATTCTCGAATTATACTATTATTTATTGATTAGATGGAGTAAAAAAAAAACCCCAATTTAAGGTTTTTGAAAAATTTAGGTTTTGTTTTTTACAATAAAATATATAGGTTACCATGGAATTTATTGAGAAATTAATATTAAAATATCACAAAAAGTTTTCAATTAGGTTACTTGAATTTTTTTTCAAAAAATCTTATTTTTAGTTTTTTTCTACTCCTTCTAATCAATAAATAATAGTATAATTCGAGAATTGTTGTTGAGGTCCTACTTTCTCGTAAGACACTGTACAAATACTCACATTTTTAAAAACAAAATTCTCAAAAATTTGCAGGGTAAGGTATAGTTAAAAGTTCACTATTAGATAAATAAGGACTTCTATTAGAAAAAAATTAATTTTAGTTATAATCTAATATTTTTTATTTAACATTGGTGGCGAAAGGACCTCCATAATGTCTCAATACTTTAAACAAATAATTTATTACCCCACCACCATGATTTTTGCGCAAGCGCAGTAGCACAAATGTGCGTGATGTAATCGTCGTTGCGACATGCGTTCACGTGAATGAAGGTTAGGTTAGGAGGGCATACGAGAAGTTCGCCTTGTTTCATCGTTTTCTTATTTTTCATCTTTTCACGGTAAATTGCTTTAGAACTTCTCGTAGATTTCCTAAAATAGATTTCTTAAAATAGATTTCTAAAATTAAACTTATCATTTCCTACACTAATTGATATAAAAGAAAAATTATATCCATAGGAGTTAGTTTAATTTTTTTATTGCAATGGGTAAGAAAATAAAAATAGAATCAAATGATTTAATAAAAAAAAATCAAGACAAAAGAAAAATATCTTAAAACCCATAGTAGATAATGATTATGATAAAATGGTTGCTAGTTCTTCATGTCAAAACGTAAGTATAACAATTTTTTGTTTTATTGATATAAGTTATGTGGCTTAAATAGTATAAGATAATATCTCTCTATAAAATTAATTATTTATTTTTGTTTTTAGATGTCTGATGTTACATTAGACTTAACGAATGATGAAATATTAGACCTATTAACTGAAACTGAAATGATTCCATCTATATCATTTTCGGAACAAACGAATCCACAACAATCTCTATCTATGTAATTAACGGAAACAATGGAGCCTCAACAACCACAGCTAACTAATTCAATTTCTCATACAACAATAGAAAAATTAAGTAAGCACTTAAATTTCAAATACAACTTTTATCAGGAAAATTACCAGGCCATGTGTTTAATAACTGAAAAACTAACAAATATTACCAAGGAATGTGAAGAAAAAGAACAGAAGAAAAAACAGGAGGAGATGGAACTAGAATCAATAAAAAGAAGTTTGGAAGAATCAATTAATGAACAACATAAAATACTCAATGATATAAATGTAATATACAAAAATTGTGGTTTTAAATAAAATCATTTTAAACTTATTTTTATTTTTTTTTTCTATACTATATAACAAACCTTGGTGTGTGGGAAGTGCGTGAAACGGGCCCTTGTGTGGGTGGGTCATGTGGGTTGTGTGTGGTCAGTCCATGACCTTGTGCACGTGGGTGGGGCATGTGGATCATGTGAGGTCGGGTGGCTGAACTTGTCCGCGTGTGAATGGGCATATGTGGGTCATGCGTGATCGGTGCGTGACCTTGTCGTCCGTGTGGGTGGGAAATCCGGGTCGTGCGTGACCTTGACATCGACCTTCACCTTGGCACGTGGGATCCTCATCACTCTTATCTTCCTTATCTCTCTTATCAGTTGTCGAAAAATGGTATAGTTTATCTACTGTACAGTATTGCACTCTGTGCTTTTTTTTGAGTCTGGTATTTTATGACAATATTTCGAAGTACATGTCTGAAAAGGACATGGCCAAACACTTCATAAGTGGGAAAGTGTGCAAAATTAAATAATTTGGCTGATTTTCATATAAACAAAGGCAAAATATAGTTAAAAAAGAAGACAACAAATTACTATACTATTTTTAATGATTTTATCTGCTTCATATTTGAGATTTTTATGTATTTTTTTAAATAAAATAGTCTCAAACCCTTTTTATTTATGTATTTACTATGCAGTTTTTAAAAGAATCACACATTATATCTGTGAAATGTACTTCTTTTTTCAATTCGGCTTTTACAACCATACGCTGAAAAAATTACTTAATAATAACCAAAAAGCACAAATGACATCACGGCTTTTTTGACACAAAAAAAATGGCAGTCAATCGATATATTGGTCACAATCCATTGCATCGTCTGACATACGAGTTACATGTTCCCTCTTTTTCATAGTCATAAGTTTCCTCCCAATTTGTAATATAGTTCTAAATGTCATTCTTCCTCATAAACATTATTTGTATTTTAGATATCCCAATTTGCGCAACCATGCTTTTCTTGTGGCATATTATTTCTAATTTCGCAGCTGTTGAGGAAACGAGAAGGACTTCATGCTATAATCTTGAAACAAAGTGCACTTAGTGGTTTTGATGACGATGATGAGGGCGACGAAAAATACATAGACGTCAAAGATGAAGACGATGTTAAAAATGAAGATGATAAGTTTGTTGCTGAAATTAAAGAAGAAAATGATGTCGAAGTTAAAGAAGAAGAGGTAAAAAAATGTTTTTATTTCTATTATATATAAAAATTTTAAACCTTACAGGAAAAAAATACCAATTTGGTTACCAATATGATGACAGCTTCTATAGAAATTAAAGAAGAAGAAGATGAAGATACAAAACCAGATATTCAATTTCTTGAAACCTCCCTTAACAATTCTGCTGGTTGGTACCATTGTAAAAATACAGGAAAAACATATAAAAATAAAACGAAATACAATCCTTTGGTTAGAAATCCTTTATACGGAGGTGGAGAATTCTGCACTTATATAGAACTACTCAATCTGAAAAACCATTTCCATCCGACTGTATCCTTATTTGCTACAAATATCATTAATGGCGAAAGTGTCGCTTACAACGGGGATCCGTTGAACGACTTCACACTCATTAGATTTTTGGATAGGTTCGTTTTTAAGAATCCGAAGAGGAGTACGGAAAGCGCCGGCAGAGATCGAACTTTCGGCAAAAGAAAATTGTATAGACCTAGGGGCGTTAAATCCATATCTGTTAAGTCAGACAGTTATGCTAAGGAGAATCCCAAAAATATACCTGTCGATGAACTATTTGTACATACGTGAGTATTTATGCTACATTGGTGCAACGTAATTTGGGTTCCAATGACAGTTGATTATTAACAAAAACAAACCGCTCTGTCATTGAAATTTACATATATTTTTTTAATATTGTTTTGTGGTAATTGTATATAATGATGTGAAAAACATAATCGGTGAGGCCGCTAACTATAACCTCTCCTACAGTTCTTACTTTAAGCAATGTTCTTTTTTTAAAGTCATTTTCTGTCGTCCGGATCTCATTATATGCTTACCTTTTCTTATAATCTTTTCGTGGCGTTTCTTAGTTGTTCCTCTTTACTTTCTGCCATCTACAATGGTAAATGAAAAAGTTTTCTATGATATAAAAAGTTTGACTTTTTAAATTTAAGATATCTGCAACAAAAATATCAAGAAAAAGATGCACCAGAGGCAGACGACAGCGATTTGGAGTCAGTACAAAGTGAGGAATTTGAGGAAATGTTGGATAAACTGGCAGGACCAAAGAATGATGAGGACGAAGACGATGATGTAGATTATCTAAACGAAATTGGAAACAGTTTAAAGAATGTACAAGAGAAAAAGAAAAGTAAGAGTCTAAATTTACAGTTGTATTTTATTTTTATATCCATTTGTTGTAGAAAATAATAAGAAACAAGATGTTGATGATGCTAGTGATATTGAAGACGACAGTGATGATTTGTCGGACGATAACGCAGATTTTAGTGACGATGAAGATGATTTAGAAATGAATGATGATGATAAAGGTACTAAACAATACTATTGGCAACTCTAGTCGTTACAAAATAATTCAAGATTAAATTAATATTTTTCCATTGAAAATATCACTTTAAGATTCGCTTATTTTTAACGATTAGTGGTGCAAATGGCCCTATGCAGCATTTTCCAATAACAATTTTTTGCAGAGTTGCTCGGTGATCTAAGCGAAGAAGATGATGAAGCTATAGACTTTTCCGACGAAGAGGAACCATCAAGCAAACAGAATAAAAAGTTGAAAAATAAAGGCGACATTATGTCTAATTTTGCTTCGGCTGAAGAATTTGCCACACTTTTAGAGGACGAAGGAAGTTCTAAGGTTAAACCTGGAGGTTCAAATGTGTTTGATAATAAGGATAATGCAGGTAAGCTAAAATTTTGATAAACGAAATATTTTAATACAATTTACATTTGAATCTGTTAAAAAATAAATTATTTTTTTAGGTGTAAAACAACTAGCATGGGAAGAAAGTCGCAACAGGTGGTTAAATAATTACAATACAACAGTAGGAGGCGGGAAAAATAGACATTCTAAACATAAACAATCGAATTTTCCAAACAAGAGATCAAAAAGTAAAGGTGGCAACCAAAACAAAAAGAATAAAAGATAATTATTGTATAAAATATTCAATATTAAGTTTTATATTCCTTGTCTTTAAATGTTGTTTTTCTTTTTTCAATAAATAGAAGAAAACACTTTCTACTCATTTTATTGCATGAAAAGATATATGTTACAATTAGCGGAATTTGCGCCTACCAATTTGTTTTTTTAAATTAGCTTTAAAACTACTATGTTGTAAAATTGATGACCGGAAAATTTTGCATACATTCCAGTACTTCCTCGAAGTTTTCTGTCGTCTCGTTTCTACTACCTTCCTGATTAGTTATGCTGTCGCTATGGATGTAATAATTTACTTGATATTACTTTATTAAATACGTTATGTCAATTATGTGTCATAAATTTTTCGAAGCTATAATGTTTTCGTTGGTTTATAATAGGTGATATACACTTTTTTATTGTACTTTTGGTCAGAAAAACCTATTTTACGTTTGTTTTCATTTTATCTAAATATAAAATATTACAAAACACGTCAAATAGAACACTGACGAAAAGAAAACTGAAGAACAAAATAGAAGTGATCATGAATGGGCAATGGCCACTGTGCGTCTTTTTTGACATAGTATCAATGCTTTACGTCTGTTAATACTGTTAAGTACAAATATGAAAATGTTCCTTTCCCATCATCAGTTCATGATAGAACTTGCTAAGACCTAACTCGGGTCTTGTCGACCCCTGGAATCGATTTAGTCTTATGGTTCCTAAATGTATGACATACCATTTGTTGAGAAATTTTGAAGATGCAAAAACGATGTAAATGTTCAACCTTTGGAATGAAAAAGGACAGTTTGTTTTTATTGTTCAAGTCGCCTCCAAAAAATTGGGAGCATTGTAAACGCGCCATCTGTGGAGAACAACGAGGTACTTTTTGTTCTTCAGATTTGTAAAAAGGGTTCTTTTTATGCATTATACGTCAATACATGCCTAGAATATACCTTAATTTTTATAAATACAACTGGACCATGTACTTTATTTATTTTCCCATCGTAATATATACGATATATTAACGTGTTTTAGGGTAAAATATATTGATATTTTTTAAATTACTTTAACGTATCCACTTTTAAAAAATCAACAATGGCATTTTCGCTTGTGTCAGTAAGTTTTTCTTCAACTGTCAAAAAATATTGATATTTTGTACTATTTTCAGGTGTAAAAGCTAACAATTCTCTTACTTAAAAAAAATTAGAGCTCGTTTCTAAACAACACCATTAATTCTTGTTAAATGTTCTACTTTTAATCCTAAGACCGCCTAGGATCATACGCATGCACAAGGATCTCACCACATTCTACAATATACTGCACTCATATAGCTTTAGTCCAGAGCTATTGGGAAAAATCAATATTCATGTTCCTTCTAGACAAACAAGGCTTATTCAGCCCTTCAATATTAGACATCGAACTAACTACAGATATAATTATTTTCTCAGGTAGATTTGATAATCACTACTGTAAATCAGACAGTTGATAATATGCATTTGTTTTCGAAGCGTCAAAAGTCAGTTTGTAGTAACACATTTACAAAACGAATCACTTAACGACCGCTCAACGCATGCAAATTGTGCGATTGTTTCATCAAAACAACAATTCCATACGAACTGTATACAGACTTTTACGCGCAGATTATGATCAATGTAATCGTCCTACGGAGCGAACTATTCGAAATGTCAAAAAATTTGAAGATACTGGAAGTGTTGCAGAAATGAGAAGGTCTGTGAATCATCGTCATGTACGTTCAGCTGAAAATATTGCTGCAGTTAGTGAAAGCCTGGCTGCTAACCCAAGAATGTCGATTCGCCGGCGCTCGCAAGTTTTAGGCTTTTCTTATGGCTCCCTTTGGCGCATTTTGCATCGGGATTTGCATTTACACCCATATAAAATTCAGCGAACACAAGAGCTGAAGCCTAGGGACCATAACCAATCAACCCGAAACGTTAGATCATCTGGAAAACAATATTCTCCAATTTATTGCCAACATATCGCCTGAAATGTTTGAAAAAGTCATCGAAAATTATCTAAAAAGGATCGACTCTTGCAGAAGGTCTAGGGGCGGCTATTTAAATGATATTATTTTTCATACTTAATGAAATACTTAATATTTTCTATTGCTAAAGTTAAAATATATTTTTTTCTAAATTTGAGTTTTATTTCATTTTAAAGATGGGAAATTCAAATTGGATCACCCTTTATGTGATATTTTGATGTCTAGATAATTTAACTTATTTACAACCGTTATCTTGTTTTTTTTTAATATTTAATTTTTTCTGGTTTATGTTAATTTTATGGTAATTTGTGTTTCTTTGTTTCAACATTCTCTAAGTGTATGATAGGTTTTAAATTTTCCCTTTTATTAAACTTGTATTTTAATTGAGCAATTGCTCGTTGATAAATAAATAGTGTTACTACTTGATACCAGCCCTTGTTCGTCCAAAGTTACTATAAAATATTCCAATAAAACAACTTAGTAATAAAAATATTGAGTTCATTGATAAAATATATATATCACAAAATATTTATTTTAAATCAAAGTTGAGATACTTCATATAAATAGGCACCCAGCAGCTTTGCCTGAAATAAAAAATATAATTAGATTGATCTGTTTAAATATCCAACAATAGACTTTTCTTAATTTTTCTAATATACGGCTATTGCCAAAGAACTGTCTTCCGTCTTTCAAATATCATTAAATAGCTGGTTTGAAAGTAAAACAAACATTACATTAAAACACAAATAATATAAATCTATATAACATGTTTTGAGACTTGCTGTATTAAAAAATCAAAACTAATAATAACATAATAATACTCTCCCTATAATTCACCCTCTTACGAGTGAATTTTAACCCTACAATTCAACACAATGATTTGGTAAAATAAAATGCAAAATGTAATTATTATAACCTTTAACTCCAACAACACAACTTTACAATCAAATGAACCAACTAAAGTATATTCGAACAGACCTTAAATCTGACATATTAAATGCATTCAATTAAATTATTTGATGCCAAGTTTAAAAAGCAATATTACTTTTAATTATTTATAAGAAAATTATATTGTCAACAAAATAGATATGCTTACCCCATTGATATAATTTCTGACATCGAGCTTTTCGTTTTGGGAATGAGCACCATCATCGCCAGCTCCCACAGGAAGTAAAATGATATTCTTTCCGGTAACCTGTTGGAATGTCAACGTAATTGGAATGGAACCGCCTTCACGGCACAAGTCTGGTTCGACTTCGTAAACGTGTTTGGTGGCTTTACTAGCCGCACTGTAGTGGGGATGGGTGGGATCCTCTGTCCAGGGATGGCCACCATCCGCCATGAATACCTGCATTTAACGAACGTTTGTCAGAAAAACCTGTAGAGACGGTACAATAAACATGGCGATAGATATTAAAGGCAGTATGAAGAAGTGTTGTAATATCAGAACTCTTCTAATGTTTATTGTGTTTATTGAAGAGGCACAACTAAATCTAAACCGTTTAATAGTAGTTTACGTTATAAGCCCGTTACCTAGATCTTTACGTGCGAGCACGTAGAGATCAGGTAACGGGCGTGTATCGTACAAGGTATTATGATATACTGCAATTTACTACGTTTTGCAACCTAAAATCAAATAAAATTTTACATTTGGCACCATTATTACAAGTTTCCAAATGTGACTTAAAAGAATGACAGTTCAGTCATAACCGTATACAGAGGTAGGTTACGACGGTATAACATTGCAGTGTATCATAAAAGCTCTAAAACATCACTAAAATAAAGGGTACAAACTGACTGCTAAGAATTGTATTAAATTCAGCTATCAAAATTTCTCACCTTCATTTTATTGGGACTGCCCCTGGTATTCCAAATATTTTGAATGTAATCAACGACGTATTTCTCTATTTGCTTTGGTTCCTGATTCGGTACAATCCTAATCGAAAATTTTCCAATGACTTTTCTCGGTATCACGGTCTTTTGACCGGGCGCACTGAAAGCTCCCTCTATACCGTGCAGGGAAAGGCTGGGGAATCTCCAACGGTGCATTAGAATCTTCTCTTTCTTCTCGTTGTGCATCAGTTTGTTGCAACCGATGTCCTTGCGGTAAGCATTGACGTCGAAATCGATGGTTTCATATAAGGCGGTTTCAGTCGGGTTTAATGGCGCTACTTCGTTGTAAAGACCGTCCACTAAAATTTTTCCGTCTTTGTCGACGAGTTTATTCAAAAGGAACACTAGGTCTGTCATTGCTTCGTGACTAAAAATAATTTTACCATAAAATAGTAGCCGAGTATGAATACACAGGTAATGAACAAATGAACCGGTGATAGTCAACAAAGTTAGTATCATGTATTTATCCTTTCCGCCGAAAGCCATGGTTTTTCTTGTACAAACATTAAACATTTATTTTTTCATATAAAAAAATTGATTGTACGAAAAATTTTCAAAATTATTAGTTTAAAAAATAATTTTAAAAACTAATTGTTTTAAATAAAATGTATTGATTCACTTCATTTTCGAAAAGGTAAACTAATCAAGTACAATTTTCCAAAAACGAACTATAATTTTCGAAATATAATTAAAAAAAAAATTAGAAATAATCTTCTGAACTACCAAACTTTATATTTCATTTTATCTATAAATTATTTAACATATAAAATTATATATCTGGTTATATTTCATCGTCCATAACTTCTCTAAAAGTAAAAAGATATTTTTAAGTTAGTTGAATGTTTTCATTTCTTTTAATTTATTTTTGTAGTAGCCTGCCCAGTAAGTTATTGACTTATTTTCTATTCTGTCATACTTTGTTCCGTTTTCAGTGCAGAAATAACTATTTTTTATGTATAGTTTTCTGTGAAACAATCCGCGATGGCCCTAGGCCACACCGGTTAGGTAAATTATTTAGATTTGTTAATTTTTTTCATTTTATGTATATTTTTTAAGCCATTACCGATTTCTATTTTCCCTTAATATATTTTACCACTGCTCCGAAATTAACAATATATTTAATGAATAAAACCCAAAATTTATATATACTTACACGGTGCCTCCAAATACCCCACTGTGTAAATCTTTATCAGCACATTCTACTTCAATGAAAAAATAGCAAACTCCTCTGAGTCCGTAAGTAATGCAAGGTTTGTTTGTTCCTAGCCAATAGTTGTCGGAAATGCATACATAATCTACGTCAGCCAAAAATTTATCTTTCTCAGATATCAAAAGAGGTTCCAAGCCTTCACTGCCACTTTCTTCCATTCCCTCGAATATAAATTTAATGTTTACCGGCACTTCTTCCCCAATAGCCTGAAATCAAGCAACAAAATAAAACATTTATCTAATGTTCCATTGAAATATGTTGTTCAAATCAATGGTATAGCTGAATCCGGAAACAATAGACAGTAATAGAATATCAAAAATTTGTGAAGAATGCTGACAGATTTGCCATATGCAATATCTAATACACAGATTGAGCTTCGAAATATACAATTTTTCCCCATTTAATCAACTTTGTATCACCAACGGTTTGCAAATTAAAAAGTGACCCGCTACCGAACAGTTGTTCATAAAGAATACTATACATTTGATGTTATTATTGATTTCTAACAATTTTTTTTAATGACGGGTAAATTGTTAAATGAAGTTTGGCGCTTATCAAGCACAGTTTTTCTACTTAACTATTAATTTTATAAATAAAAATATTGCAAAACACAAAATAGCACAATATTCTTTATTTGAAAATTTGTGAAGCATTTCTAGAATTTTAAATTTAAAAGATGTTAGATCAATGTTTTTGTTTTGTTCAAGTCTATTATTATTTCCTTTATTTAGCTAGTTTGCTAATATCACAATATACAAATTTACTGTTTCTGGAGAAATATTCATCAATTAAGAAATCTGTCACTTTGACTTTTAAATGTAGTTACAGACGTTACTGATTTAATTTTCTCTGGAAGTGCGTTATATTGATTTAGAGCTTTAAAAAATAGTGAATTTTGTGTTGCACTCTTAACAACTGTTTCAATATAAAAGTTATTTCTGTTCCGCGTTGGATAATTGTGCACATTAGAGTGATAATTAAGCTTCTCTTTTAGGTACATTGAAAGTAACCCGTGTTTGATTTTATAAATAAAAATTAACGCATTCCGTAATAAGAGACTTTTGATTGGCATCTATCTCAAAGTTTCAAGCATTAGATTAATGGAAGTATATTTTGAACAGGATAATATTATTCGCATAGTCCTATTCTGCAGCTTCTGTAGTCGGTTCAACTCATTTTGATTTAGTAAAAAGAGTATTATAGAGCAATAATTAAAGTGAGGTAGAATTATAGTATTATATATAATACATTTAGTCCACTGTGATAAGCCAATTGACCTTTTAAAGAGGAAATTTAACTTAAATGCAATAGTTTTGATAACATTGTTGGCATGATCTATGAATCTCATCTGCTTGTCAATCATTACCCTTAAGTATTTGAATTTTTCTACTAACTGTATAGAAGTTCCTCCAATTGTTATGTTATATTGTTTATCAACAAACTATAGTTATAGTTGCTACTTATCAGCATACATTTTGTTTTATTTGTGTTAATTTTCAACAAATTATTGCAACACCATTTATAAACATGTTGCAGTGTTTCATTAACAACTCTTACCGAGTTATCTGAATCCTTACAAGAAAAATATATTAGGGGACCATCAGCAAACAGGTGAATGTCACATTGACCCTTGAAATCAACAATGTCATTGATATACACTAAAAACAACAGGGGACCCAATATACTTCCCTGCGGAACACCTCTGATATAGTTAATTTCCTCTGACAAAATGTTATTTAATTTTAACTTTTGTTTCCTCTTACTTAGATAATCCACACACCACTCCAATGCTTGCTCTACTATACCCATACTTTTCAATTTTTTTATCAAACGGTTTTGATCAACAGTCTCGAATGCCCTTTGAAGATATATAAAAACTGCCAATGTTAGATAGTTTTTATCAAATTTATATTTCCAATCATATAAAACACTGGATAGCTGATTCACAGTTATGTTTGCTTCTGACGCCAGATTGTAGTAATAAGTTTATTTTGTTCTAAAAAATTAACAATTTGTTCATAAACGACCTTTTCAATGATTTTTTCGATACAACTTAACATACTAATAGGCCTTAAATATGTAGCTTTATTTGCGTTTTTTGTCTTTGGAAAAGGCACTACCATAGCAATTATTAGAGCATTAGGTATTTTTGAAATTTCTAATGACGAATTTATCAAATTTAAAAGTGGTTCTGAGAGGTTGGGAAAACAGTTTTTTAAAATATTAATGTTAATGTAATCTGTGCTACTTTTATTTTTCATTGCAAAAAGAATGTCTCTTAAAGAATCCACCGTATATATTAACCATAACAATCTTTGAAGGCTCAGTTAAATTCATAATTGATTCTCAAACCATTTAAAAAAATGGTTCATTCATTTCCCCATTATAGTCGGGATTGTTACTATTTGATGAAAATACCAGTTCTGTCCCAGCAATAAAATAATTTTCTTTACCAGCATGAAGAACAATGAGTCTTTTTCCATCAACTCTTGTAGTTTCTACGCTCCTTTTATCGTTATTTTGCCAAGAACAGTTGAAAATGTCCATTGTATCTTCCTAAAATTTGATAATCTGGTATTGTATGATCAATCATACTAGCAATCGATTGGATACTGTCTATGTAAAACATATTAAGAGTATTTGGAATTTAAGTTTTTTGTTTTTGTTTGCTTGTTGTTGTGTGTATTTTTTATATTAATCTTGTTCTTCTTTAGATTTGCGAAGTTCCTTTATCTCTATACCCAGTCCTAAAGATTTATCTGCTAGTAACATAGGTGCCTTTCCAAACAGTTTAAAATTTGGCGAGCAGCCTAAATACTCATTATGTGAATAATTATGGTGCTGTATCGCTGCTTCTAATCCCTTTTTCCAGCCACCAGTGAGTTCAGGGTAGCATTTTAAGTAAGTTTTTACGTCTCTTATGGCTCGTTCGGCAATACCATTACTCCTTGGATGATAAGGACTAGTGTGAATTAACTTTATATTCTTACTTATTGCAAAATTTCGAAATTCTTCAGATTTAAAAGCTTTTCCACAATCTGAAACGATGTTCTTTATTTGGTGAATATAAGGAATTTTATTTAAATAATCTATAAGGGCTCTGCTACTCTCTTTTAATGATTTGCCAAAAACATATCGTGGAGCTTCATCTATAACAATAACAAACCATTTTGTGGTTTGATTTAAATCCGACTTTTTACTCACTTCCCCAAAGTCAATATGTACAGTTTCAAATGGAATTTCAGAACATTGTGAGATGTGTGTATAAAATCTGGTTTAGGTAAATATTTGAATTTATTAATTTGACATATTCAACAAGTTTTCACATACTCTCTTATCTGCTTTGCCATAGAATTCCAGAAAAATCTCCTTTTTAACTTATAGTATGTCTTATAATAACCGTCATGCCCACCTGAGATCGGATCATCGTGATACATCATTAATATTTCTTTTACCATTCTAGGAGACTTTACTAAATACCTACCATCTTCTAACTTTTCTAGATCTTCCACCATTAAATTACACCAAAAGGAATCATTTGTTTCATTCGGCATATCAATACATAACCTTGAAATCGCATCACTATCTTTTAATTCTTGGCCACTCTTATGATTTACCTCCATGTCAAAACTCGATAAAAATAATTGCCATCTTGCCAAACGGTCTCTAAGATTTGCGCTGCTTAGAAGTTGAGTTAATGCTCGGTGATCAGTATGAACAACAAAGTGTTTATTTTCTAAATATATTCTAAAATGTTTGACCGCCTTGACCACTCCTAGACACTCTTTTTCTGTAACTGAATAGTTTAGCTCACTTTTAGAAAAGGTATATGAGTAGTAGCTTATAACTCGGAGTTGTCTATTTTTAGTCTCGTTCTCATCTCTTTGATATAGGATAGCCCCACACCCATAGTATGACGCATCTGTAGCTAGTTCGTATTTTAATTTTGGATCTGGTAATCGAAGAATCGGTTCTGAAGTAATAATTGTTTTTAAATTTTGGAATGCTTCTTCACATTTTTCACTCCAAATAAATTTTTTATTTTTTGATTTGAGTTCTTCTAACGGTTTGGCAATCTTACTATAAGCCTTAATGAAACTTCTAAAGTGATTAGTAAGACCAGTGAAACACTGTAAAGATTTTAAATCAGTTGGTTTCTTCATATGTTGTACCTTTTCTACAGTTTCTTTTTTCATTCTTTTTATATTACCATCTATTTCTCTTCCTAAAAATATAACTTTTCTTACGTAAAATATGCATTTTTTCAAATTTATTTAAAAATTGTTGTCATTCAATCTCTTTAAAATTCCAAGAGTGTTTGCCTGACACTCGTCTGAATCGGATCCTCCACAAACGATGTCGTCGATGTATACTAAGATTTTTTTTCCCAATAAGTCTCCTAATACTTCTTGCATTATGCTCTGGAATCTAGCGCTTGAATTTTTCCATCCAAAAGGTAATCTTTTAAATTCAAAATGCCCTTCTTCAGTTATAAAAGCTGTGTATTTCCTAGTATGTTCCGAAAGGATAATATTCCAAAATTCATCTTTTAAATCTATTTTAGAAAAATATTTACATCCGCCGAAAGTTTCGATAATATCATCAATCATGGGAAACGGGAAAGGATCTAGGTGTGTTTCTTCGTTAATTTTCCTATAGTCTATGCAAAATCTATAAGTCCCATCAGCCTTCATCTGAAGTACACAAGGTGAGGCATACGGAGAATCAGATTTTGTAATAATGTCTCTTTCAATTAATTCTTTAATTTTTTCTTTAATCCAGTTCTTCTTTTCTATAGAATGTCTATATGGCTTTAATCTTACAATTTTTGCACATTCTTTTAAATCGAAATTTGTACTATAATTACTGGGGTTACTATCATTATAATTTAAAACATTTGGGAATGATTTTCTTATACTCTCTTCAGATATAAGATGTTTTACTTTATTATGAAAAATCTCCAAATTATTTAGGGTTTTTCGACCTATTATCATGTCAAATAACATATCTTCAACAATAACAGGATTTATTTCTTTTTCGTTCCCATTTATATTTATCTGGATTCTTGACTCATAAGAGCATCTTGTTATTCCCGCTAGACTTTTGATACTGACATTTTTCTTAAATTTTGGAAATTTATACCTATCAACTACTTTTTCATTAATTATATCTAGTTCTGAACCAGTGTCTAACAAAGCCTTTAGTTTTATATCATATACTAATACAGGTACAACATTTTCATTATTTTCTATTGAAATATTAAAATTGTAAGAAAAATTCGAATAATTTTCAAAATAGTGTATTTCTTTCTCATCAACATCATTGTTAACTATTTCATTGCAGTAGTTTCTAGAAAAATTGTCCTTCAAACCTGCTCCTTGTACCTCATCTTCTGTTCTTCTATTAGTGTCCCTTTTTTCTACTGGCTTCCACGTGTGATTCTTTTTGAAATGTGTTTGAGTATTCTTTGGCAACCCGTTCTCCTGATAATCTGGAGCACTGCAGAATTTCTCAATCTTTAAATATTTTAAATTTTGTAGTAACTCCTGCTTCGAATTAATTTCTTTACCACTGAGCTGCCTTTGCATGGTTGTAGGAAGTCCCAAAATAACTAAAGCTATCAAAGATCTTTCAGAAATGGTATCATCTGCCCATTTAAGTAACCTTTGCTTTTCGAAAATATATTCTAATATATTTCCATAATGATATTTTAATGCCAATGCCTTTTCCCATTTAATAATGTAATTTTCATCGAATGTTTCGATGAACTCCTTCTTCCATTCCTCCCACTGAAACTCATTCATTGCTGTGATCTGAACCTTCTCTTCATACCAACTTAGTGCTACGCCTGTTAGTTGACCTCTAAGGTGGAAGATCTTCTCAGCTGTTGAATTCCATTCATTCGAAAGACATGCAAACTCATACGAGTTCATCCAGGCCAGTGGATTCTCGCCCAAACCATCAAACATCGGTATTTTCACCATCTCCGGTCTAGTTTTTATTGACAGCCACTTCGACATCATTTTGTCTAGTTCATTCTTTCCAAAAATTATGTTCTGGTCTTTTTCTTTTTCACGGTCTCCTCATAGTCGATTCGGATAATGTTTTCACTTGACTGCGCCATTGTAATAAAATATGAGAGTATTAGCTCGAATAAGCTTTATTAATATAGCTCTACAATATTATTTCAAATATCACTTATGTCAAACTTGACAATACTGTCCAAATCTCATCAGAATCAATCATACAGGATGATCTTCTACAAATGTCAAAAATATTTTTTATAACATTATTTTCTGGTTCAAAGTTATTGGACTTATTATTTTTTGGAATCAGACATTCAAGGTATTTCCATATTTCCTCTGAATTTCACCTACTTTCGTAAATGTATTTACTTTTTTCTGTTCTAATTACGTTAACAGCCCTATTTCTATGCATTTTGTATTAATTCCAATTATTTTCTGTTTTTTCTTGTGAATAATTTTTATATCATTCCACCATTTTTTGTATCTAGGAAATATGTTTATTTGTTTTTTTGGCGCTACAGAATCTAATACCTTAATATTTTTTACAAAATTATCATATTGTGCATTAATGTCATAAATATGATAGTTCCATACTAATGTTGAAAGTTTGTTATTAATTAAATCAAAATTTAAGTCCTTACCTCTGCTTTCAATTTCAAAAACAGATCGTCCATCACTATTTAATAGCACACTTGTTAAAAGCATAAAATGATCTGAAATTCATGTTGTTTTGATAACCTCAGCTAAAACCGAGTCATTATTTGTTATAACTAAATCTATTAGTGTACTTCTACTTCTACTTGATCAATCAAAATATCACTTAATTTCGCACTAAGTTTTTAGTTAACAGGTCAATATTAAATTCTCCAGAAACAATAACTATTTGAGAATTATCACATAGCCCAAGTGCTAAAACATTCTAAAAAATTTATACAGCTAGGTGACCTATATAAAGATACAATTAAAAAAATTTTGTTTCCTAATATTACCATCACAGAAACAATCCAACAAATTTTTGGAATACAAATTGTACTTTTTAATTTGGATCTTGAGTTTAAGACTTTGTGGGAAAATCCTTATTAACTGTGGGGGTGATAGATACGTTATCAAAAAGAGGAACAGTTAAATTATTTAAACCTGTCAAATCTATGGAACCCAAGTTACTATTATCAAAAGGAAGAACAGTTAAATTATTCAAATCTGTCAAATATATAGAGCCCAAGTTACTATTATTAATAGGAAGAACAGTAAAATTATTTAAACCTGTCAAATCTATAGGGCCCAAGTTAGCAGACATGTTACAGTTTGTATTTTTAGATTTCACAGAGTTAATAAATTTTAAATTTTTACAGACATTTTTGCTATTACTTATTGCTAGTTATATGAACTCTATATGCAAGCTTGCAAGCCGGTCTATGACATGCTTCGTCAGCACAAGCTAACTTATGTTAAATTGTAAAATTGTCATTCCTTATTTTTTATCAGAGTAAAACGTTTGTTAAGTAATATAAAATTTTTTAAAAAGTTATTTTTCCATTCCTTAAATTTATCTTGCTACACTAATTTTTCGTATGATATCAGACAGTTTTAGTTTGGCACCTTGCTCAGAATTGATATTTACATATAACATTCTACCTTTTGTATAATTGTCCAACTTCAAATTAAATTTCTTGATTAGGTTTTTGTCACTGTGTCTTCTTAAAATTGGAACAGCCACCATTATAAAGTTAGTGTGGGTACATAGTTTCAGTTTTGAACAAATATTTCTGAATTTAGGGACCCTGGACATGTCAAAATCATTAGCACCTGCTACCACAATCACAAAATCAGATAATGAAAATGTTTTTACTAATTCAGCTACATTCTCCATCCAGTACATTGTCAAAATTCCCTCCTGGTTTAATAATAGATTGAATGTTGAAACTTTTGAATCCAGGAGACCATCTCATATATTTATTTAAGTTAATAGCAGCTTTGTCGCCTAATATTAATATGTTTTTCGAAGGAATACTTTGCACTTCCCATTTATTTAATACAGTTTTTGAAAGGCTTTTTCCTGTCTCTAAGTCAAACACATTTGTGGTCATTTGGTTTTTTCGATAACAAAGTGTCGATTTCAGATCTATCAACTCGTTTTCGTAGGTTTCTTTATCCTTTTCTAGGGTTTCAATTTAAATTAACAATCTCTTTTGGATGTCCGTTAGTTCCTCTTTAGTTTTCTCCATTACAAGCAAATGTTTCTGACTCAGTTCCAGTTCTGCTCTAATATCTATATTTTTTTCTGTTAAAATTTTAATTTCATTCTTTAGATTAGTTATTAGCATCTGTTACTCGTCCCTATCTGAAGCAATTTTTCTGTCAAGTTCAAAAAGTTAATCTCCAGATTTTTTAAGTTGCCTATATCTATATCTTTATTTCCTAACAGTTCATTTAGCTCTTTCAATAACTCTTCAGGATCATTTTCAACTCCGGCACAGCTATCATCTTTTTCAGCACACTCGATAGAACAGATCACCCTATACCCCTTCAAAATTTTAACATTTTTCATCCTCTCGAGACAACTCTGATGAAAAATATTTATACATCTGATACATATATAATTTACAAATATTTTGTTTTGACAGCACTTAAAATATTTGCCCATTTTCTATATTTATCTATTCTGCTGAGTAAAACGACGTTAGAATGGAACAGTAGCCACTTTCATTTACATTTAAAATTGTCCTTATGAAAAGTTTTTGTCACTTAATTGTAAAATAACAAAAAAAAGCGATAAAAAACTTGGTTTAATTACTTTTATGAATTAAAATGTAGTTTCACTTAGTAACGAAGACATTTTACACTGGATATCACTCACAATGGTCAGATAATAAATTGAGTTTTAATTTGATATAAAAAAACAAATTAAAAGTCCGTGGTTTTCCATCTGAAAACTAGAATTTTGTAGGAGCGAAATAAATTTAACCTATACGAAGGTTAATTCATTCACATTCCTTCACATCTATAGCCTTGACATTTCCAGTTATTAGCCAGACTCTATGTTAATAATCTTAAAATTCCATTTAGTAAATATTTAATGATAAAAAAGTCTTCAAAAAATTTGTGCATGGTTTTATGTCACATTTACAGATAGGAGATTTACTTCCTTGCTTATGTAGCTTGTTTATTTTTCAATAACACTACATTTATTACAACAAACTTCCAATTGTGTACTTTAGATATTTAGTAATGTAGTTTACAGCAGATATAGTGACTAATAAAATATTTCCAAGAAGATAAGAAGGTTACCCAAGACTGATTTTAAAATAGCACATGTAGGGGTTTAGGAATTCCCAGAAAATAATAATAATAACATTAATTATTATTATTATTATTATTAGCTCTGCTGAACCACTAGTATGCATTAATTCTAAGGAAAACATATACTTATATTTATTTTGAATTAAATGAACTTGTTCTCTTTTCCCCTTTCTTAAATATTGAATCATAATTATCATACTTATAACATCAATTTTCAGTTATCTGCAGTTTTTAAAAATTATACAATTTAGGTCTTTTACTCAGTTAAAGATAATAAGTTATTATCTATTTCAAACAGTGACAATCTTAAAAATAAGTACCTATCTACACAATAAATAAATAAATAAATGCACTTTGATATCAAATCAGAACTACAAGGGTCGATTTGTTTATCACTTTGTGATAATTAGCTATTGTTTTAGTCATCAGTTTAAATGGAAAACTGTTTAAGTTGGAATTCTCTAATCTTAAATAGTGCTAATTAAAGATATAACTCAAAATTTAATTTTTTATATTGCACAAGTTAGTTACGTTTTAATATACATTCGCTATTAACAGAAACTAGTATGGCCACATAACTTTTTGTTTTTTTTTTAACAATATTTATGTTTGCAACATTTCGGAAATATTTTTTTATATAATAGAATGCTGTAATTTTCTGAACGAATCCACATAAAAATTTTTAAATACCATTTTTAAAAAAAAATCACACACATGACAAATAGAACTGAAGGAACAAATTTTTAATATTGTTATAGGTAAATCAATATTATTACTGTAGGAAGTATAGACACAATTTTAATTCACTGTATCAAATAGTCTGGCAGAAAAGGAACAAAATTAAGTAAGCCAAGTAAATATTGGACAGAAATACTTTATAATAAATATTAAGCAATATTTGATCAATGTGTGTGTTTAGTGATAATTAAAATTAAAAAAAATATACTGATAATTTCATAAAAAAGTTCTTTGTTTATTTTTTTTATCTATAATACCGGTAAACAATATTCTTATATTCCAATTTAATTGATCTCACTAACTGATATAAAGCAATTATTAAAAATTAAATGTTTTCAGAAAATATATTAAAATATTATTTAAACATAAAAAAGAATAAATTGCAATGCGTTCATAAAAAAAATGCTTTTATTCATTTAGGCCTGCTCTATTGTAGAATCATGAAAGAACTTGAAGTAATACTTCATTACTAAACCTCTGTGAAAATGTGCAATTGATAAAAGACCTTGGATTATTCTAAAGCTTTTGATTTAATTGATCACGAACTTTTGTGCGCAATACTTCAATACTATGGATGTAGTGATATTGTTTTATCATTTTTCAAATCCTATTTGTGGAATCGCACTCAGAAGATAGTGATTGATAATAACTTATCAGAATCGAAAATCATTATTTCAGGCGTCCCCAGGGATCCATCATGGGTCCTTTATTATTCTTAGTATACACCAAAAGTACTTAAGGATAGTCAAATTCAACTTTATGCTGATGACACGCAGTTGTTAAATTATTTCGAACACCAAGATATACACAATGCTAATAATCTAATTAATAGAGATTTGCAGTTTCTATTACAATATTCAAAAGAACACAATCTTACTATTAATCCTTCAAAAACTACTGTTGTTCTGTTTTGCAGTTAAACCAGACGTATTGTTATTGAGAGTACAATGAGACTCGAGTTGGATGATGTTAGTATAACTTTAAATAACGAATCAAAAAATTTGAGTCTACTTATTGATCAGTCTCTTAGATTTAAGAGTCATATTAAGACCTTGATCAAGAGATGTTACTCAAGATTGCGGTTGCTTTACATTAACAGACATATATTGAACTTTAAAATGAGAAAAAAACTTTGTGAATATTTAGTTTTATCAATATTATGTTATTGCAATATTTTTTACTATCCTTGTCTAGACAAATTGTCACAAAGCCAATTGCAGCTTATACAAAATGCCTGTTATAATACATTTTTGGTTTGAGGAAATATGATCATATCTCAATTTATTTCAATTTATATGAACCAAATCTTTTAATATTTTTTGCATAGACTATTAAAGACAAGAAACCCTGCCTATTTGTTTAAGAAATTAATTTTCAGAACATCTGTTCATAATGTTAATATTAGACATAATATGCTTACAATGCCTCATCATTCCACTGCAAAGTTTGAAAGAGGTTTCACACTTATAATGCTGTTTAATTGTATAATCAGTTTTATTTTTTAAATGGGAACACATCATTGCATATCTTACGTGAGATTAAAAAGTATTTTTTAGCTAAACAATAACCTGTTTTGTTTGGATTTCTCATTATATATTTTTTTTATGTTTTAATTCTTGTTCTTTGTAATTATTTATATGTCTATTTGTTATTAACACTAGAAGACTATAGATCATTATGTTATTACTATGTAAATATAATGTAAATAGTATACTATTATGTCGACTAGGAAGGTTAAGGGTTAAGAGTAGCTGTATAGCTAACCTTCGCCTCCCTGTTGCAAATGTATGTATACATTTGTTTTAATAAAGACATATTATTATTATTATTAATAAATAAATTCACTTTTATATAATCATATATTATTTCATTTCATGCACTACAGTACCAACCTTATATCCTTCAATAGCATGGAACCAACACAACACAGGACCCTTGTCATCAGTAGATCCTCTACCAAACAATTTGCCATCCCTTTCAGTTAATACAAAAGGTTCCGAATCCCAACCATCTTCAATCTGAGCAGGTTGGACGTCCAAATGTCCATAGACAGCTACCGTTTTTTTGCTTGGGTCATTTCCCAATGTTCCTAGTAAAACAGGTGGTAATTGTATGGTTGAACCATCAGGAAGGGTTTGACTACCAATGTCACGCAATTCAGCAGTTGCTCCTAGTTTATGTAAGCGCTGGAGGGCCCATTCGAGCATTTTTGTTATTTCATTTCTTTTTTCTGGCAATGCCGATACTGACTGTATGGCTACTGCTTGCCTCAAGTTTTCTATATATTCATCTTTGTGCTGATCTACATGACTGAAATATTTTTAAGGTTTTATTTTTACAATTTTTGTAACTAAAATGCTTTCCATTTAATTAAATTAATATTGATGAATTGATTACCGATTTAAAAATAAACATAGAAAGAAAATAAAACCCACTTCTTGAGAAACACCTGATTATTATAACCTCATATAGAATTACCATTTTTAGATAAAGCTCTCAATGAAAATAACTAGTTTTATTAATATCATATTTATTTAAAGTTATTCAATTTTTTTCATAAACTGAATCCAACATGATCAGCTTATCTTTAAAATTTCAGTTACTAATAATAGTTAAAGAACAGAAATTTTATACAATACAATCTTAGGATTTATAATGATTTTTCTTACTTCTATTTATAAATATAAAGCTACTAATTGTTCAATAAAAATATTGAGTTATTGATTTATTTGGCAACAGTTGTTTTTAATTTTTATAAAACATTCAATTACAAATTTAAAAATAAAATATTGTGACTATAGAAATTTATCTTATACTTAGAATACTTTAAAAAAATACCAGTTAATAAAGTTGAATATTTTTATTTTTTAGTTAAAGAAGTGTTGATGATTAGTTTGAATTAAAAGGTACGAAACATGTTTAGGACTAAAACCCCACATGATCACATTATTCCTAGCAGCTGTTATATGGAACCAGGTCTATTTAAGGTAATATTGGGTTACTTTCTTAAAGAATATATAGATAGTAATTAATTGATTTTAATACTACTTAATATTTTTGTAATGTAGTTGTTTTAATATAAAAAGCTTAGGGTCCCTGGTCTCAGAATAATTATTCTATATAGCTATTCAAATTACTTAGTAACATTTAATAAAAAAATTTAACAATATTTATAAGATATTAGCAGTAACAATTCTTTAAAGACACACTTACTTACTTTACAAATTTAAATGTAATAATAATGAATTACTTTCAAGGTACTGTTAAAACAATGATTCAATTAGTATTAAAGCATGCACAAAAACCTGATTTAGATTAAATATACTTTCAGTATTTACCTAAATAACTTGGGTAAAGGTCCGGGTAGAGCCATAATTTCTTGTTAATCGGAACAAATTCTTATACGACACAAAAACAATAAAGTGTAGTACTGAATTACGTTGAAGCCGTTGAAGGGGCGGACAAAAACAAATTTAAATTTGAACCGCCCACCTTTTATAAATTGTTACTCTGATTATAAATTATCTAATCTAGAATTTAAATAAATATGCAACTCGTCAACAAGGACGGTTAAATCAATAAACTGATAAACAAATGTATTAAAATATTTCCAACATCATACAAAACGAAAACAAGAAGGATCTGTCATCTGTCAGCACAGATCAGCTGATTACTTTTTGTTACAGGTGACTGTTAATCTAAAAGGTGGAAGCCAATAACCGAAATTAGAAGATTATGCCTCTTGCTTAGTACAAATTCATCAAAAACTTTTCCTAATTAATAACTCTCGTATCTCTGAACCTGAATTGAACGTGATACTACTTATTTATCCAGAAATGAATGATACATGTTACAAACTTTTGTTATCAATATTCAATCTTCGAGTAAAGTTACTTTCTCTGTACTCGTCTAGCTGACTAGTCTTTGATTTTAGTTCCAATGTTAACTAAAAAAGAAGAATTCAAAACATAACCTATTTAAAAAATATAGGATTTTATTTTAATGTGTTCTTTTAAATAATCATAATGAAAACATTTGAAATTATAGCGGGCACATATGAAGAATTCTTATTGGGTTACGACTTTTTTAACTCTGTAAGTTGAATCTTTAAAATAATTTTATTGTGCTATTCTGAAAAACATGTGGTTATTAAAATGATTTGAGACCGACCAATTACATTTTTAATGAGTTTTTAACATGCAAATAAATTTTTAGGAGAGAAGGCTTGCTCAAAGCTTTGCATCTCACGATCACACTGCCAGTGTTCGCTGCTTAACAACATCAAGCCATTATGTAGCCTCTGGTGCAGCAGATGATCGCATTATTATCTACGATTTTAAGTTACGAAAAGAGCATTTCATGCTGTCACATCATAAATCTACAATCAACTGCTTAGAATTCACACCAAACCATTCTCATCTTGTTTCTGGAAGTCAAGATGGGTTACTGTCCATTACAAGAGTTGGTAATTGGCAAGTAGAAAAACTTTGGGATAAGGCCCATAAAGGTTTCCAAATTATAGACTTAGCAATACATCCTTCAGGAAAATTGGCTTTAACTTTAGGTGACGATGGTGCACTCCGGACCTGGAACTTGGTTAAGGGAAGACAGGCTTATGCAATTAATTTGAAAAGTAAAAGTAAAGATGCTAAGAGCCTCTTTAAAATTTGTTGGGCAGATGATGGAGTAAGATTTTTATTATTTGGTGGTAAATATACAGAAATATGGAGTATAGAAATAGGTGGAATACTACAAGTTATAGAGCATGATGTAAAAGTAAGCAGTTGTATTTGGTATTCAGATAAAAAATTATTGGTAGGCTATGAGAATGGAAATTTGTGCACAGTTAAATTATCTTCACTTAAGAAACTTGTATATCAAGCTCATAAGGATAGAATTAAGGTTCTCACCAAATATGATGAATGGATAGTATCAGGATCTAGTAGCGGAGAAATTAAAGTATATAATAAAGAATTGGAAGAAATTTGCAAAATAAATTCTGGATGCAGACTTACCTCTTTAATCATCATTCCTCCTATTGCAGTAAAGAAGGAAGAGCAAAATGAAGAAGTAAATAAAAGTGCCATTTCAATAGAAGATGATAGTGAAGTAGAGGAAGTACAACCTATTAAAAAAAGGAAGAAAAAGCAGTTAAAAATTAATGAAAATGTCCCATCTAGTGAGACGCTGATAAAAAATAAAGCATCAAAGAAGAAAAGGAAAATAAAATTAACAGAAATCAGTTAATTTTTATTGTAAAAATTTGAAATAGTTGACTTAAGCTCATCTATTTTTTTTTTATAAAAATTTATAAAAAGAACAGTAAAAATATTTTAAAGTCTAATTATTTCCAACTACATTTTTATTACATGTAAATGAGATATTTTTTCTGTCTTACTTACAATTTGTGTGTTAAGCTGTTAAGCCAAAGTGCAACAATCCAAAAGTACTAAAAACCTATTTCTATTGAAACGGACAAACATTTTATTTGCTCTTTTCAGGGGCATCTCTAAACAAAATAAAAAAACATTAAAAAAATACATGTTTTACCATACCATCTTTAAAATATATTTATTATCTACAAACTGACCACAGGGACCGAGTCACATGATGCCAAATCTTTCTCAATGTCACAACTAAAATTTAACAAATAATCTTGCCTTTAATTATATTAATTTACTAATTTTGTTTTTATCATCATTTTGTGCAGTAAATAACCTACTATTCTCTAATCATTATTGTTTGAAGATAAGCTTGATAAAAATTTAAATGAAAAATCAGAAAATAATTACAAAATCATTCCCATTCAATTATATTTTGATTAAAAAACGCCTTAAAACACAAAAATATTTTTAAAAAATAAACACAATGTTTATTATTAATATACAGGGTTTATCTTAAGTACATTCTATTTTACAAGGTGTTATATAGGGATAAAATCTGCATCCTTTTAGGATAGGGTGACCATATTTCATTTGACCATATGTTGGATAGACGAACGAGGGGAAATGCAACTGGAAAACAGAACAACAAAACTCTATTTCATTCACAAAACAACCAAAAATTATTATAGATTTCTAAAAATGCAAACAACAGGAACATAACACATCAAAAAACCAAATTCTCTTTTTATTTTAGGCAAAAAGCCACCGAGTAAAAAGAGATAAAACATGCAGTTAGGATAATGCTCTTAAAATTAGAAATGTTATTGTCGAACATATTTTGTACTTCGAAAAAATATTAACCAGTAGGAAATTATTAAAATATTTCATTATTTTTAAACGTTTAATATTTGCTAGACAATAACAGAGTTTTGCTGGGCAGACTTTGAAAATGCTATACATATGGTTACTGTATTAAAATACTCCTAAAGGAGGTATGTGATTGGTGAAGGAAGGGGTTGTCAGATTTACAAAAGGGAACAGCGGGACAATGGTGACGACAGGGATCCAGTTAAAATATTTTTGCGAGTCTAAAAAAAGGCCTCAGCTTATATTTTAATAAAAACCAGGACAATTTGTTTGAAAAAAGGACAGGTGACAACCCTAGGTTAAGGAATAAGCCTTCTGAATTTTGTTAAAAGAACTTAAAAGAAACTATTTTAGTTATTACATGTTCACTAACGTGTGTAACTAATATCCATAGTTAAGTAATAAGTAATACCATAAACACTTAAAAAATCTCCAGAAACAATTATGTCATACTTTAATAAATAAACAAAAGATCCTATCTAATAGATATTTGATTAAAATAAATATAGGGAAAATGTTCTGAAAGTAAAATTAATTTGAAAAAAAAAAACTTATTTATTAATTATAAAAAAACATTGACCACACATCATATAAACTAAAAAAATATTGTCTATAAATACAGGTACATTAAAAAATCCATTATATATTATTCAAACTATCTACCTTCCTACCTACCTACCTATATATTATTCTTTTTAAAGTACCAACTTTTCTTCTTATTATAATCAATTTACTGGAATGAACAAACAATATAAAAAACATACAAAATAAATACATGTATACATGTTCATCATCTGTCTAATACACAAAGCAGTGTGAACCTCAAACATCTCAAAATTATAAGAAAAATATATCTTTGGTAAATGTTTACAAAAAACTGATTGTAAACCAAAAATGGCTTTCACGCCAGTAATTTTTAAATCGATCATTTCATAACACTTTTTTCCAGCTAGTGTTACATTCTAATGTTTCCTCTAGTTATTTTAGATGTCAAGCTTCACTTATCTACTATAATCCTTGGTTTAAAATAATCCGTTTTGCAAATTTCAACACACTCACTGCTTTGTGGAATCCAATAATCTAACAGTGGAGTATCACACTTTCGAACTTCTAAAGTCCGCAAAAGAACCTCACTATGTGTAGACGTCCAATTCAGCACACAAGATATACTAAACCAATGCATGATAAGACTCATAATGTGATACTGTAAAGCAGAATTTGTAATATTCGTATTTTCGAGAGCTTCTTTTATTGAAACATGCAGACACGGAAGAATAAGGGGCAAACTTCCATCAAAGTTAACATTCCATTTTTCTTTTGGTCTTGATATTCTACACACCATGCCGACTGTGGGTAATTGAAACCCTTTTGGTAAAAGTTGCTGAAAATACTTCAATATATCTAAATTGTTTTCTTCAACTCGTATCCCGGTCAATATACAATAAGAAATTGTATCATAGACACTATTTGGCATTTCTAATTTGATGTTTCTTAATTTTTCAATCAAGGAACAGTTCACTGGACAACTTGGAATGTCATGAGGAATATTTTTGAATATTTCTGCTCTCAGTAAAAAGACGAACCACATGTGCAGTTGAGCAAAAATGTTACGTTCACCTACTAGCTCTGGGAGAGATCTCAGAATTTTATCTACACTAGTTGTGGAGGATCTATCAGTGGAGTTGAATTTTTCTGCTTTTTGTTGTAGGTCTTCGCTGATGCGTTTTAAATGTTTTTCTACAAAGTCGTAGTGGCTTAGTAAGGAGATCTGTAACAGCAGATTCATTTTTTAAAAGTCTTTTTCAATAATTAAAGCATTTCAGTAAAAATTCGGATTATAATTTGAAAAAAAAAATAGTTACCTGATGTTTTCCTAAAACAATCATACAATATTTTCTTTTAAAACCTCTCGCAAAAGAATCTTTGATACTGAAAACATGTGCTATAATATGGCCTCTATTATTATCTCCAAAATACATTGTTCCAGAGTTTTTTCCATCTTGGAGGACCATCTAAAAATTTTTTAAAGTTAAATAAATTATTTGTGTAATTTTTATTGTATCGAACAGGATCTCTGTAATATTTTTGATATAATAATTATTTTTTAAATTCCCACTAACTTACTTCAATACTAAGACTTCTGAGGATAGCATCTTTCAACAAACGCGTTAAATTAGAGTCTAATGAAGTCCTGGAGGTAATATACTGTTTATTTTCATCTTCACAAACAAATACGGTGTCTAACTCAATAGATTCACAAGCTGCGCAACTAGAAATTTTTGAAAGTGGTTTTTCTTTTGGTATTTCATCAAGTACATGAGTGCATAAAATTACACAAGGACCATGTGTATCACAAAAATGACCCATGGCAATTACTACTTCCATTACAGTTTAAACGATACTATTAAAAACAAACATTTTTCGCAAGTAAACCAATGACTCACGATCACATGAATTTGTTTAAAAATAGAAAAATCACGAGAGTTACAAATAAAAGGTTCGCGACTCCTGTTCTATTTTTATTTTTAACATTACTATGTACTTCAACCATTGATCTAAAGCAACTTAAGTTTAAATCATTAAATTAATCCTTTAACTTCAAAACTATCATATTTTTTTAAATTTCGCAAAATTATTTTTATTTGATATAAATACACGCCTATGCACTATGCAGGAATACAGCGCAGACATTTTTTTAGTTGATAGCCACAAAAGCAAAGGACATAAAACAAAAAGAAGTTTCTTCTTATACAAATGGTCTGAACATATAGGGCTTTGACAATGACTTCTCTTACCTATGGACAATGACAAGCTCAATGCTGTAAGTGTATAGATTGATCAGATATTTTTCAAAATACCTAACCCCTTTAAGTAAAAATGTAGGTAATTATTTTTTTTACTGAAGCACCGAATCCTCATCAGGGGTGGGAAACTGGTATGCGCAGGTCAAGGATCAATCAACCACGTCCGCGTGGCGCTGCAGTCGGGTGGTGGGGTAGGTGGTGGGAGTGTAAATGACAGGTGAATATTGATTTTGGGGGGGTGTCTAAAGGGTATGGTCTGTGGGGGTGTCATGGCGTCTTGGCTTAAACCAAACGTGTTTATTTATATTGGTGACTTGGTTGTGTTCAGTTGTGTTTTCATTTCCAATTTGCTTAATTGATTTAGTTGACCACTGTTAGTGAGCTTGTTTTTCCATTATAAATTTGTGCGTTTTGAACTGTTATCTTGTGCTTTTTCCGCTGTTATTTCGTGCTTTTCCATAAAGATGCGTAATTATAGAAAATGTTGTGTACCGAATTGCCTTGATGTGAACAACAAGATGCATCGCCTGCCCCACCCTAGGAATGAACCCGATTTATTTGAAATTTGGGCACTTGCTGTTCGTTGTCCAAGATTTAATAATAAAACAAAACTACAAATTTATTCCACCTTTGTAGTATGTCATAAACATTTTGAAGAGAAGTATAAAGTAGTTGGCTCTCGTCGAGGTCTAACACCTGAAGCATTTCCAACGCTATTCCTACCAGCAGTTCCTGGAAGAGTAGCGGATGGACTTTCCTCAAATAACGTAGAAATTGAATATGTTGATCAAACACCTTCTACTTCAAGTAAAGGTTCGAAGAAGAAGCAGAAGCAGACTAATAATATATGTTGGACTTCTTTTCGAGAAGGAAAGTTAGTAATCTACTCATTTATTTTATACTTATACTGTGTATTTTCTGTTTCATGACATTTGGGGTTGCAAAGCTGTATCGTAGAAGAAGAAGCAGACTAATAATATATGTTGGACTTCTTTTCGAGAAGGAAAGTTAGTACTTATTTATTTTATACTTATTGCTGTGTTTGAGAATCCACATCAGATGCATTTTTTACATCTCGAGCGTTTTTTTATCCACATACCTATATATAAAACGTTTATTTAGTCAAAAAAACTATTTTTTACATGTCAATACATCTTCACGTTTAAAATATAAAAAATACCTAAATATAGAATCAACATACATTTTAAGTAAGTGGCAAGACAATTATAATTGTTCAGACAAAGGTCAATTTTTTAAAAACATTCAAAGCAAGATACCCTCCATACCATGGTTTAGCAAATTCAGCAACAGAAGTTTTATTAGAACGACTTGTAGAATTAGAAGTAATCATTGCCTGACTCCAAATTATAAAAGAAGAATGGGATTGGTAGACAATGATGAATGCATCTGCGGCGAGGTAGCCGATTTACAACATTTACTTTTAGAATGTATTTTAAATGATATTCACATATCAAATCTATATACCAAACTTATTCAACATAATGTCCAACTACCTATTAATTTGTCACACCTTCTCGCCCTCAAGAATTTCGATGTATACAAAATTATTTATAATCATGTAAACTCCTTAAATTTGAAGCTCTGACGAAAAGAATTAAAATATGTACAAAAATAAAAAATAATATAAAAAAACTAAATATTAAAAAAAAACAAAATTGAAACAAAAAAAAAATGCAAAAAAAAAGAAAAACAAAAAAAAAACAAACAAAAACAAGTAAAAAACAAAAACAGACTAAAAAATTAAAAACAAGCAAAAACATGAGCTAGAAAAAACCTATTATAGGATTTACTTCTTAATAATGTATTTAGAGAAATTTGTATTTTTCAAATAAAATGTGAACTGTGAAATATTGTAAGGATAGAACTTAAAATTGAATTGACACAAAATAAACTTTATTAAAATTAATTAAAGATTGACTGGCCAGTTGGTTTTGAAACCAGTGCCAAACAGAAATACATACACACACACACAAAATGCAATAAAAAATACATAAGATACAGTACACTTACATGTCAACTATACAAAACAATAAAAGAACAAGAAAGAGAAAAAAAAAAAGTCAATAGGTGAACAGGTATTCATGCAGTTTTATTTTAAATATTGCCACATTTGAAGAACATTTAATATCCTCAGGCAAATTATTAAAAGCCTGTACACCTTTAAAAAACACTGAATTTTGTGTACATTTTTCTTGTTACCTGTTTAGGTTCATGAGATTCCTGATTTAATTTTAAATATAAAAAGCAGGGAATAGAATAGCAAATATTTTTTAACAGTCAACCACTGAAGCACATTCAACATGGAATTGATTGGTTCCAATCTCGAACAGCTCAGTATTATCCTCAGACCTCTATTCTGCAACTTTTGCAATCATTGCAACTCATTCTGGTTGAGCAAATACAGTATAGTGGCACAATAATTAAAATAAGGTAATATTAAGAGTATTATAAATTATTATTTTAGTCCATTTGCTGAGATGTGGAGAACAGCGCCTCAAATAGTTTATTTTAAATCGGACACATCTGTCCCATTACATTTACGTAAATTGAATCACGTGATCAAAGATTTACTACATCTCAGTTGCATCCGATGTGGATTCTTAAACGCTGCATATACTGTGAAATTTGTGTTTCATGACGTTTGGGGTTGCAAAGCTGTATCGTAGATGTTGGATTTATTAAAAAATAAAGTATTCCTCGGACTTATAATTTTTTATTAATACATTTATTTTAATGAGATTGTACTTATACTGTCTTTCTTTTTTCACAGCTAAAGTTCTTCACAAAATGATGGACAGTGTTGTATCCTGGAATATGTAGCAGCCATCCAGCTACTTCATACATAATACAATTTTCATATACATTACATTTTTTAAATATTGGATTTGTATTATATATATTCTTTAATAAATTTATTTTTTGAATATTCTTGTTTTTTTTATCTAAAAACTGTTAGCCAAATTAAGATTTGTTCACACAAACTGCATTTTTGCTTTATTATAGCGATATTCGCTATAATAAAGCAAAAATGCAATTTGTGTGAACAAATCTTAATTTGGCTAACAGTTTTTAATGCGGATAATTTTTACTGTCAAATTTGAATAGCCCCGCGCTTTTCTTCTCTTCTTCTTTTTATTATTTTCTCTTCTTTCATATGGCCTCTTACCAGACAAGGACTTAATTGAAAAAAAATCAACCACGTCCACCAGGTGCCGCTAAAAACTCTATCATCCTTTTTTAACATGGGAGTTACCGTTCTAAGAGTAAGTGTTCTGTGATCCTCATACCCATTCCGACCTGAGACAAAATATTAAATTAGATTCAGATAGACAGCTTTTCCTAGGTTATGTTTACCAATAAATAGATGAAGATGAATGAAATTACCCATAAACTTGAAAAAGCTAACTTAACAGAATCTTCAAGTAATGAAGAAACCACTTCATCGTCAAGCGAAGGTATCTAATAATCTTTTAATACATTCATTCGTAAATGTCACATAGTTTTTAGATGAATCCGAAGCTCTGCCCCAATTTGCTGTTGCAATGTGGGATTTCAATCAATGTGATCCCAAAAAATGTTCTGGTAGAAAATTGGCCAGAATGAACTTGGTTAAATGCTTGCGACAGAAACAACGTTTTCACGGATTAGTTTTGACCCCAACTGGAGACAAATGTGTTAGTCCAGAAGATAGAGAAATTGTTGAAAGTAAAGGAATTGCAGTAGTAGATTGTTCTTGGGCCCGAATAGATGAGACTCCTATAGCAGCTTTGAAGCCGAATCATGGGCGACTTCTTCCATTTTTAGGTAAGTTTTATAACATATGTATATTTTTTTTGAAACAAGTACTATTTATAGTGGCTACAAATCCAATTAACTATGGAAAACCATGCCAGTTAAGCTGTGTTGAAGCTATAGCAGCTGCAATGTACATTACTGGATATAAGAATGAAGCAAGATTATACATGAGTAAATTTTCCTGGGGCCATTCTTTTGAGGAATTAAATAAGGAACTACTTGATATATATGCTTCCTGTACTGATAATAAATCTGTGGTTGAAGCTCAAAATGAATATATAAAGAAGGAACAAAAGAAACAAGAAGAGGACAGACAAAGTAAGCATTTGATTCCTATCACTTCTGCTTTAAAGTTTTAACTATTTTTTTTATATTTCAGTGGTACCAGATTTTCCTAGTACAAGTGAATCAAGTGATAGTGATTAGTTACACAAGAGAAAACAAATTATTGGTATATTGTGTTTATTGTACATATTATATCAGTTTATATATTAAAATTTATTAAACAAATACATGTGACAATAAGGTATTTTATTTGAAATGGATGAATGTATAATTATGAAATTGTTGGATGAATAATGGGATTGTATTCTGCATTTTTTCGAGAACATGTCAAATTTATGACACTGTTTAGTGTACCACCGTTCTTTAAATTTTTTAAATGACAACATAGGTCGAGTCATAGTCCCATTAATTACCCTACAAATTTATAATTATACATTCATTTCAAAGAAAATACCTTGGTGCCATACTATTTTGCAACACCATATCTTTTTTTTTTGTCTAGAAACACAGGTGGACCAGATGATGATTATAAAAGTCAGCTATTTGAAACGGATTCTAGATAATGTCTTTAAAAAATACAATAAAAATATTATACTCAATTTTATAATAAAAAAAAATAAATACAAAAAAACATTGGACGAATAAATCAAAATGTAAAAAACTATATAAAACAAAAAAATTAAGTCGCGTGAACTTCTTCTATGGTAAGATGCGCAATAAACCTCAGCCTAAGCTGCAGCTGCGGTTTAAGCTTCCTTACTACAGTCTCTAATTCCTTTTTCATGCTATCACCAACGAACATATACTTGATGTGATACAGCAAGTCGCATATGGGATCCATGTACTTCATCTCAGTCTGCGCTTGATCGACCTGTGCTAGAAGTTCGTAGAGGGCGTTGGTGAGGTCTACTATTGCCGCGTTAAAGCGCTGCAAGAACGGCCCCACCAAGTGGCAGACGTACAGAAACTGTTCCTCAGTCCGTACGATGGTTGGTAGGCATTCTCTCACCCAACGGGGGACGCTCGCGATTTGACCCGGACCAGCGTGGTGCCAGACAGAATGAGCGAGTGCCAGCATGTAACTGAATCGGTTGTGCAGGAGCCCGGCATGAGTCTGCTTGAAGTCGAACAATTCGAATGGCGAGCAATCGAAGAACCACGTTTCTAACTCGGATAGCGTGGATATCAGTCTATCGTGCATCACGCTCCAGTAGCTTATCGGTAACGCTGAAAGGACGAGACCGATCGCATTAATCCACTGGTGGATGTCTGTGGAGGGGATCATTACATAGCCTGCAAAAAATAATGAGGGCATAAAGAAACGCAACAACAATTTTGAGAAATCGTCCTCTTAACTGGCGCAGTCAGTAGGAATATTTACTTAATAATTACCTTTGGCCACGACATCGAGCAGGCCATTAGCAACTGCCGATGGTCCAGCCGATAGAGCCATCAATTCGACACAAGAAGTGTACAGTATGTGAGCTCCGGCGTTTGGAAATTCGTTGAATCGCCAGTCAGTTAGAGAATTGGCGCTGGAACCACTTATAACCTCTACTATTCTCCGTATCAATTGGATGTAGTAATCCAATTCAGGCACCCATATTTCTTCTGCGTTTGTTTTTAAAAAGGCTTGATAGGGCTCTGAGAGGGTGTCTTTTAGGCTTCCCAAAACGGCTGCTACTAATCTAATGAAACGTACCAACGGTTGTTATTCTTGTTAGGTGACATGCTGTATATTTATTACTTACTTTCTTTTTAATGGAGGCCTGTCTCGCAATTTAGATTCGTAGTAGTGCAAAGTATTGTACAAATACGTTACCGGCCTGTCATGGAATTTATACAAACAACCGAGATGCTCTAGCAAAATTTCCAAGCTTTTTGTGACTTGTGGTATCTCTAAAAATCGATGAACCACAATGTCAAATACTGGTAGAAACCTGAAATGGACATAATTACCTAAAATAGCTCTGATTGCTGCATGTTTGGTTACAATATTATGTAGAAACTTTCTGAGGAAAAATTTCAACATCGATACAATACATTTTAATTTTACATACCTTAAACATACGTTTCCAAAATTTGGATGATAGCCCCCGCTTTGTTCTTCAGGAGCAAACTTTTCTGGATACTTTCTTTGAAATTCCAGATGTTTTTCATGCCAATTGGTCTGATTCCAATGATCCGGCGAGTTGTCTTTAACGAAATCCTGTACTCTAGTGCGAAACTCGGACGCCTTCAACAAGACCAGCTGTATGATGAACGAACATACTTGAGCTTCACTACCTGAAATTTATTAGTCAATCAACAAATCAGTTGCTATCTGGCTGAAGAGAGCTAAACAGTGGTACATTCGACATATATTCTCCATTTTAAAGTTCTATGTTGATTAGGTCAGTACTTTCTGTGGCGTTATCATTATTATTATTTGTCATTGTGGTTGTCAGTTTAGTGTTGTGTTGCCTTTGGTTTGTTTTGAAGTCGTTCAGTTTATAATTATTAATAAATATGAAAAGTATTTGATATACTGTATAAAATAATTCTCACCTTCTTGCGTTCGAAGAGCCAAACATAATACCAAACGATCTATCGTTACGATATTATACTTCCAGATCATGTCGTTGACTGTATCAACACATTTGTTGACATGTTGACCTCCGGGCGAGTTGCTGAACTCGAATACCAAGCAATCACAGAATTTTCTTAAGTGGGCAGAGAGTGCTCTAGCACCTATCCTTTCTAATATCCTAAAAAAAATGTATTCGAGTACATCAAAGGAAGAGTAAAATTTATTTTATAATATTAGATACAGTCGAGGAACTAAAAAGAAAGTACTTACTTGTAAGCAATCGGGCTAATATGCTCAGTATCTAACAACATCCTCCATAACAAACACAAAAACAAAGGCGGCGCTCCCGGTACTCCAAAATGCGCCATTATATCATTTTCATTATTCATCGAAGCCCATTTTCTATTTTCCTCTTCGACGGCCTTCTTCAGCTGCTGCTTGTTCTCCTTCGGTACGACGTGTTGGATGAAAAACTCGGCCATGGCTCGCGGGAAGCACTCCAGCGTTTGAGGGGCCCAAGCGTGCGGAGTGCTTTGCTGAATGGTGGTCAATAGTTCATGGCACCAACCTCCGTCAGTTCCGGTTACGTGCGTGGCGCGTGCGAGGGTGAGGACCAAGGCTCTGTTCAGTTCTTCAGATTCCGCGGAAACAATGCCTTTGGGTTCGGAGAGGAATCGGGAAAGTTCGGGCTGGACGTCGCCGCTACCCAGGCCTGTGGAGAGAAACAAATCTTGTGCTACTAAACGGAAACTAAATTGTAATTAATTATCACCTGTAATTAGTCTTAAAGCCGTGGACTCGACGCACAAATGCAATTGTGTCTGATTGGCTTGCGGTACAGCAGCCAAAGAATGCAAGTGACTCAAGAGTTGCACTCTGTAATGCGGGTGAATATGGTGCATCCTGTAACTGAACATTTCCAGCAATGTATAAAGTGTTCCCCAGGCATGCGACTTGTATACTTGAGGTAGCAATTGATTCAAGAATCCTTTAATTCCTAACGATTCGATTTCCGTGTACACCAACAGTCTGCTGTAGGTTTCCACCAGGGCTGGAGACAGCGGCATACCGGATTTCGTTTGAGCGAGTTTAATCACATGAGTTACTATGCTATGTATGAGACTCATTTTGGAATGGACAGTTAGAGAATCCAGAACCGTCATGCTTAGAGGCGCTGTTGGTGGAGATGAGGACTTGGCGCTACCCTGTATCGTTTCTACCAAAGCAGCCATCGGTTTGCTGTAAAATAACATATAATAGCAAAAAAGATTATGTACAAGGTGTTATTGAAATACATGTAGATTAAGCGAAAATTATTTGCAAATTAAATAGACAGTTGAAATTGTAAGCATTCACCATGAAGTCGCAGTGAGCATTCTCCCGAGAATGGCATTGAATGTCGCGGTCTAGAACGCTGTCTTTACACTTACATTGGTGGTTAAGATTTTTGAGTTGTTGGAACATAGGGGTCTCTAGTGAGAACACATTTTAGTAAATGTTCCCATTGAAGAGCAATTTAATTTTGAAAATGTATGTTAAATTAGGCATACGCAACTGAAGTTGGCGTAGGTTATCTACAAAATCTAGGTCGCATTGAACTGAAAGATACGCCCTTTATTGAATTAGAAATCGTAATAAACATACAAAAAAAAAGGAATAAAAGGATTTTACGTATAAATCTAAGGTTACATAGATGAAAATCATTAACATAAAAAGCGCTGGTGCCATTCTAATACCTCGTAACCCACACTTCTACAAAAATTAGCCTCGTAGCTCACAAACTTTTACATTGCCACGTATACGAACTTTGTAATAAGCACGTTGCGGGTTAAAATGTGAATTTTGGGGTTACGAGGTATTAGAATGACACCGGCGATGTACATTTCAAATTCCAAATACAAAACAATATATTAGAATTTACAAAATCTTATTAAATTGTATATATGTTTAATAGACTGGGCCAAAAAAATTGACTATTTTTTTTTTTGAAAAATATATCGAGAATGTCATTAAGGATGACAATAAAAAACTTTCGTGAAAATTTGAGCCCTTAATATTAATTTTAAGAGGTCTATCATCGCTATTTTTGATTTTTAGTCATAATTTGATGTTTTACGTTAGAACTGTCAAAACATTAAACTGAAAAAAATTCCTTATCACTATTTTTATATAAAATTAAATTCTCTACAAAAAGGGTCTGATTGAAAATTTTCGTCAGACGAGCCGTTTCCGAGTAATTGAGCTTAATAGATCGATGTGTTTTTTCGATTTGTTCTTTTTACTTTGAAATTTTGTAACTAATGAATCGATGAATATTTAAAAAAGCTCACGTCGGATTCTTAAAGGAAATTTAATGTTCTACAAAAAAGGTCTCTTTAAATTTATGCACGATTAAAATTGAAGAAAAATTGAATTTTTTTGTCGAGAATTTAATTTTATATAAAAATAAGTGAAAAGGATTTTTTTTCAGTTTAATGTTTTGACAGTTCTAACGTAAAACATCAAATTATGACTAAAAATCAAAAATAGCGATAATAGACCTCTTAAAATTGTCATCTTTAATGACATTCTCGATATATTTTTCAAAAAAAGAAAATAGTCAATTTTTTTGGCCCAGTCTAATGTTTAATAAACTACTTGAGTTTACTTTTAAAACAGTTTATAGTCGTTAATTCGCGTACAGATAAAGGAAGTTAATTGAAGTTTTTGAACCCTATAAAGATATAGAATTCATAGTATTTTGATATTTAGTTCTTGAAATGTAAATGTTATTTGTACGACTTTTATTATAAGTATGAATATTATTGTTGAACGTAATATATTACTGGAAGTATTCTGGTTTCTGGTGCCAAATTATTTACTATTCTAAATGCTAAAATCATTGTAAAATAATAATAATAATAATAATAATAATAATTAATAATAATAATACTCTCCCGAATAGTACATTCTTTTTTCTTCTGGAAACCCATTTAGAGAATTTAACATTAACGTCATTGAAGTAAAACGATTTGTTTTCAGTATTATTTTTAAGTTATTAAAGCATATTTAATTTATAATTGAACCACTTATTTGAGAAACCCCATAAGTCATGATTTCGGTCATATTGAGTTTTGTGCAAAATATTATTATTTATAAGTCAACACATCATTTGGTGAAGAAATCCTATTAGTAAGGTAATCTATAAGATTGCTACGTCATAAAGAATATTACGTTTGATAGAGAAACCCTTAGGAGAAACCCCACGAGTCGCTGACTAATAGGGTTTCTCAAATAAACCACTTGCGGTCTTGCGTAATAGTTGCTTACTCTACTTAGTCTACTTACTTACACGTTTAATAATAAAACAATTCTGTCAGTGTATGTGTGCATTTATTCGCGAGTTGACTGAAATCTAAAACGTCTTCAAGCAGTAAAAAAGAAAAAGAGAGGACAAAGACATACATCTGGTGATAAAAGTGAGAGAATCAGGTTAGCAAGAGTAGTTTCAACCCTACACAAACTATGAGGTGAATAATGTACTAGAAAGGAAGCCAGGTCCGGACTGCAAGTAAGTTGAGGTTTAATAAGTTTTAAGTATTTTTAATGGGTTAACTTAGGGTTTCTTTTTAATTTCAGATGTAAAAAAAGTGTTGTCTATTGGTGTCGGAAGCTAACAGACTGGACATGCTGAGAAAATATATAGATTTTTTTCACTAAAAATGAGCAAGATGCGTATTTGCATAGCCTGATTTCGTGAATGGCAATTAAAAACAGAAGACCTCGCAAAGAAGATGGAGCACGTTTAAATCAAAGTTCGTTTTCGTATTCAGTATTCTGTTCTTCTGGAAAATCAAGTGTTTTCAAAAATGCTTTTGTGAGTTTACATGGAATATTACCCGATAGAGTAAGCGTCAATGCTTATTGTTGAGAGATGGAAAAATACCACAAGATATGCGAGGCTTAAATATACCAGGCAATGCTATATCTGGGAAAGCTGTTGAAGTTATTAAAGAACATATTGGTTCTTTCCCGGTCAAGCAGTCGCATTATAGTTCACGTGAATTCCGTTACTTAAGTGAGCAACTTAATGTAAAAATCATGCGTAAGTTGTTTAAGGATAAGCATCCAGAATATGCCAGTGTAAAATATGATTTATATCTAAAAGTTTTTCATGAAGCTTTTTTCTGACATGTGGTCGCCCAAAAGTGGAAACAAGTTGTGAATGTGAAACGCTAAATTAAACAGTAAATCTCTAATTGATAACGCAAAACGTGTTGCAGCAGCAGAGAAGATGGTGCGCCTGAGGAGAACACGAAAATTCTATTAGAAACTAGAAGAAGTTGCAAACTTAATAAAAAGACATGATACTGTTTTTGGAATTTGTGTCGATTACATGCAAAATCTTCAGTTGCCCGTTATCCTATACAAGAAGCCTTTTATTTGAGGCAAACTTGTTGTGAAAGTTTTTTGTGTACACAACCTCAAAGACAATTCAGCTACGTTTTATCTATATAAGGGCGGAATTGCTGCCAAGGGAGCGAATGAATTTTGTTCATTTCTGATGGGTTATTTGAAGAACATCCCAGAAAAATACCGAAAACAGAAGATATAGATGTCAAATTATGGTTGCTAAAACATTATAAAAAAACGTGCTTATCAGCAGAATCTCAGGGAAGCGGAATCCGCAAAGATCTTAAGGTGTAATTCAAGATAAACCAGTTTATGCATTTTACATATTCGTCTAATATACAAGGTGAGATTTTATAGAAGGATTGTCATCCCACACATTTCTTCTGCAAGCGTTAAAAGAACAAGCATATACAGGCCCTTTGTATTGATAACCTGTAGACATTTCAAAAATATTTAACTAGTGATGCTGCTGTTCAAAATTTCTTGGATGAAATTTATCCATTGCCTACAAAGGAAACTGAAGACTAGAAAATGTTACAATATACATTTTTTTTTAGTTAAATAAGAAAAGAATATGTTTTTGTTTAAATAAATACATAAAATATCCATTTTCATCAGTTTTTTTAATTAAAAATCGCGTTTATTTGAGAAACCCTATTAGTCAAGAAATAAAAAAAAAAAATTGTGGAAATATATTCAATTCTATATTACTCTAAATTCAGCAAAAATATGTAGTTGCTTATGAGTTTACTGAAACATAAACACAAAAGAATCATTAAGATAGCTTTCGGATAAAATAAACTTTTTTTATTGATTTTCTGAAAACTTGCTTTTCGTGACTTATGGGGTTTCTCAAATAATTGATTCAATATAGAAGTGCCTCTCACTGAATTATGGTATTGAACTTTTACATACTAAAAATTCCAAATATTTGACATTTGAAACAACTTCACTGTTCATTATTAATGTTCAAATTCATGTTTTTAACATCAATAAAACTATATTTAAATTTCGTTGCTTTCGTTTTTCTTACATTTAATTTTAGTTCATTTATATTCAAGTATTTATTCACAGATTAATTTATTTTCTCTATAGCCTTATCCAAATTCGAATCACTACAGGCTATTAAAGTATCGTCAGCAAAAAGATTAATGAATTCACAATCAATAAAAAGTTCAATATTATTTATGAATAAAATATAAGGAGGATTCAATGCCCTACCTTGAGGAATCCCCATAAAACTGATTTAACAAAACGGACTCTCTTCTTTGCGGTTATTTAAATAATGACTAAACCAATCAAATAGTTTATCCCCAATACCATATTGTTTCAATTTTAATAACATTAGTTGCCGGATATTATTTTAGTCAATGGGACTGCTGGAGAAAATGATCGGCAAGCACGGATTATTTACAGCTGAACTGATACATACACTTGCACTTAATTTCTACACTTACCTAAAATAATCTTGGTTTGTGGAATATGCATTGCATAATAAAGCGATGCGGTAATCATTTCCCATAGCCAAAGCCGCGTTATTCGGAGGAACCAAATGCTGCAAAAAATCGTGATGGCTCCTCAACTTCGTGGGAACCGGCCAAGTGATGTTCGCTTGCTCAGCTTGTGCCTTCTTAGTAAGATGTATCCAAATGCACGTCATCGCCATCTGACGCGTACACTGGGGTTGATTGTAATCTGGGACGGGCAGGGGTTGTTCTTGTTCGGGGTAAAGTAGTTCATATAAACGCAATACGGGAAGGAAATTCGATAAGGGGTTGCGTTGAATCGAACCTGAGATGAATTGTAGCAGTACCCACATTAATTGATCGCGACCTAAGATTTTAATAATTAATATTGTCATTATGGTTTAAGTATATACAGAATTTTAGGCCAAATAAAATTATTACCCCGTCTTAAATCTCTTCCTTGTAACCTAGAGTGCAAGGACATTACCAAACTGGGAAAACTAGCAAACTGGAATAGAACGAAATAAATCAGCTGTGAAGACAAATGTAGCCATAAATCTTGAGTGGCTTGTTCGTCGCCTTCCAGTTCGGTCTTTTCCAATGCCAAAACTACCAGTTCGATGAGTTGTTCTTCGATCGCTTGACAATGCTGTTTGTGTTGCTTGTTCAAACCTAACATACCGCAAACCATGTCTCGGCTGTACGGTTGCTCTAGGACGTAACGTAGAAGGCCGGTTTGCTTTTCAAGAAGTTCGGGAGCATATGGTAAAGTACCTAAAAGAAGGTCTGTGCTATGTTAGTGTATAAAATGTCAAACGAACGCGAATGCTTTTTACTTTAATAAATAATTATAATCACATAACATTTCCAAAATAAAGACAAAGTACCTTTAACGGCAAATCTTAGTGTTGACGGATCTAGTTTCCAAGGATTTACAAGATGTTCTGGACAACCGCTGTGTTCAACTACAGGTCTCATTTCTGCTTGGCCGATAATAGAAACCATCTGTGCGCAGGCTCTAAAACTTTCAACGTAGTCTGAAAACAAAGCTGATAGCCTCCAATGTGGACAATCTGGATAGGCTTTCTGAAGCTCATTCACAAGTAAATAGCCCGGCAGGAGACAAGCATCTCTATCCATTATCTTCTGAGCTACATCCATGAGGGCTTGAGTTTGTGGTTGAAGGCCAGAATTTAAACGCCAAGGTAAAGTTTTGGCTTTTTCACAGCAACCCTTAGATACATTTTTTAATTAGTTAATTTTTCATCTTTATTTTACATCTACATTGAGTAAATACTTATTATTTATGTACCATTTGTGTTATATAGTTAATGATACTCTGTGAGTTTTAAAAAAGGTATTTAGAGTAGGATTTACCCTTAACCAGATATTTTGAAAACCCAATTGTACATAAAGTTTGACGCGCTTTATCTGGATAAATATTCTGATCTAATTATAGCGAACCAGTATTTTTACTTTGGATGCAAGGCAAATATTAACTTGTGTAAATTGAAAATATATATTTATTAATGTTTTAAAAGTCAATTACATTCGTAATTAAACAAATTTGTATATAAGTAAATTTTGTGTATCATTGTAGAGTAGAGTAGTTCATTCATGTTATTAAAATACAAAATTTTTTACACACGTCAATAGTACAAACTTTAAAATATTAGGCATTTAAATAAAAATATAAAAAATACATATAAACATATAATATCCCAACCAGCACACTTCTCTTATATCCTTTGAATTATAGAACAATCAATTTGTATAAAGATTTTATAGTTGTCTCAGAAGTTCAATATTGACTCATAAATATAGCAAATGATGCAATTTAGCTGTTGAAAACAAAATAGCACTATAATATTGTTATATAAATATTCTTACATAATATTTTTCTTATAAGAGATAGTATTTCTTAAGAACAGCTATAAGTCATATCTATAACACCAATTTCTTTTTTAAGGCGTTTTGATTTATAATAGTTTTATATTTGTCTTTACTAACATTTTAAAGGCAAGTATAAATATAAAAACGTGCAAATTTATAAGACACATTGGTTATATTTTTAACACATCAGGGAGTCGCCTCATTTTTTTGTTAAGGTAATTTGTGCAACATGTATAAAGCAAAATTGTTTCAACAAACATAAAATACCCTCATTGCAGCTACAAAGAACTATATTTAAGATAACAAACATAGCAATTACAAAGTATCCTTTAAATAACTTTATTAGTAACACTTAAAAAACATCACTGCTCTCAAAGAACACAAAAATATTCCTGCAGCTGGTTTAATAGAGCCAATTAGAAACATTTCATTATTTCTATTTTAACATGTTATTGGCTTGTTGATATTTTAGTTAACAAAATGGACATCTCACGTTGGAAAAAGATTCAAAAAGCGCATTTCGAAGAAAAGTGTTAAAAAATTATAAAAATGCAAATAAACACATGGAAATTTCAACTGTCCTGGTACTATATTTTTATCAACTTTATAATTTGACAAAATGCGTCTAAGTTATTTTGTATTTGATTCGTCGTGGTTTATTCCTCTAGAGTAATATTTTGGCTGTAATAGAAACTGTTAGTTCTTTAAGTCTGGTAATTATATTAAATTATGTTAAATAGTACAGGATTAGGTATACCACATTTGAAAGTACCCTCGTAGACAATTGGCAATAAATTCTTGTAAATTATGGAAAAGTTAGGCAAATTGCTTTGGTGTTGCTGTTGTTAAAGAATAAATGTTTTATAAATGCTTTTTATTATATTAGTAAGAATAATTTAATCTAATGTTCCTTTTATTAATACATTTTTACCTTCTTACGTAACAATTTATTTTTTATTTTTAACGTTCAATTGAATGTTTAGGATGGGGGCGTGAAAAAATCGCCATAAAATAGTATAGACTTTTTTTACATTAAATAAACATCTGGTAATATATTTTCCTATTCTTTTGTCATGTCTCATAATTAAAGTATATTGCAAGACGCCATATCAACTAAAACCTTTATGAATTTAGACACTGCAGTAATCTAAAGAGTTCACAACAATTTTTTTTTTTTGAGAATATATAAATAAAACTTTTTTTTTGTAAAACCTGTTTCACCCCATACCAATAAAGAATAAAAATTTATTAAAGGAGGATAAAATTACTTATTGCTTTTTAAAGGTTTCAAATAAAGGTTTCTTATAAATGTAGCGTCAGTGTTTTCCGTTCCAAATTGGTTGCAAATACAGTAACTATAAATTTGTCTTTAAAATACTATTTGATATTGCTTTATTAAACCATTGTAAGTATCTACAAACAAGATTTATTATATTTTGCGGCATATTAATAAAGCATTTATAAGTGGACTAAAAAACTTTTTTGATTTATAATTTGGTGCCCAATTTAAGCTCATAAGAGTTGTATAAAGCCTGTAAGAATATCTACAGTAAAATTATAAATCTTATTCTCTTATAAACATTGGCTTTAAGAATATTCTTACAGCTTTTATAAACCCTTCATGTGCTACTTGGGATAGCACATGGGTACTTAATTAAAATAACATTTAGTCATAAAAATAGGTAACAAAAATATACTTATAGTTCCAAGACAGCCACCTGATTTTACTATGTTGTTGCATCACTGTGAAAAATATTTGTTTTAAGTTATTATCAAATCATTAAAGTAGTGGTTTAAGATTTCCTCAATTGAATAAAAAATCTTGGATTTAAGATATTTTTTTAATGTAGTTTGAAAAATCTTTGGAGACAGTTCTCGTATTTCAGAGGGTAATTTGTTAAAGACCTTTGGGCCATATTAAGAAATTCCAGTTCTGTTTTTTCCAGTCTATGGTATTCAAGGTGTATATTTTTTGCATTTCTAGTCATGTGGGTGTGTACATTATTGTGTGTTGTGTACTCTGTTAAATTATTTACTACATATTTCAATGAATACAAAATAAATAAAAATGGCAATGTTAGTATACCCAAATTTAGGCAACTCTCCTTACAGTCGTCCCTGTAGCCCATTCCATCGACTATCCTCACACATCTCCTCTGTAATCTAAATATTCTATTGTAACAAATTCTACAGACATCCCTGTGGACATTTTCCAGCAACCCATCACTTATATAAAAAATATAAAATATTGAAGAAAAAAAATGGCGGAACCTACCAGTGGTGGTCACCCAACCACGACGCGACCAGAGAGATTACTGCTTAACTGTTGCAAGTATGTGGATGAATACTAATTTTGTGACTAGCCTCTCCAACTGTTGATCAATTATTAAACAATTATCAAAAGAGACAAATAAGTAATTGAGCAGTTATTGTACCATTTCGCAAATATAATGCTGATTAAAGATTTGCAAAAAAACAAAAAATATAAAAATGTTTTCAAGAAAATGTAAAACATTTATAACTGATGACTATTTTTTAATTGAAGAACTTTTCTTTACTACTTACTTTAATTGCATGTGTTGAAATTCAAATTTTATTTATCTACTGCACATACAGGTGCCTTAGGTTTATATAATATGAACTTATATTTCCTTTCTTTTTTTATATGAAACTTTTTTAAACTAATTAATAATAATAATTGAGATATTACTATTTTCAATTATATGTACCTATAACCATTACAATATATACAGGGTGTTGTTTTGTTTGTTGTGTAGGGCATGATTTTGTTAATGTTTTTTAAAGTCAGAACTGGAAATTAATATCAGTTACTAAATTAGATGTTTGTGCTATTAACCCTTTAAAGACTATCGGTATTCTAAGAAGACCACCTTTATAAATTCCTTTTTTAAACTTCCCACCGGTTTCTCAGTTATACCACTGTGTTAAATTGGTTGCCTCTATTAAAATCTATCTAACTAAAGTTTGGATCTCCAGAACATGTAAAAAGAGGACCATCAATAGAAAAACCAGTGAGTAAATTTAAAAATCTCATATGCCTCGGAGAACTACTTCTTTGAGATGGCTCAGTGCAGTACAACTGCAAATGTTAGCAGAACACAGTGGAAATGTTCATCTTGCAACATAAAACTTTGCCTCAAACATGACAAGAATTGCATTGAAATGTTCGATGCAAAAAATAGAAAGAATGCAGAATATTTAATTCTTAATTAGTTTATTTTCCCACTGGTATCTTGAGAATACCACATCCTGCAGGAGGATTCTTTATTACATTTTAAATTGTTTTAAACATGTACAATAAATTTATTTTTTAAAAATCTCGTTTGGTTTTTAAATTAAAAATTGGACCGCACAGGGTTAAAACTAAACACCCCTATCAAAAAATTTAAAATCTACAGGGTGGTTCTAAATTCCATATTAATGGTTATTCAGTGTCTAATACCCAGTAACTATGAATTATTTAGAATCGCCTAGGTGACTCCTATTTAACTACAAAACACACTGCTTACCAAGAATCTTAATTTGTATACCAAAAAACATACCTTCATAATTTCTCGTACGCCCTTATATTCCACCAAATCAATAATTTTTTTAATGAGTTTAAAACATTCGACCCAAAAATAGGAATTATTATGTTGTAAAAGTTCGCTAGCAATAATAATTTCACAAACTTTTCTAGATGGCAAAGTACCACTTTTAACACAGGTTTCCAGAAGTTCCATGAGCAATTGTAAGTGATTATGAGAGCAGCCATAGGCAATGCCTAAATACTGTCTTATTGCCCCATCTAGTTGTTCTGGATTTGCTCCTCTAAAGGCTGTATTAAGTTCTTGTTGCCATAATGAAACTTTCTCGGTTTCATTCGCTATTCTATGAACTAGAAAGCAACTAAAAGCTTCTTCAATGCCTTCAACTTTTAAAATATCGTTTAAAATCACTGTTACGGCCTCACACATTATGACGGTTGATATATTTTCAGAGATCTATGGGTTATTTGTTTACTTGTTTAGACATTAAAATTCTTCCATGTTTGTTTTGAACACAAAAACATAACCTTTAAATCTGACTGCGTCAACAATTAGGCATTCCAACGACCTGTCAAACAATAGGTGCCAGTGGGAAATTCTTGTATATTTAAGGGGGTAGCGACATAGTCTTGCAACTTGGACGCTATTTTTATTCGAAGTAGTACTCGCCAAGCCTGCCAATTTATGAAGAAATGTATAGATGGGTTTTTTAAATATTATTTTTATTGTGTTTGACATAAAATATTTAAATGTAATCCATTATTCATGATTTTACGTAAAGTAGATAGAATACACCATATGTCGCCACCCTTAGATATACCAAACCTGCCCACTGGTAATTCATTTGTTTGGAATGCCTAATTCCTCTTTTCAATTTTTTTATGTATTAATGGCCTGCTGTTTCTATTTTATTAGTATAAAATAAATCCATAAATATGGTAGCTAGTTGACCTAAAAAGTAGAGTCAGCAAAGAGTAACGTCAGACGTAGACATGGACGTAGGGTAAACTTAAAATGAAAAGGGATTTTAAATTTTAAAATCTAAAGAGGAATATTATATGGGGTCTATTCTGCAACAATTCCTTTATATTTTAACGGCCGTTAAAATATTGGAGGCCTTTAAAAATATTTTCGTATTTACTAAATTACTTCTGTCATTATTTAAACGGATTCCTTTAAAATACATTAGAGAACTATTATAAAGAAATCCGTTTAAATAATGACAGAAGAAAATTAGCGAATACGAAAATATTTTTAAAGACCGCCAATATTTTAACGGCCGTTAAAATATAAAGGAATTGTTACAGAATAGACCCCTATTCGGTAAAATAAACCACAATAAAAATAGATCCTTTCGTTCGCTGTTGGTGCAGTGTCCACCAGTGCAATCCACTCCATATCCACTCTTGATAAATAGCTGGAGAAGAAAATATCCACGTGGGGGTTAATTTTTGAAACCATTCGCTAAAAGTAGTATGCGTCAATTGGCGCATGACATTTATCGCATGCGTCAAGGAGATTATATTTTTGAATGCTCTTCGATAAATATTTTGCGAACAGATCAACCTAACGAAGAGTCGTAGATTACTTAAGCAAAATTCGATGATCTACCAATGGAAACCTAGTATGAAACTGCTTTATCGAGATGAATAAACTTCATGTCATTGCAAAACCTATTAAATGTCTATTCGCAAGTGACGTCAATTTCACATGCGGAAACGAATCGAGTAAGTCAAAAATACAGTTTTGGTAAAAGTACGTTTTCGCATGCGTCAGGGTGGCGAATGATTTCAAAAATTAACCCCCTGCTGGGGCCCAATTCTCGAAACATGCGTTAACTGCCGCATGCGCTAAGTAACGCATGGTCGTTAACGCATACGACAGCAATTTAGTATTCCTGAACACCATGCGATAATCGCGAATCAAGTCGAACGTGTTAACGAAGAGTCTTTGATTATTGCATAGTCTTAACCAATGAGGATTGAGAATACCAAAGATGGTATCACTGAATATGAGATAATTGCATTGACACATGTCAAAATTGCCAAAAATTATAAAATTAAATGGATTGGATGTCTAATAAATTTTGGTTTTTAGACGTTTTAACTGTGATTATTTGTATTTTGGACTTGAGAATTGGAGTGGTTTAGATTTAGAATATTAAAAATGGAACAGCGTGGTTCACGAATAACGGAAAAATTGCGTGAAACTTTAGTAGAATTTATAACATTGTTTAGTGCCTGTAAAACTCATTTCTTCTATATCATCCATACTAAATAAAATTAAATCAAAATAAAGTGGCACCTAAACGTCCAATAAAAGAGTTCACGGTACAAAAAGTTTCATAATTTATATTCTAATAAAATGTTCAATAGAGTCAAATTAAAAATAAATATTTCCCAATAATAAATCACAAAACAAAACCAATAGATAGAAACACGAATCACATATGATAAAGCAGGATTAATTGACAATTATAACCTTACTTTCACCTAAACGAATGCGACAAAGTAGTTGTCGAACGGTCATGAGCGCTCTTTGAAAATCATCATTTCTTAGCGCATACGTTAATAAATTTGACGAATGCCGCCAGTTCAGGAATACACTTTCATCAAGTCGCATACGTTATCGCATGCGATAAGTTAACGAAGGCGTCAGGAATTGGGCCCCAGTGGACACCACATCGGCGATAGGGTGTCACAGACCTTTTATATGAAGATGTAGTGTAGTGGAAAAACGAAAGGTATGAGGTTCTTTCGTTCGCGTTGGTGCATTGTCCACCAGTGTAAATTACACCAATTACACCTCCTAGAGGGAGGCTTCCCCCCTTTCCCGCGCTAAATTTTGTTAGCAACATCTACTCCCCCCAGGGGGAAATCCCTCTCCTGTAATCGGCTTATTTAATCAGCGTTGCCAAGTTTGACAGCGTCAGTTCTGACACTTGCTATATCCAAATGTCAGTTCCCACTCGTCAGCAGTTTGACAGGTCGTTGGAATGCCTAATAGGATAGACCAATCATGTATGTATTAGGATAGACAGGCTTTGTCATAGAAAAATAAAGGCTTTGTTTTAAATAAATAGTCGCAAGATAACCATGACTTTTGTTATCCCTTTCGGTTTCATTTATAGGTTTATACTGATTAATTCAAGGTTCAGGGGACTGTTTATTCAAGAAATGGATTATTTCCTGCATTAAATTTATGAGCTGTTTCTAGATTTCAGCGATAAGGTCCGATTCCATCGTTGTGTTAAACGGAGATTAAAATGACATTTTTACAGTCGGTTAAACTTATTTGACAATCACGGTAGATTAGGTATTCTATGTCATGAATACCAATGTATAATAATACCATACTTAATTTTTGCTGTTCGTTTGCCTCCACGACACTTATTTCGCGCCGTCTATCCAGGATTGCATCATATCATGTGATCCTTCCATACTGTAATCCAATACGCCACTGTTTCTTGTATCATTTCCTTTCCCTGCATAAAGGCGTCTATCTTTATGTATGGTCGAAGTCTCTGTCATACAGGTTTGAGGTTATGTCGTGTTATTGTGTTCATAGAAAAATAAAGTGTTGCTAAACAAAAGTCCTATATTTTCTGCAACTGGTGCTCTATTTAATTTTAAAATATGGCTCGTAATGCTGAAAAAGCAATGTAAGTTTATATAGAAAAATAATATATTTGTGGTCAAAAATAATGAGTAAAACATGAATTAACATTGTACTTTTAAATTGTTTTTAGGACAACTTTAGCTCGTTGGAGAGCAGCCCAACTAGGAGAAGCAGATAAACATAAAAAGCGCCGACCATATTTGGCTTCTGAATGCAAAAGCTTACACGCCTGTGAAAAATGGAGAATGCAAATTATAAGGGAGATAGCAAAAAAAGTGGCACAAATACAAAACGCTGGTTTAGGAGAATTCAGAATTAGGGATTTAAATGATGAAATTAATAAATTGCTTAGGGAAAAGAGACATTGGGAAGATCAAATCAAAGAACTGGGAGGTCCAGATTATCAAAGAGTTGGACCTAGGATGTTGGATCATGAAGGAAAAGAGGTGCCAGGAAATAGAGGTTATAAATATTTTGGAGCTGCTAAAGAATTGCCAGGTCAGTAATAAAAATGTTTTGTAGGTAAATAAAAGGCAAGAAATGTAAGAGAAATAGTTTAATAAAAGATTATTGCTTATAAATTAGTAATTTGTGGATGGTAAACAGAAATTACTATAAATTAAGAAAAACAAATCATGCTAAGAATTTCATTTACAAAAATTGATTAAAAATAGAATATTTTAAAATAAAAACTATCTAGGTAATTTCTGAAAAATAGACACAGAAAATAGTCGAGTTATATTTATAATCTACATACATTATTTTGGTGTAGTGTTTTTAACTAATTATTGAATTAGAAATTCTTAGATTGATTGTTAAAATGTATATAATACACATATAACTAATATACTTTACAGCACTTCAAAAAGCATCTACAATTCTTTGAATTGAAAACTTACTTGATTAAAATGTTGGGCGGAACAAACAAAATTTATAGCAAATGCATTATACTGATTAGTTTGTATTAGATTGAAAATTTTAATGCATATTTAGATACTCTCACAAATCTTATTAGTACTTAGAGGAAATATAGCTGTGCAAAAGTCCTTAAATGTGTCTTGCATAAGAGTTCACACTTTATAATCTGAAAGGCTGGGCGAGTTGGAAACGATGGGTCATTCAACACTTTTTTTATAACATGGTTTTGGTTCATTTTATTTATTTACTTATTTAAATTTACAAAATTGCTTTAAAACTATTTGTTGTCTTGAGTATATTTTCTAGTTATAAAGAAAATGAAATACTCGTTTTTAAAAAAATTATCAATAATCAAGTTTCTTTAAATTCTTTAAACAGGAACTGATTCTGTAGAGTCAATTCTGGTAGGAAAATACTTTATTTGAAACCACCCACACATAACTTACATTCAGGGTTGCACTTGTACTTTTAGAGACTTTTTTATACAAATGTTTGCATATATGTAAATACTATGCTGCAGGTTAATTAGTTAGAAATTTCAATATTTTCCTATTCAAAGTTTTGACAACAAATAATTTTGGTAAATCCCCTGGAATTCTCCTATGAAAAGAAAATATAAAAGTAATGAAAAATATCAAAAATATATAAAGAAAGAAACATTTTAGCAAGATTGTCGCCTCTTAAAAATAATGAGGTACATAAAATCGAGAAAAAACTCTGGCTTTTAATATCTAAAATGATTTGCCACTATTTGGATCTGTGGCACCATTGTAAGGTTATTTCTTAGAAATTCATCCCTTCCCTTCAAGTATAGCAGGCAGAAAATCTTTAACATAATCTTTTCTTTCAGTCAAGATAAAATAAATCAAAACAATTAATTAATTATCATATATAATACAAGTAGTATAAGCTAATTCACGAAAAATAAAGTATTAAAATTCATTTGACAAATGCTGGGTGCATTAATTTATGTAATTATTCATAGAACCGATAGCAAAAGTTGTATTCAATAGATAAATATAATGAATTAATAAAATATGACAGCTCAATAATTTACAGTTATATCAAAAGCAATAACAGAAGATGACAAGCTTGCCTACTAGATGATTATCAGTAATTGATTATCGATTATTAATCAACTAAAAGCATAGGAATAGTGATATTATCACAGTAACAAAAAGCACTTAACCTCAAAAGGTTTTTAAATTAGACCATTTTCAGAGAAATACTATTTTAATGGTTGTAATATAATAATACCTAAGCCAGTGATGTTCCTAGAAATTACGCATTTTTAATTACCAGTAGATTTCTGTCAATTACTGGGCAACGTTGTTATATCAACATTTGAAACCCACGTCTCAAAAATTGTTTTTTTTGCTATCAGTATAATTAAAAATAAAAAGTATATCTGAAATTAAAAATTTAGAGAGTATTCTTTTGGATATTTTTGGTACTTAGTACTACTCTTTATTTTTTTCAAAATGAACCAAATCCATGAAGTTAGTAAAGACAAAGTTTAACATTGTTTTTAAAATTATTACTATAAAGGTCGTCTTTTGTATCTTCTACTCTAAAAAGATGTTTGATTTTTTGAAAAAAATTACTCAATAAATGCATTTGCCGAATTTCATGAGAATTATTTTAAAAATCATAATAGGTAACAAAATACTTGGTAGATGTAGGTAAAAACCTCTAATTGTACATTTCCCAAAAGGTGTAAGAGAGCTTTTTGAGCAAGAACCACCCCCTCCTCCCAGAAAGAGCAGAGCTGAACTGATGAAAGACATAGACGCCGATTACTATGGGTACATGGACGATGATGACGGCATTCTTATTCCGCTGGAAGTAAAAGCTGAAAAAATAGGTAATATACGAATTTATCAGATAACAGATAATTTCTTATAATCAGGCACAACAAACCGAAACATACAGTATAGTGAATTACTCATAAAGGATTTTTTTTGTTGAATTCTGAACTAATTTGTTACAAACTTATCGGTTAAGCATTCAAATTGATATTAAAAAAAAAGTTTGATTCAAAAATGTGGCAAAAAATATTTTAGTTCATTTGTTTCTTATTAATTTGATTATTATTTTTAGCTATTCAAACTTCTATCACTGAATGGGTAAATAATAAAGAGAAGAATTTGGGAGATAATGAGGAAGTGGAAGAAAATATTTATGCTGTAGAAGGTGTAAGTAATTTATATATTTTTATCAAATTTATCCAACATATTGATTTCATAGAATCAAAGTTGTAGATATTAATAACAGAAGACGGACTTTTAATACATTTTGTAATCGAACAGATTCAGTAGATCCAAAAATAAATTTCAAAAATGACAGAATTGATTTTTTGTTTACTTAAAGGTTTTCGAAATGTGTATAATTAAGAGTAAAAATAAACAAATACTCCTTACTGATTTTATCGGGGTATCTCTAATACCCTTTTAATGTCGGGATTATATTTGGGAGCTTCCAGTTGAATAACTATGATAGATATTACGAAAAAAAAGAGGAAGAGAAAATCGGTTTACGATCTACCTTGGGGTTGGGAATGGGAATTTCCAAATTGTTAAAACATGTTTGGGCAATACTTAATTGTGTATTTTCGGTAAAATAATTGACAAATTTCGCGTTCTGATTTTAATTCAGTCAAAAGTTTGCTTTAAGTGAATTTCTTTCGATCTATTCAGGCAGATTCTCTAAATCGTCCAAAACATGAATCAGCTTATAAGTCATTGTCTTAATTCCTCTTAATGTTTCAGTATTACCATCAGAATTTTACAGTACCACAGTATTATATTAGCAATGACGTAATTTGTATTCCAATGACATGACAGTTATAAAAATAGAAGTTATAGATATTAATTAACATTTGGTTTCTATTATTTTATATTAATTTTTTTACAACCTGCAAACAATAAAAAACTATGTCAATTTCAATGACAGATTGGTTTTCTTTTAAAAGTAAAAAATCAACTGTCACTGTAAGTGTAAGCCATAAAACCCCCAGACAAATTTTTTATTTAATTCTTAAATGTAAATTTTTTAAATCTTTGAATAATTCATTTTAGTCGGAGGATGAAGAGGAAACAGTTCAACAAATTGACGGATCCCAACAAAGATTCGTCGCGCACGTACCGGTCCCATCGCAGCAAGACATAGAACAAGCTTTACTGAGACGACGTAAACAAGAGTTGATGGAAAAGTATGGCGTACAAGAAGATCCGGTTTCCTGATAGTTGTAATTTTATTTTAAATATATACATTTTTGAATTAAAAGATTATTCATTTTTACCTCTATACCTTGTAGGGAATTAGAAAAAGTTTACACAGAACAAACTGAGATACTGATAAAAAATAGAATTAAGAAACATATTAATTCCAAAATGGGAGAAACTACGTAAGTATCGTAGATATTTTAATTAGACTTACTAAATAGAAAAACGTGATTGCAATTTTTATGTGTTATTATGATTGCACTATTTTTTTCCTTCAATAAAACTTACCATCCACAATTCTTACTCTGGTTTCAGTATCCCTCGACATATTAAGGTAAATTCTAAAACAGTATCACACACTTTCCTTTTGTTGGTTTTTTCCCTAAAAAAGCAATTTTACAATTAGTACCGTTTCTTTTAGTAATAAAATATTTTTTATTGCCCGACAGTACAAACCATTTACAGAGCAAGTAAAAAAATATAATTTAAAAGAGCAAATAAGAAAATAAAAGTAAAATGCAATAAAATAATGTTGCTGCCCAACACTAAAGATGTGCACCGAGTTTTATTATTCAATTCACATAAACTACAACAAAAAATATAAAAAAAACTTCTAATATTTTGTTAGCGTTATAGACCGTCAGATAGTGACTAATTTATTACCTTGGTATTCATATTTTCAGAACATGGGAAAGTGGCTGGAAAAATGTATGCAAATTGCCACAATTTTCCCACACAAGCCGTTTGACATATGCTTAGAAAAAGTGATTCTAAGACTATATAACAAAAGGCTCGAGTGTCATGGCCATCATATTATTTATATCTTTATAATTTATTCAACAAAAAGCTGACAAGAAAATCTAGAAATTTCCACAATTTTCTCACGCAAGCCGTTTGTCATATGCTTAGAAAAAGTAATTCTTAAACGATATAACAAAAAGTTTACAAATAAATATTTATGCAAAGTTGTTATTATTTATTGTTCGGTGATTAATCGTATAGTAAATTTTAATATGAATTTAGTGTTGAATTAACAATATGTTTATTTTATAGAAAAATTTATATATATTCTTTCAAAGGGCTATTAAATATAAACTTTAAAATACCTCTTAAGGGTCGATCTTTTAACCTCTGAGTAAAGTTACATGTAGGTTTACTTGACAGATTAACAAACATTATTCCTATAGTTTAATCAGCAAGTAGTTACTTTCAACTTTACTCAGAGGTGAAAAGACTTGGCCCTATTAACAGATTCGTTACAAAGATATGTTGGCCCATTTTTGAATTTTTATAAAATTAATGTATGTATAAAATAAAAATGCAGCTACTAAACATAAAAAAGTAGATATCCTAGAATTTAATGATGACAATCAAGTATTCTATGGAATAGACACTTCGAAACCATTTTAAATTGCATTTATGTAAGATATTAAAGCAATCAAGAATGTCATGAGATAAATCTTTTAACAGATCAAAATGATTTTCTTGAAGTCGATTAGAAAATGTTGATGTTCCTATGATATTATGTGACATTATTTCAAACAAGTTATTAGATTAAATAATTATTGTGCGTTATTTTTTTGGTTAAAATTGAAGTTACAGGTTGTTGTGTTCATTACATTAGTTATTTTTCTTCAAATTAAATAATTGTAAGTACTATGATATACATTTATTTAGTTAATCAACTGAAATATTTGAATTTTTACAATCATTTAAAAGGGCGTTAAGTTAATAAACATTTAAAAGGTATAAAATTAGTCGTTGAATTGTCCGGCCACGAGACAACTCTTATAATAAAATTAATATAAAATAACTTTGAGAATCGGTATTTAGATGATTTAGGGTGATATTTAGGTTTTAGTTTTATTTTTATTATATGGCGAATTATAAATGATTCCAAGCATATGACAAACGGCTTGTGTGAGAAGTGGGTGGTTATTTAGAGATTTTCTTGTCATCATTTTGTTAAATAAATTTTGTAAAAATAATATGAAGACCATGTTCAACACTCAAGCCTTTTTATATATAGTCTTAGAATCACTTTTTCTAAGCATATGCCAAAAGGCTTGTTTGGGAAAATGGTGGAAATTTATAAACTTTTTTTGTCAGGTTTTTGTTAAATAAATTATATATAATTAATACGATGACCATGTCCGACACTCAAGCCTTTTGTTATACTTAGAATCACTTTTTCTAAGATATGTCAAACGGTTAGCGTGGGAAAATGGTGGCATTTTTCATACAATTTTCCTGCAACTTTTCGACTCAAGCCTTCGTTTCGTCCACATCCGATACTCATGCCAATTTTATTATTACGTCTAACACATTAATAACATTCTATGGTTAAAAAGGCTTGCATGAAAAAATAACTCAAAAATAAAAAAAAATTGCGGTAATTTTTCCGACTCCAAAATGCACTTATCCATTCGCGCCATTCAAGCCAATATGTTTTTCGGGCTAGTGACGATGTATGTATTCATACTTTCGACGGGCTTGTGTGGAAAAATCAGTTAAAATATCGATTTTTCTTTACAAGATTACGCCCTTATTTCAACCCTTTAGCCTCTTGCAACATTAAAGCCTTTGGGTTTCCGAAGCCTAGTTCTCATAATTAATCATATAGTGAAAATGGCTTGCGTGGAAAAATGACCAAAAAACACCTTTTGTCCACGACCACTTAATAATAAATCAATATTCTACCTCCTAACTAAAAGCATATAGTACCCATATATCACGGAGTGAATTATGATAATTCACGCTTTTGTAATTCTGGCACATTCCGGTAGATAACTAAAGATAGGCGATACTTTTCATAACGATATTTTCTAGATCGAAAAATCAAAAATCGAAAAATTGAAAAGTGAAAAAAACAACAGTTAGTTACCTATGTTTAATAAAAACTTTCCATTCTACACTTAACTTTTATTTAATAAAGAAACCATAATGGTCGTGGACAAAGTATAGTATTAGACTCGCAATTTATGGCCATTATTCACTCGGGTGACTTGCGCCCCTCGCCTACGGCTCGGGACGCAAACGTCACCCTGCGTGAATAATGGCTACCATAAATTGCTCGTTTAATAATATACTATTATTTCTGTTAAAGGTAATCGAATTTTCCATATGTTATCCCCAAGGGCCGCTCGTAAATTTGCTTTCATTCTACTCAAAATCGATGTACTTTTCAACCCTCTTCGAGGCTTGCATGCGAAAATGGGGCACCTAAATCAGTCACTATCTGACGGTCTATTAGGTACCTACTGCATATACGAGAGTGGATAAAATTTAAACAAACACTATGGGGATTTTGTTAACCGTTATAGAAATAAAATTGGTTAAATTGAAAAAAGATGCGTTTTCAAGAATAATTTGTATGTTTTTTTTTAATTTAGACATTAGGTCCGGTTTCCGAGATATTTGTAAAATATATGCATTTACAGGTGTGATACAATAGGTTGTACAGAATAATCTGAAAAAGCCTAGGTAAGACAGAAAAGTCATGTGTTGGACACATCAGATTTTTATTAACTATAATTAATATATTTTTTTTAATTTCTGACTAGTTATTAAAAAATATTTATTATATATATACAGGGTGTACCAATAAAAACTCCCAGGCCGAATATTTTGGTAAGTAATAGAGATATTTTAATTCTGTAAAAGCCAGTTCACAGAGCACAGAGCTTCAGTTTTAGATATAAATTGATTTTAAATAGGTCAATATGTAGATGGCGCTGCGCTCAATAATTTTTTTTCGATGGAAGGATCTTTCTTGTGTAGCGCATCTTGTAAAAAATGCATTTTTAAGCAGATTTTGTTTCATGAACAAATTCGATATATCTAGCCATTTTTGATATACAGAGTGGGTCACTTAAAACAGTTTCATCCTGTTTTTCAGCATTAATCATTGGATTTTAAGAAAATGCTAAAACAGGTCGATTTTTATTCCAAATTAAAAACATTTTTACAATACAGACATCTGTCATGTGTCAACCCCCTCCCTTGTACTTCTCCACACCTTAATTTTAAATAGGTACTGTACCATGTATGGCACATCATTAAAAAGGTAATTTAATGGGGGATTCAGAAATATTTCTGTACATTGCGTTACTTAAATTGTATCGCCCTCTAGCGGAATAAAAAACTACTACGAATTATAGAGTGTGATACTACAATGTGTAGTACATCATTAAAATGGTAATTTTATGGGGAATTTAGAAATATGACTGTTCATTGTAATACTTTTAATTGTACCGCCCTCTATCGGGATAAAAACTACGTATTTTAAAGTGTGACACCTTATTTGAAAGCAAATTTAATTACTAATTCAATGTACCACATAACATTAATTAATATTAATATAAATATCCATATTGCATTTGCAATAGTTTGAAAACTAGTCATGTATTATTTTAAACATTATTGCTAACTTTATTTTGTTGCAAGTGCAATATGGAAATATTTTTATTAATGTTATGTGGTGCATTGAATCAGTAATTAAATTAGCTTTCAAATGAAGTGTCACACTTTATAATACGGTAGATTTTTTTATCCCGATAGAGGGCGCAAAAATTAAAAGTATCGCAATGAACTGTCATATTTCTGACTTCCCCATAAAATTACCTTTTTAATGATGTGCCGTACATGGTACATTCCTTATTTAAAATTAAGGGGTTGTAGAAGTGGAAGGGAGGGGGTTGACACATGACAGATGTCTGTATTGTAAAAATGTGTTTAATTTAAAATAAAAATCGACCTGTTTTAGCATTTTCTAAAAATCCAATGATTAATGCCGAAAAACAGGATGAAACTGTTTTGAGTGACCCACTCTGTATATCAAAAATGGCTAGATTTATCGAATTAGTTCTTAGAACAAAATTTGCTTAAAAATGCATTTTTTACAAGATGCGCTAGGCAAGAAAGATCCTCCCATCGAAAAAAAATTATTGAGCGCAGTGCCATCTACATATTGACCGATTTAAAATCAATTTATATCTAAAACTGAAGCTATCTTAGCGCTCTATGAACTGGCTTTTACAGAATTAAAATATCTCTATTACTTACCAAAATATCCGGCCTGGGAGTTTTAATTGTATATATCCGGGGAAAAAAGTACTCTCTTTATTTCCCGGAGAAACACTTTTTTCCCGGGTAACGGGGAAAAAGTAATTTCATAAAAAGTGACATTTTGTTACCTGACAAGAGAGAAAATGTCAAACTTTTTTCCCGCCATAGAAAAAAAAGTATTTTTTCAATTTTTACATATAAAGTGACATTTTTTATAGTCTAAGTGTCTAAGTATTGCAACAGCATTAACTCTGAGTTATATTTAACATTAGAATTTTGGACATAAAACATTTGCTTTTGTGATTATTTTATCGTTTTAAATAGTATGTTTTTTTTTCTTTCTTAAATCTTTATTCTTTTGTTTTGTAATTTTTTATATTGCATTTTTCTGAAATATTTGTTTTGTCATATTTTGCATGTTTTTTAATTGGGAATTTCCTGTAAAACAGTTTATAAAATAAAAAAATAATAAAAGAAATAAAAATAAACCTTTTTTGGTTATAAAATCAATATACACATTTTTATTGAAGTTTATATCAAAGAAAGGAAGGTGGTTACATAAAAATAGATTGTGTTAAGTGAACTTACAACCTAGTATTAATACTGTCTGGTCCTTATTTTCCTTTCTAAATCTCCACAATACACGACAAAATAACCCACTTTTTGGAAAACTGAATAACTCAAGCAAACGCACTACAAGAAGTGGATAGTGGATGCAAATAATTTATATGATTTTTTATTTTCTAAATAAATATGTAAATGAAATGAATAAGTTATGCAACTAACAATGCACAAAAGAAATGTTGGTTGCATAGATGTTAGTAATGTTTCACCAAACACAATATTATAAATAATCTAGTCAAAATTAGAAAAAAATATTGTAACATATAACAAAATGTCGTTTTGTGGTGTAACTCGTTTATTTTGATTCAGTCGTTACATAAAATAAGTCATTTCATAACTGGTTGCATAAATAGCTATTAATAGGTAAACTTTTTTATTTATTGTATTTATTCAAAAAAATTTAAAATATTTAGAGAAAAAATGGAACATAATCGTTCTTACAAAAATTCCAAAAGAACAGTTCATTATAAAATGATAATACCAATATTTGTGTGATACATGGTTAAAAAGAAAACAAAAATGGACGTTTCAAAAATGAAATAAAAAGTACAGGTTGGTATTAAAAAAAAATAGTTAACTGTTTACTGTTAACAAAATCCCCATAGTGTTTGATTAAATTGTCGCCATTCCCTATGTACTCGTATACCTCGGGAAACTAGTAAGAAATAATAATTATTAGATAAACAATTTCTTACCTTAAAATTGACTTGATAAATGCCTCTTTTTGCGGCGCAGTAATCCTAGGCGAGGGAAAGCCTTCCTGGGCCAACAGAGAATTTAACCACCTACTAAGGTTATCACAGTATTTTTTATTCAAAGCTAATAAAATATCACTAAAAATGTCTACAGAAGATCTTGGAGCTGTACTTCCTAAAAAAAATAATACAAAGTTTGGATCAAAACAGTTCAACCCGTGAATCAGTGGATATAAAGCACAATAAATAGGATATATTAAAAATAATTGGGCAGTAAAAGAACTGACAATTTAAACGATCTCTTGCTACTAATGGAGGTCGTAAACGTTTCGATACGGCCTGCAGGCCAAACGAACAGTTCCAATCTAAAGGAAAGATTTAATCAGCTCATTTAACTCGTCATCTTTACATTAGACAAAAGAGGAGAGGCCAGATGTGAGTCAGATCGAGCACTTCACGTTGCGTTATGAACTGAATCGATGGACGCAGTTCAAATCTCACAAAAATCGTAACGTGTAGAACCTCCTTAAGAACAAGCTACAGTCGGCAGATTATCTCGTGGCATCCGACGCATCAACTAGCGCAGAGAGAGAGTAAAGAGCGGAGCTACACAGCTACCGTACATTATCCACAATGGCGACTGGTGCACAAGTGCTGTAAAGCTGCATAACTGCCAAAAAATGTAAGTATCTCATCTACATTTCACATAAATTATTTTAGACATTCTAAAATACACTTAACATTATACTCACTGCGTAATTTTTAAAAATGATCAAGTAACATTTTTGTACCTTGATGAAACGTGGATCTATCAGAATCGGACTAGAAGAGTAATACTTCAAAAATCAAGATTAAAGGGAAACGTACTATTTTACATGAAGAGTCAAAATTTAGATTTTAAAAGGGGTGCTACTTGTTACTGGATTCAAAAAAACAAAGACATTTATTATAGGACTATGAACAGGGAGAGTTTTTAAAAAAATTGTTGATTAACCAGTTAATTCCTGGTAAATGTGCGATTGTAATATTTTATTTCCGAAATTGGACAATTTTATGAGCAAGATGATTTTTGCAGCCAATCTAATGACATTTATGTTTATAATGGACTGATTAAAAATTACTCTAGTTCCAAGATATTTTTTCAAACAAGACAACTTGACACCGGTTCTTCAAAAGATAAAAATTACATGTCAGAGCACATAACTTTGAAAAAATATTAAATAATACTAATTAAAAATTATTAAACTCAGTGCCAGCTCGAGTTTCAATTTAAAAAATAACAGGATATAGTTAACTACTTTTGTAGCCCAGTTCTGCACCCCATAATAACATAACATGGTTATAAAGACTATATCAATTAGATTCATCGATTTCTGTTAATTTAACCAATAACTTTGTTGTTAACCTACTAAGTCAATAACGTTATAATATTAAACGGCTTAATATAGTTACATTAACATTATTATAACGTATGCTATATTTAAGATAAAGATAAGTGGAAAAAGTACAAAATATACTAGTTTTATCTTACCTAAATTCATAAGTATCCTTAAGACTAAACTTTCTCCATACGCTTGTATCACTTGGGCTAAGGAAGTTTCTCTACTCTGAGAAATGAATTGTACTAAAAAGCTAGAAACTTGTTTTAAAGCTTGAATTTCTGGTAATACGAGACATAAAATTGCTAAAAACAAAAACATAAATAAAAACAATGATTATTAATTAGAATACTTATTAAGATTGTATATCCAGAAAATGTGAGCAAATATTTTCAAAAAATAAAACTATATAAACATAGGTCGATAAATGGATCCCAAGCGAGCTTAAAATACCCTAAGCCGACCCTGTTTAATACATCTTTTCAATGAAAATTTCAAATTTTGTTGAAATTTTCGAATTCAGCATAAATAGTTGAGAGGTGTACAAAATGTAATTTCTTTATCTAAAATCTTCTCTATAATATTTACTATCTTCAGGGGATCCCTTAAAAGGCTCTAGCTCCCTTAAGATCCATTTGTCGACCTATTTATACAGGGTGTTTTTTAATGATATGCAAATATTTAAAGATGTGAATATACATAAAAAATTATTGATGGTTCTTGCTTCACTTGCGTGGAAGTCGAGGGTGGCGCCAGACTGTTATCTAAAACAAGGGTTACTGGAGGCCAGTTTTGATACCGCAGTTTGCTCTGAATCCCTTGAGTGTACTCAAAGTAGCCTTTTAGTGGAGTAAGTAAATTCTAGGCTGTCACTTACATACAGGGTAGCCCTAAAAAATATATTCACCTCACTCAACCTAAAAGGGATTCTGGACGAGATAAATAAAAAGGGGGTATAGGTAAAAGAAACAGGATGATTATACAAAATAATCTATTTCAAATGCTAACCACACTGTGTCTTTATTTACAATCAATTGCCCACAAAAATTATATTAAAAATAAGAAAATAAAAATAAACCCTCCTTTCTTGCCAATAAATAAAATAAATAATATGTAAAACGGATATTTCCACGGTATTCTAAATAGAAGCTAATTAATAATATACTTAATGTGACAGAAGTAATTTCAAAATCAACAGGTTGAATAAGACTAATGGCAGTCTAACAACCTCAATATTTCACTCGGCAACATTATTTATTTTCCTCACGATAAATAAAACATTTAAAAAAGTAAAGTGATGTTAGCCAAGCGAATGTGGTCAGACTTTTGGAAAAATTATTTCTGACCAAAATTCACTTGTTAAAGGATTATTTTCAAAAGGATGTGGTTTACAGTTGATGCAGTGACGGACAAGGAGGTACCTTTACCTCGTGATCGACGGTGAGTGATGAATTAAAGATTTCACTTATTGCCAGAGGAACCTTGGATGTTGAGAAATTAAGTCGGCGAAGTAAGACTCACTCTTTTAATCACAATGGATATATGCGAGTGCGCACACTCGAAGGATTCGAAATCTGACATATCTCCATGGCAATTAAAAGAGCGATCAAACTATCGGCCGATCAACAGTCTGTAATGTGCATATCATTAAGAAATACCCTGTATAAAGTTTTTTGCCGTAAAATTACTCCCTGAAATATTGGTCACATTTTCCTGATATAAGGCTTCATCGAATTTCAAAAAATGTTTTAAATCTTTAAAGTATGAAATTTCAATGTTGGTTGAAATTCGTCGTAAATCATAATTTTTTATTTATAAGCATGGATTATAACTAATTTGACACAGTTATTTGGATGAATATAGATATATGATGAGTTTTTTCGATTTTTGGTAATAATTTCACAACCTTTTTGTAAATAGTTACCAAATTTGTCAGATGGGTATTACTTTAAGCAAGGAATGTGATTATATTTATGGTTTCATATTTCGGTATAGAGGGCGCCATATGAGCGATACTGTAGCCTAGAAAATACAAGCAATTGGTTATGTACATTCCTTAAAATTTGATGAAGTGTTGTCATTCCTTTAAACTGTAAATTTAACGTATTTATAAAACTTTTACCACACTGGAAGAGAGCCGCAATATCGATGCCACACGTCATAATGAGTTGAGGGACTTTCTTGGCCAGCGCTGCCAACATGGAAAAGAAACCTTCAAGCACATCAGCTTTTTCCGACAGTTGATTATTCGTGTTATATTGGGCGCACATTTGCATTGTCGTACTAGTTAGCTCGTGCAAGAGTTGTTGATTTAACGTACAAAATTCCTCTTCTCTGCCGAACAATATCAACACCTAAAATGAAGTAAAAATAATAATAATAAAATTGTCTTAGAAAATAAAAATTTTAAATGCACACATAATAAAAATTTCCAAGTAGTTCAATACCAATACAAAAAGTAAAGTAAATAAAATAAGTGAAATATAATCAATTCCAGATCATTCAAGGGTCAAAGCTAAAGTCTCCTTCTTCCATAAGAAAGTCTGGAAATCTTTCATACCTTATCAGCAGTTTTTCGTTAAAAACGTTTTTAATTTACACTTAAATTTTTTTATGTGCAAATTTCTAAAATATAGGGGTAGGATATTAAATAGCTCAATATTATATTTCTTTGTTCTATTTAATCTTGAAGTGGTTCGATGTTTTAGATGGGTTCTGAGGTTTGAAAGGACACATACACACACTGGGTATACAACTATTATATTGCCAAATAGGACAAATAGAAAACTTTAATTTTACAAACAACGAAAAAATATATAACGTTTATTGCTGTCACGCTGAACCTCCTTGCTTCGCAGTTCAGATGAGACTGCCCGCCAGTTTTGCCAGGCCCTGTCAACCGAAAATCGGTAGAATTATAGAGAAAAATCGGTAGATCTCAGCAAAAAACGGTAGATTTCAAAAATCAAACGAAATTTGTATAAAACAAAGTTTTTACCCTCGCGTCACTCTCACATAGGCGCGCGTTTAGGTCGGTCCACCGCAATCTGTATTATTAGTAGAGCGCCTGGGGCCTAAAAAACATGAAAATCTCGATCTTGATCTGCAGTGAATGAAATTTAAAAATTCAAAATGGAATATTTTGCCAATAATATATATAAAAAAGTGTTCCAATTTAAAAATTGTGATTTAAAAAAGTATGTTAATTGCAATAATTTAAATAGTATATTCAGATAGTAATCGGGAAAAAAGAAGTAAATGAAGGAAAATTAATTAAAAAAAGAAAATTACTAATAAAATGTTTTCTTATTTAAAAAAGTTACATTTTCATACATCAAAATATTTTCTTCAACTTTATTTTTTTTTTTTTAATCACAGGTGGAGTATTGAAACAACTATTTTCGCTGCACTGTCAACATGCTATACTACATTATAAGCCACTTTTCCCACATCCACAAGCAGTTCCATATCTCAGATTATCCGGATGAACATGTTACTGGATGAATTTAAAAAACACAAAGATAGAACATGGCCAGGACCAGGGTTGCCAACCGGTCTTACCAATTTACTCTCAAAAACTTTTCCGGATTACTCACAATTACTCACAACTTGAAAATATCAATATTACTAGTTTTTTTTATATAAATCATATATTTCGTACTCTTGCATTTTGGTTTGAATTTATTTTACTACTGTGCAATGTTGCCAAACATTAAAAGAGAAATTTTCAGAACATACAAGAGTCAAAACAGATGCACCTTTTTCTGTTCATTTATTATTTTAATAACCAAGTAATATACAGGTTGATTCATAACTATTGGGACATAGGCTAAGGCAGGTTATTTGGATAAAAATATGGCGATAGGACCAAATATACCTTAATAAAATATTGCTGTGGAATAAGATACAGGGGTCTATTCTGTAACAATTCCTTTATATTTAACGGCCTTTAAAAATATTTTCTTCTTTACTTCTGTCATTATTTAAACGGATCTTTAAAATACATTAGAGGACTATCTTAAAGAAATCTGTTTAAATAATGACAGAAGTAAATTAACGAATACAAACATATTTTTAAAGGTCGCCAATAGTTTTAAAGGCCGTTAAATATAAAGCAATTGTTACAGAATAGATCCCACAGGGCGTTAAATTTGAATACTGTTTTTTTGTTTTTTTCTGATGTCACTGTATATTTATGAATTGATATCAAAATTGGCACAAAGGCATATTTTTCGACAAGGAATAATATTTTATGTATTATTTCACATTTTGTTACAAGAGGCGCCACGTGAATGATTCCTGATGATGAAATTAAGTGGTAGCTTTTTTTACGATACTTTTTAGTATTTTTGATTAGAAAATTTCACCCGTTTTCGAGAAAAACGCAATTGAACAACTCACAAAACATTTCATTTATGAAAAGTTTGCTTTGTTGTGTCAAATAATTTGCTGTTAGATTATAGTCTATTATTATTATTACTATTATTAATATTATTTAACGCCCTGTATCTTATTCCACAGCAATATTTTATTAAGGTATATATTTGGCCCTATCCCCATATTTTGATACAAATAACCTGCCCATAGCCTATGTTCAAATAGTTATGAACCACCCTGTATATATAACATCTTTGTCATCAGCTGAACAAAAAACAGATCAAAAGGTTTGGAGAATCAGAGTAGCTTCTTTATTAACGGGCCAAATCATAATAAATCATTAAATAATTCTAATACTTAAAAAAAATCTACTAATAAAAATATATACTTTTAAAATGAACAAAAAAAATATATTAATCGACGATTGGGACAGTCCCAATGGGACTATCCACTATCGACACGACACCTATACTGTTGTAAAATATCAAAATTACTTTTACTCTTTTACATTGACCAAGCAATAGAGGACGTTGTAATTTTAAAACTATAAAATTGTAATGACTGTTAAAAGTGCTGGGGGGGGGGGGGGTAAAATAGGGCTTATATTAAAATTTTAAAAAGAACACGGTTTTAATAAATTATCTGATCAGGATTTTGCCTAACTACCATGAATATACCCACGCTGACTTCCCGATTACTCACATATTACTCACAATTGCCCTTTACTCACAAAATTACTCACAGACTAGTAAATTACTCACAAATGTGAGGAATTACTCACAGATTGGCAACCCTGGCCAGGACATATAAAGTATAAAACAGCGTATACGTATCTAACGACAGCTACGCATGCGCAACAGCTATTTTCCATACATATCTATTTACGTCTGACGTAAACGTACTCTTACGTATGCCTAATACGCATTCGTATCGAGCCTAGCAAATACTTTGGGAGCATTCGATCGCATTAATAATACGAATGTGCTTGCCAAATTCTGAACCATAATATGAAATAAGATTCATTTGTAATTTATATATGCACAAAAAATATTTCAGAAAACAATTGCTAGAATCATTTGTTGTAATCATATTTATTCATGCCAAAAGAGCCCTAACTAGTCTAATTATGTCGCTCTTTTTAATCAAAAGAAACTCTTTCATTCAATTTCAAACAGGTTAATGAACCTTCATATTCTAATTGTACGTATGACATGGCTTCAGAAGACCATGCGTTATCGGATTGTCCAGCCAACTATCCAGCAAGAACAATACCTGAAACTTTCTCATTTTATAACCTTAAACAGTTGAATTATATTAGGAATCAAAGTAATGTTCTCTTGGAGTTGTTTTTTCTCAAAGCTTTGAATCCACAGTATTGGCTCAACCTATTGACCTGTTATTACCTTATAGTTAACCAACATAAGCATTATATTTTGGATAATAGGTCAATGTTGGTTAAGTACTTAAAAATATTGGTTACATTACAATTTTCACCTAGAACTACATTTAAATTATTATTTAAGTCGGTGTTTAATCGTTCAGCTTGATATTTTGGGCATTGTATCATAAAGTGTTTAACTGTGAGTTGTAAGTTATACAATTCACAATTAGTGGAGGGGCGGGGGCAGTTTTAGAGATTAGATAACCGTGCATGTCTTGTGTGATCTATGCGTAATCTGTTCAGTGTTACTTGCACAGATCTGTTGGTAGGTATGTGTTTCCAAGGATTCACTGTAGGTTTAATTTAGCCTAGTTTTGAATTAGAGTTACACCATTCGTTTTGCCACAAATTAACGATTTTTGATTTTTGAAATCACTATACACTACGTTCCACACTTCTACGCGCGGTTTCATTGTTGATTGCTTGACGGGTGGCAAGGTCTGCTTCCTCGTTGCCTTTAACTCCAATGTGGGAAGGAATCCATATAATTTCTACTCTGTCTAGCCTTTCTGTGTTATTTGGCCTAACTCGAATTTGATATCGAGGGCTATGGGATGACTAGTATAAAGTTGGTTTATTGTATGAATGGCACTTAGAGAGTCTGATATTATGATTGCATTTGGTTTAATAAGAGCCTGTAGAATGGCGAATAGTTCTGCAGTGTATATGCTGGTTATTTCGGTAAACTTATATTTGGGGTAATAACGGCTGCACATACGCCATCGACAGGTTTCGAGGGATCTGTATAAATATGGTATGAATTTGGACGATTGCTTAGTTTAGAATAGAAGATGTTTCTTAGAAAGGCATGAGGTGTGTCTGTTTTACTGAAATTGCTTAGAGACATGTTTGTAGGAGGTAAAGAAATTGACCATGGAGATATGTTTGTTGAGTTGTTTGGGAAAAATGTGGGAATTTCTAAGTTGATTGAGCTGAGTGTATGTCGAACTCTTTCGTAAAACGGTTTATCAAAATTGTTATTCATTCTTAATGAATGTTTATAACGATCTGTGTATGTGTTATTGTAAACAGGATTGGAAGTATTGGTTTTTATTGATGCAGCGTAAAGTACTTTCTTCTAAGTTGTAGGGTTGGTACGCCAATTTCTTTTTTTTGGGCAGTACAAAAGGCTTCTGTTATTAATCGTAAAGCACGTTTATGCACACTTAATATCGATAATTCGTTTCAAAAACTCAAAATTAATGAATATTATTTTTATTTTAAAAATGCTGACTACATTAGTTTAAACAATTATTTTGCACCGATCAATTGGGATCAGTTGTTTGCTGTTAATGATTTAGATTCAGCTCTTCATAACTTTTACCAAAAACTTAGCAATGCAGTACATTGTTTTGTTCCACTTAAGGGGAGATTAAAGTTTTTAAACTTTTTTTTTATATTTGATTTTGTAAATGGAAAACCTTTCAAAAATATTGTATGAAAATTTGAGATGAATCGGAGCAAAACTAACGAAGTAACCGCACCTCATACATGACTCAGCGCATCAGAAAATACCTGCCCGTCCCGAGCGCGCTATTGTTACCTGGCAGCAAGGGCGGCTCCAGGGGAGCGGGCTATGAGGGTCATGGCCCCCACCGAGATGAAGATTCTTAGGATTTATGAGTCTTTTATTCAAAAAAATATGCTAAAAACAGAATTGCTAAAGGGAATGGCCCCCACCGAAAATTCGTCTCGGAATGCCCTTGCCTGGCAGCTGCTTCGTTCACTATGCCTTACTTCCGACCTTTCTTTATAGAAATTTTAACACAAGTACAGATCTGTTTATATCTGTACTGTATATAATTTAGTGTAGCATTGGCCTGGCATGTTCTTTTGCTTTACTAACCTACATGCAAGGCATAGGAATCAGTAGTGGATCAAGAGGTCATGAATGAGGATTCGTCGTAGACAGGAGCAAAAAGATGCTTAGCAACATCCTTTATGGACCTGGCATCGATGATTCAGTGTGAGTTAAGCCGATATAAAACTCGTTTATGAACGTTTTATTCCAAATTGTTTAGTGTTCAAAACTTTAAAGCGTTTTTCCCACAACTCATGTTTCCAAAGTTGGTGCTTCCCATAACTTCAAAACTACTGCACCTATCCTTTTGAAATTTTGAACACTATTTCTGTACATAATTTACGAGGTAACGCTGGAGAGTTTTTTCAAATTTGTTAATATTTTTTTAATTTATAATAACAACTTAGCCTATTTTTTTTCGCAAGAATCGCGTTTTTTACTTCAAAGTGTTCCCAAAAAGTGAAAAATTGAATTTCGAAAAACCCTCCCAGCGTTACCTGTGGAAAACGATTATCTAACGAGAGAACTTTGATTTTTTTTATTTCTGATGATCCAGCACCGAGTTAGGAGGGGCACCGCAATTCTACTTTTTTCCGAGACGCTTCCGAATAATTGTTACCATTTCCGTATTTTTTAATATTTCTACATGAAAACTTGACACAACATTCTTTGAATGTTATACTTTAATGTACCATTAGTTTAAATAAATATATTTTAACTGTGTCATCACGAATTAACCTTACCCCCCCTTAAAAAACTGAATAGCTCCAACTTTCCAAAATGGTTTTCAGCTGACTTGAAGAAGCTCATTACTGAGAAAAAATAGCGCACGCAAGATAAATCCTCATGCAACTTCAATGATTTCTGTATTTTCTCAAACTTAAGGGCACAGTGTACGTTCCCATCTAGACAACGTTACAGTAATTACTTATCTCGAGTGGACAGCGGAATCCATGTTAATCCCAAATTTTTCTGGAGCTAATATAAATCTTTAAAAAAAAATACTCTTCCTTGTCCGACACTATGTTCTTAAATGATAAAACAGATAATACCTCCCAACGCATCGCTGATTTATTTTTTGAACACTTTTCTAGTACTTACAGTCATGAAAACCAGACTTATCAAATATTAATTTAGATATTAAAAACACCTTTCATATTCCTCCTATCAAGTTTGCGGTACAAGAAATTTTTAATGGTATACTAAATCTTAACGATAAATTAAGCCTTGGACCAGAAGGAATTCCTTCATTTCTTCTGAAAAGATGTATTTTCACATTGACTCGTCCATTATTTTTACTATTTAATTCCTTGATAAAGTTAAATTATTTTCCAGGCATTTGGAAAAGTAGTTATGTGGTACCTATCTTCAAAAATGGCAACATGCTATCCATTATTACTAAACTTTTTGTAAAATTGATTATTTGTGATCTTTCTTAATATTGTAATAATTTGATAATCGATGAACAACTTGGTTTTTCCCGAGGAAAATCAACAGTTACAAATTTGATGGTTTATCAGCAGGATATTTTCCCAATTTGGTGTCAATCTGCAGGTGGATTCAATTTATTCTGACTTCTGTAAAGCCTTCGATCGCGTGAACTATTCATTATTATTACACACACTTAATCTTTTAGGTTTTCCTGATCGTTTGATTTCATGGCTAAAAGGCTATTTAACTGGATATAGTGAAGATTGGCAGCAGTACTTCAGACCACATTGTGGTGCCTTTTGGAGTCCCACAGGACTCTCACCCTTCTTATTTCTACTATTCATCAATGTCAATTCAAATATGCCAAGTTTATACTTTTTACAGATGACTTAAAACTTTACATGGCTATTCGTAATATAATTGATTGTCTTCTTCAAATTGATGTACAAGCTCTCCATAATTGGTCTGTGAAAAACTGTATGTTTTTTATTTCTAAATGTTACACGATTACATTTGGTAGGGAGTACAACAAAATAATCTTTGATTATTTTATTTTCAATACAGTCCTCAATGGAGTAAATGAGATAAAAGACTTAGGAGTGCTTGTCGATGAAAATCTGACATTTAACCTACATATTTATCAGATCACTGGTAAAGCTTTAAAAACTCTTGGATTTATTCTGAGAAATTCTAGTGGTCTATGGGTTGCCTTTCTGGAGACCTTTTTACAATGGCCATATTTCGTCTATTGAAGCTGTTCAGAATAAGTTTTTAAGATAATGTGGGTACAAATTGGGATTAAGACATGGGGAATATGATTATGAGGATATACAGAGATCATTGAATTTAATATCGCTGGGATTTCGTAGATTAATTGTTGACCTTGTATTATTTAAATTGATTTCGGATTTAACTAATTGCAGCAACATGCTTCAACTTAATCAGTTCCCTATTCCTCAAAGGTGTATGAGAAACAAAGACTTGTTTATAGTGCCCTTTCAATCAACAAAATATGGCTATTTTAGTCCTTTGTCAGTCTATATTCTTCTAAAAAAACAGAAATAGATCTGAATAAGTTGGTATTGTTTTAGTATGTAAATATTTGTATTATTATAGTATGTAAATATTTGGCTAGACACTGTATATTTTTCTATTGTATTGTATATTATTTCTTTTTCTATAATAGGGTATTCTCGTATAATAAATAAATAAATAAATAAGTAAATAAATAAATAAATAAATAAATAAATAAATAAATAAATAAATAAATAAATAAATAAATAAATAAATAAATAAATAAATAAATAAATAAATAAATAAATAAATAAATAAATAAATAAATAAATAAATAAATAAATAAATAAAATAAATAAATATATAAATAAATAAAAATATAATAAATAAATAAATAAATAAACTGTTCATTGATTAATAAATATTGGAAAATATTTAAATATTTAGTTGTTTCGTAAATTTGGAACTCTCTCGTTTTCGTCCACGGCAAGTAGCAATTACTAAGATAGTATATCTTAGTGAACGTTTATCCATAAAAAAATCAAAAGATAGATAAAATTTAAAAAACGCTTCCAAATGACGCGTCGTAAGGCCCTTGAACGATAAATCGCAATCAGAAATACAATTTTTGACGTAATTAATTTAATTATGTTTTTAAATCGTGTGATATTCGACATTAAAATCAATTAGATCACAAAACCTCTTAGATACATAAACTTGATTAATTTAAAAATAATTCCGTTTAAAATTCATCGTGTACTATCTCGTTTACTAATGCATTAAGTATAAAAGAGCTTATCATATGTTCAAGGTTCATTTAAATACAGTTACATGTTACACCAATATCATCAAAACGAGTTTTTATTAGTCAATCGTTGTTTCGAATCCAGTAACTTAGTTTGTTGTTGTATTAGTTTAGTTAAAAAAAAAAAAAAGAAAAAATGACAGTAAATTCGCAAAATATAATCGTCGGGCCAGAGTTGGAACGAATCTGCGATTTACCACTAGGAGAATTACTGTTGAGAATGATAAAAACACACGAAGACAACGTAATCCAAGTGTGCGGTGAAACCGGTAAGGAATTAACTGCAGATGTATTACTAAAACGAACCATAAAACTATCAAAATGGTTGACGCATGAAGGAATCACCGTAGGCGACAACATATCGATAAATTCAGAAAATCGTACGGAGTTCTGCATAGTACCAGTGGCGAGTTGGTTTTCTGGAGCCACTATAGCCCCTTTAAATCCAGATTACACTCCGCGCGAGCTCAAACACGTCCTAAACCTATCGAAGCCTAAAATCATATTTTGCTCCAACAGAACCATAAACAAAATGGTCTCGATCTTACCGGAGCACCCATACATACGAAAATTGATTAATTTCGATGACGATCCCGTACACAACCTCAAAGTTTTTAAATTTTCCGATCTTGTGAGGGACGCAGAAAATGAAGAAATCGATGACGATTTCGAGACGGTGCCTCTCGATCCTAAAACTACTGTAGCGACGATTTTATGTTCTTCAGGAACGACGGGCATGCCGAAGGGCGTAATGGCTACGCACGACAACTATAACGCTGTAATAGACATAGCTAGGGCATACATGGGAGACATCGCCGATAATGAGGACCCAAGGGACGCTATGATCGGTTTGATGCCGTTTTTTCACGCGTTTGGTTTTATGCTGATGTTCCTTAATCTCGTAAGAGGTAAAACGATAATCATTTTAGACAAATTCAAGCCTAAAGTCTTTCTAAATGCCATAGTCAAATATAAAGTCACAAGAATGATATTACCGCCTCCATTATTGCTATTTTTGCTCAAAAGCCCTTTGGTAAAAAATTACGATTTATCCTGCATTAAAGAGATACGCAGCGGTGCTGCACCCATGGGCGAAGAAATGGAGAAGGAACTTAAGAACCGATTCAATGTCTTCAACGTTTCCCAAGCATTTGGCATGACCGAAACTACCCTAGGTGTATTGATCACACCTCCAGGCAAGAGCAAACCGGGTTCTTGCGGGACAGTAGCTCCAGGAATGATGGCCAAGGTAATCAACGAAGCTGGCGTGCCGCAAGGTCCCTACAGCAACGGCGAGATATGCGTGAAAGGTCCGATGATAATGAAGGGCTACGCGGGAGATCCGAAAGCGACCAACCTCATCATAGACAAAGACGGATGGCTGCATACAGGAGACGTAGCCTACTACGATAACGAAGGGTACTTCTACATAGTCGACAGAATTAAAGAATTAATCAAATACAAGGCTTTCCAAGTGGCACCAGCCGAATTGGAGCAACTGCTTATAACTCATCCAGCTGTCGAGGACGCTGCCGTAGTGGGTCTGCCTCACGAGGAGGCTGGCGAGCTACCGTTGGCTTTCGTTGTCAAAAAAGCCGGCAAAAATGTTACTGAAAGTGAAATAGAACAATTGGTGCGGGATAATATGTCCGCGCAAAAGTGGCTGAGGGGCGGTGTGATATTTTTAAATGAAATTCCCAGAACAGCTACTGGAAAAATTCTTAGGAGAGTGTTAAAACAAAGGGCTATTGATTTTAAATCAAAATTGTAAAAATGTCATTTTATGAAATTAATTTTGTCTAATCATCGAATAAGTCGATCACACTGTTAAAGGCTTTCGTTGTTGCGCCAGTTCAGAAAAATATGCCGATAACACTGTCTCCGAAAACAAAAATGAATTTCTTTATCAATTTTCATTCTATAAATATTGCACTTTAAATTAGCTAATGTATTTATATTAGACAACTAATGTGTCAATTATTTAATTAATTGTTTTGTTACCAGTGCAAAGTCAATAGCCGGTACAACAGCTTAATTTAAAAATTTAAATTCCACATTGACCAATTTTCCGACTTCATTATACAGGGAATTTTAATGAAAAATCCAACCATAAATAATTTTAAAGGTGAGTGATAGAAAAAAATACAAAAATAAGTCAAATATATAAAGGGGAACGGTTTTTTTGTATGTATACTTGTTGCAACTTTCACTATCTACTTCCGTTTCTATTATTAAATTGAAATTATCTGTAAATTCTAAAACGATTTACTTTACACTTCAGGTATACATTTTTGGAATCGAATAATAAAAGAGAATAGAAAAATGCAATAATATATACAGGATGCTCCATTAAAAAAAAAACATGGAGGAGAGTGAAAGTTAAGGGTATACATGAGCAAAAAGACGTCCCTCTTTATATTATTTTTGACTTATTTTTGTATTTTGTCATAAAGGCTTCACCAATAAAATTATTTTTCTATATTTGACATATAAAGTGACATTTTTTGTAATCGCAACAACTGTCAAAATTATCAACTTTACGTAACGCGTTGCATAATGTTGAACATTATAAAACTGGTTACGAGAAATTAATTATGTGATAAGTTGATAATGTTGTTTTGGTGCTTATTTTGCATTCTAAATCAGCACAAAATAATTATAATACAATACACGACAAAATAATACACTTTATTAAAAACTAAATAACTTTAACAAGCAATGTAAACACTCTACAAGTCGTTGAGAATAAATTAATATTATTTTCTGTTTGTCAATAAAGTTATGCATATGCAACTAGCAATACATGAACGTAGTAATATTGATTGCCTAGATACCAGTAATTTCTTACCAAAACAAAATTTTATGAATATTTTAGTAAAACTTGTATTGTAATGAACACGTTACGAAATTCCGTTTTATGTAACTCGTTACATAAAATAAGGCTTTTTATTACTGGTTGCATAAATAGCTATTAAGATATAGTTTTTATTGAAATTTCCTGAATATGTTTTTCAATGCATTACATCAGTGTTTTCCGTCGCATAAAACAATTAGATTTTAGCTCTTGGTGTGACAAACACGCACACGCGCGCACACACACACAGCTCTTACTTTTGTGCCCTTGTACAATAAATATCTATTTATATTTTTATCATATGGGTGATTTTTTAGGTTTATAATAATTTCTTACTGTTTCTAAATAATACGAGGCAGCTCAAAACTAGCTGCAGCATCACTGGATATTGTTGTTTCGTCTTTTCAAAGCTGCAATAAACTTAATTTATTTTATATAAGGATTTGGAGTGATAATGGTCAGTATGCTTTAAACAAAAATGTGAAGTTTTGAGAAAATAATTTATTCAATATAGATGTAAAATAGAGTAAATATGTAAATCAATGTTTTGAATATGAATTTGGCCCTTTATCACCTTCTTCAATATTTCTAAGCAATTTTTCATGTCTTGCCAGTTCCGATATCAAAATGTTAGTATAAGTTAATGAATAATCATTATGTTAATTATATTTTACTCGGTATAGGATTGTTTATTGTTGTACTACTTATACATAAATTATCTTATTATATTTATTTGGATATTTAATAAATTCAAAGTTAAAATACCGATAAAGATTTTTTTTTTTTAAATCAAACAAATGATATAAAAAATTAATTGAACTATAATAATATTAATACTAGTGACAAATTTCAATCGGTTGAGGTGGTCGAACATTTTAAAAATCTAAGGTCTAAGTTGTATAATATATTTTGTATATATCACGCAGGTAAAGGAAATTTTAATATTTATTGATAGGCTAGATGACATCTTACAATATATGTTAGTGATACATTTAAAATGTTTAAACGGGCTTGCACAACTCAGATTTTCAAAGGGCCAGATTTGAAAAACCGTAACTGTACGAGGGCCGCCAAGAGAGGCCTGAGCCTACAATAGCTGATCGATTTTCTAAAAAAAAATAGTCAGCCTAAATGCAAGTTTGTTACTAAAATGTATAATTTGACGTAGGCCGGCCAAACTGGTCAATGACCAGCGGGCCGCCAAAACGACACTGGCGGGCCGCATTCAGCCCGCGGGCCGTATGTTGTGCACCCCTGGTTTAAAATAATAATAATAATAATAATAATAATAATAATAATAATAATAATAATAATAAAAATAATAATAATAATAAAAATAAATGACTTTACTGCTCTCCCCACTAAACATGAAACATAACAAGTCTTTTTTGTAACGTTTTATCTAGAGACTTTTCTTGATATATTTTTAAAATATTACTTTAATATCTAGTAGATGTTAAAATTTTAACATCACATTGATTAACATTCCTGTTAAATATCTAAAACTGAATTTTCATGTACACAACAATACTTGCATACGCAGTACATTACCATATTTTCTACGTCCTTTTAGTTACTTCCTGTGACAAACATTTATATGATGTTAATTTATGTAATTCGCAATAATGTCGCATATAGGACAACACAGTTATGTAAAAGTTACACATTTTTAAGATGATGATTATCTTTGTTTAATATTATATTAAAACAAAAAATGGCTGGCTGTTGGCGCATTGAGTAAACATTTTTTGTGAATAAGCAGAATAAGTGAATTAGAAACGGGCCTTTTACGGGGATGGAGGTAGATACAATGAACTCCATCAAAAAAAGATGCAATATCTGCATTCCGTGTATTCGTGTTGTCTTTGTCCCATCTTACGCGCTGTGATTTCAATTCCAAATTTCAATCATCTTTGACTTGTTCTGTGTTCAGCTTGTCTCACTTGTTCCTTGCGGTTGTTTTCCGGCTTGCCTTGCCGCTTTCCCGATTCCCGCGTTTTAGTTTTCGCCAGTTCGCCACGTCCATTTTGATTCTCGTCTCGTTCATTTTAGAGGTGTTGTGCATAGAAAAACTAGGGCTGCTCTGCTAAAGGGTTTTGTGCATTTCAATTTATAATGGCTGATCAATTATAATTGATGTGACAAAAACAAGATGAAACTGTATCAAAAACGGTGCTTTTTTAAATAGTGAGTGTCAAGTCAAAAATTTGATGTAGAACATAGGATCGAGTCCTAGATACCTTATATTGATGGTAATTTTATGGAGAATTCAACAATATTACTAATAGTATTTTTTTCTGAATTCCCCATAATTACCTTTAATATGAGGTATTACTCAATCCTGTGTCTAGTTCAAATTTTTGATTTGGCAGTTTTAATGTTCATATGATGTTAACATCTACAAGAAGTAAAAAAGCTTTTTCATATGTAACAGGAATGTCACATCTAGCTTGTTAAAAAGACATTATTTTTAGAAAGTTTCAGTAATGTTTCAAAGATGTAACAAGGTAGCGCTATAATATCAATAGAACGTCTACATTGGTTCATCACAAAATTAAACGTCCCTACTCTGGGCTTAGACCGTTATGAGTCCGTCCTAGATGAAAACAAGAGTAAAAATGAGAGTTACAATGTAACAGTGTGACGTAAAGTTTGCATTAATGTAACGTTTTTATGCATAAATACAAATTATAGATATAATTGAAAGTTGTAATTTTAAACAACTAGTTTTTGAACCTACAAGAGTAACCAACACAAGCAGGACTCTAATAGATAATATATTCGTTAATTTTTAGGATTATGAAAGTGTCCATGTTACAATTTTTCACAAATACTTACAATAAATGTTCCTAGAGAGCACATAGAAAAAAACATAAAGAAAAGGGCTGGTATAAAAACATCTTGTCAAAACAGACGTTTCTTATATATGAATGAACATTATAAACAATATAGTACTGTCCTAAAAACTGTATAGGGAAGAGTTCATCCGAAAATCTGATAATAAAAGCAAAGCCACCTGGTCACTTGTAAAATAAATAAAAAATAATTAAAGGTAAAACTTATTTGTAGAAAATATTAGTAGGAAAGACGCAGCTTTGGCTTCGACAGATATCTCTGAACACAACAAATCAATTTTTCATTACTGCCTGCCCTGACATTGCACAAGATGAAGTAATTAAATATGAGAATATAATAACAACTTTGACATCACCTAGGGAGATAATAAGAACAATAAAAAATCTGTAGGTTTCGATGAAGTACCAGTGGTCCTTTTAAAGAAGCAGCTTGCCAAAGTACATATTCTTTAAAACAGTGGTTCTCAAAGTGTACTAAAGGAGTACTGTAAGGTTGCAGAGTAAAATAAAATCTTACTAAAAGATTAATAATTGCTATTAAGACTTAGAGTAGAGTTACAAACTTTTATAGATATTTCTAATAATTTGAAAAACCGTTTGTGTGATAGAACTTGCTTTTTCAGAATATCTTTTATTTATTTATTTAATTTATTTATTTATCCAAACAGGCCTATTGGCCTAATTACAAGGATAATTAAATTACAATTAATGTTACAAGAGTAAATTATATAAAAAATAATATTAAATATTTAAATTATGAATAAAAATAATCCTAATTAAACCTTATAGATATCAGAGCATCAGAGGGAGAGAGGGATGTAAATATCAATGAACTGTTTAAATAGCCAAATTGCAAATATGAACAATAACTTGATTTCTAAACTTATCATATTTTGCGTACCAATTTACATCAAGCAGCATATTAATATTGTTTGCTAAACGAAGCATCATTAGGAGAGAAGTTCTGGATGTTGTTGAGGTAAAGGGAATAGTAAACATATTTGTATTCCTCATTGGACGAGGAGGAACAGAAAATTTTTCCAATTCTTGTAATGCAATTTGATATTGTCCCTGCCATATAATCGAAGCAAAATCCATTTTGGACCGCACTAATGTAAAATAAAGGGACCTTAATAAATTTATATTTGAGAATGGTTGTGATTGTCTTATTAAAAAACCCAACGCACGATTAGCGGCTTTAACAGTCTTTTGAATATGTGGAGAAAACGATAACTTGCTATTATAAGTTACTCCTAAGTCCTTGACCTCCAGACATCTCTTTAGTGATTCGCCATTCATTTGATAGTCAAATAATATTGGTTGTTTTTGCCGACTAATAGTTATGTAGTAACATTTTTTGATATTAAAATTTAATTTGTTTTTCTGGCTCCATTCATATATTGCATTTATATATTTTTGCAGCGCGACGCAATCGCGGACTGTTTTGATCTCTTTATATACTTTAAGATCATCGGCAAAAAGTAAATCATTGACAACTAGGAAAAACAGTAATGGTCCCAAGTTTGATCCCTGTGGAACTCCGGAACGAGCATGAAATTTTTCCGAGGTATTACCATTATGCCTCACATAAAAATATCTATCTTTTAAATAACTCTTAAAGAGCATCAATATATTATTGATACCCCAAACTGACTAATTTTTCCTAGTAAAATATCGTGATCAACCCGGTCAAAAGCTTTACTGAAATCAGTAAAAATTGTGTCCATCTGTAACTTCCTATCTAATGCCTCATTTGCATGGTGGGTGAAAAGAAATAAATTTGAATTGATTGATCTGCCTTTCATAAATCCATGCTGTTCATCAGTGATACTGTTTTAAACGAAGTTATATAATTTGCAGTAAATTATTTGCTCAAATACTTTAGAGGGAGCACAAATAATAGAGATTGATCTGTAATTTTCAATATTGCGTACACTGACTCATGAATTGGTATACAAACTGCAGTTTTCCACATAACAGGGAATGTTGATGTTTTTATGATAAGGTTAAAACTTCATGGCAACCTTTTAATACATATGGAGGGATGCCATCAGTGCCCGCAGCCTTTTTAGGTTTCAACTTTTTTATTGCTGCTAAATATTCAGGCATATTATGGCAGATATGTTTCAAAACCTGTATGAACTAAATTTGTCATTTACAAGGTAAACAGACTACAGTGTTCAACGCTAGTAACAAAATAACCGCTTTGAAAGAAAATTATATTTTTGGATTATTTGTGTTGATAAGAGATAAATAGAAAGCTTTTCAACGCTCAGTGAGTTTGTTGGCGACTCTCAGAAATATTTCAAAATTATATGTTTGAGGAATTGGTTCAATATCTTAATGCGTTGCGCAAATCTTTTGAGACGTATGTTCCTGAAGAACAAAATACCAAAATTAAAATGAATTCATGGATTCAAAATCCTTCTACAGCCCGAAAGTATGTCAAACGAGATTTATGAATCATTTTTAGAAATGACATCAGATACAAGTATGGAATCACTGCTCAAAACATTTCCTCTGAATGATTTTTGGCGCATGATGAATATCCACAACTTGCCACAAAAGTACTGAATATTCTTCCGGTCCCAACAACGTACTTATGCGAAACAGAATTCTCAACATATGCAGCTACAAAAACAAAATACCGCAATAGACTGGATGCCGAACCTGACATGCGACTTCAACTCTCTTTTATCAGAGACAATCCAGCGAGACGTGTAACTCAATGTATTTTTTTTGTTCGGTAAAAGTTATTTGGGCGATTGTAACCACAACCAGTCTATGATGGCCACTAGTAAATAGCGGGAAAATTAAAAATGCCTTAGGGCGGGAAATTCAAACATGGATTCAGAAATAAGTAGTTTTTCT